TCCCAAGAGATCCATCGTTTTCTGTGAGAAAACTTATCCACTCTTGGATCACCAGAGACTCCTGCAGCAACTGCAGATCGTCCTCAACCGTGAGTGCCCTTCCGACCCTGCCTATCGCATTCCATACTGACTGCGTCTCTGTAGCTGCCCAGGGTAACGTCAAGGAGGCCACCGGCATTCTCCAGCGCGAGTTCTACAACAAGCCCGAGTCCCTGGTCCTTCTCATCCAGATCGCTACCGGACACGAAGATGCCAACCTCCGACAGCTCGCCGCCGTCGAGGCTCGGTCCCTCGTCAACAAGCACTGGGTTTCCGTCCAGGCCGGTCAGAAGCCTCAGATCCGCGAGCAATTGCTCCGTGCTACCATGGGCGAGTCTTCCGACCTTGTCCGTCACTCCGTCGCCCGTGTGATCTCGTGCGTCGCCAAGGTCGACCTGAACGATGGCGAGTGGCCCGAACTGCCCAACCTGCTGCTCTAGGCTGGCAACAGCGGAAACAAGGACGAGCGTGGTGTTGCCATCTACATTCTCTTCACGATTCTGGAGACGCTCGGCGAGGGTCTGGAGGAGAAGTACCAGGACCTGTCAACCTGTTCAGCAAGACCATCCGCGACCCCGAGAGCGAAGAGGTCCGTGTCAACACCCTCCTCGCGCTGAGCAAGCTCGGCATGCACCTCGACTCTGAGGAGAACATGGCTCCCGTCAAGGCTTTCCAGGAGATCCTGCCCTCCATGGTCGCTGTTCTGAAGGAGTCCATCGATCAAGGTCACGAGGACCGCGTCATGCAGGGCTTCGAGGTCTTCCAGACCCTCCTGGGTTGTGACCCGGCCTTGATGACCGTCCACCTTAAGGATCTGGTCGTCTTCATGAATGAGATTGCCGCCAACACCGAGGCCGACGAGGATACCCGTACCCAGGCTATCAGCTTCCTGATGCAGTGCGTCCAGTATCGCAAGCTGAAGATCCAGGGTATGCGCCTTGGTGAGCAGCTCACCCGCACCGCTCTCCACATCGTCACTGAGCTCGGTGACGCATCCGCGGCCGACGACGATATCACCCCTGCCCGCTCTGCCCTGGGTCTCCTCGACATGCTCGCTCAGAGCCTGCCCCCCAGCCAGGTTGTCGTTCCTCTTCTCCAGTCCCTGGGACAGTACTTCAGCAACAGCAACCCTGACTACCGCCGCGCCGGTATCATGGCTCTTGGCATGTGTGTGGAGGGCGCTCCCGACTTCATCAGCACTCAGATGAAGGAAATCTTCCCCATGGTCCTGCAGCTTCTGGCCGATCCCGAGCCTAAGGTGCGCCAGGCCTCTCTGCACACCGTCGCTCGTCTCGCCGATGATCTTGCCGAGGACCTTAGCCAGGAGCACGAGAAGCTCATGCCTCTTCTGTTCAACAACCTCGCGAGTGCCATGCAGGAGTACAAGGGCGAAGAGGATGGTCCCACCATCGACATCATGAAGGCCGGTATCAGCGCCATCGACGCTGTTGTCGACGGTCTGGACGAGAAGGACGTTGCTCCCTACCAAGGTGAGCTGGTCCCTATCCTCCACAAGCTCTTCAAGCACCCCGACTTTAGAATCAAGGGTCTCGCCGCCGGAGCCCTGGGATCTCTTGCCTCCTCTGCCGGAGACTCCTTCCTGCCCTTCTTCGATGAGTCCATGCACCTCCTCCAGGAGTTCGCTACTGTCAAGGACAGCGAGGAGGAGCTTGACCTCCGCGCTAGCGTCACTGATGCTATGGGTGAGATGGCCGCCGCCGCCGGCCCCGAGCGCTACCAGCCTTACGTTGAGCCGCTCATGCGTGCCACCGAGGAGGCTCTTCACCTTGGCCACTCCCGCCTGAAGGAGAGCACCTACATCTTCTGGGGTGCTATGTCTAAGGTCTATGCCGAGCACTTCTCCCCCTTCCTCGATGGCGTTGTCAAGGGCCTGTTCGATTGCATTGAGCAGGATGAGAACGACCTCGAAGTTTCTCTCGGTGAGGCTGCCAAGGACCTCATCGGCCAGGAAGTGACCGTTGCTGGCCGCAAGGTCAAGGTCGCCAGCGCTGATGACGATGATGAGCCGGTTGGCGAGAACGGCGAGATCGAGGATGTCGACGTCGATGAGGACGAAGATGCCTGGGACGACATCACCGCCACCACTCCCATCTCTCTCGAGAAGGAGATCGCCGTTGAGGTCATCGGTGACCTTGTTACCCACACCAAGACCGCTTATCTGCCTTACTTTGAGAAGACCATCGAGGTTGTCCTGCCCCTTGCGGAGCACCCTTACGAGGGAGTCCGTAAGAACACCATCAGCACTCTTCACCGCTCTTACGCCATGCTCTTCTCCATCGCCGAAGAGAGCGGCCAGATGCCCAAGTGGCAGCCCGGCCTTCCCCTGAAGGTCGAGCCCGCCAAGGAGGTCAAGAAGTTCGGTGAAATCCTCATGACTGCTACCATCAAGATGTGGACCGAGGAAGATGATCGGTACGTACATTTCTTTTTCCCTTTTGGTATTTTCCTACGACATGCTTTGATTATCACCGCACGTCTGTACAATGATGAACACCTCGTTTACCCAGCTCACTCCGATGCGCAATGCGTACTTGATGTGAAACACGATTATCTCACAAAACCTGAACCACTTTATCACTTCTCATGTTGCTCTACATGCAGAGTCTAGACAACTGCTGACCAGCTGATACCTAGTGCTACCGTCGCCGACATCAACCGCAACATGGCGGAGAACCTTCGCTACTGTGGTCCCGCTCTGATTGCCAACGAGACCACCCTGCACAACGTCATCACCATGATCACCGACATCATCACCAAGCAGCACCCTTGCCAGCTTGAGTTCGGCCCCGAGGACGAGGCCCTTGCTGCCGGTGAGGAGACCTCTGAATTTGACTGGGTCGTCGTCGACACTGGTCTCGACGTTGTTTCGGGTATGGCCGCCGCCCTGGGCGACAGCTTCGCCGAGCTGTGGAAGGTGTTCGAGAAGACCGTTCTCCGCTATGCCGGCAGCACGGAGTCTCTCGAGCGTGCCACCGCTGTTGGTGTCCTCGCCGAGTGCATCAACGGCATGGGCGGAGCGGTCACCCCCTTCACCCCTAGCTTCCTGAAGCTGCTTGTGCACCGTCTTGGTGACGAGGACCCCCAGACCCGCTCCAACGCCGCCTACGCCGTTGGTCGTCTGGTGGAGCACTCCAACGCTGGCGCTGAGCTTGTGAAGGAATTCCCCACTATCCTCAGCCGCCTCGAGCAGTGCCTCCACATGGACGTCTCCCGTCTTCAGGACAACGCCACTGGCTGTCTCAGCCGCATGATCCTGAAGCACCGCGAGAGCGTCCCCCTCAAGGAGGTCCTGCCTGTTCTTGTCCAGATCCTGCCCCTCAAGAACGACTACGAGGAGAATGACCCCCTCTACCGCATGATCTGCCAGTTGTGTACGTTCCCTTTCATGATATGCCACCACCAGTGACAAGTACTAACATCACTCCAGACAAGTGGGAGGACGCGACTATCCGCGAACTCACGCCCCAGCTGGTGCCGATCTTCCAGTCGGTGCTGACGGGTGATGCGGACCAGCTGGAGGACGAGCGCCGTGCCGAGCTTACCGAGCTGGTCAAATGGCTGAACCAGATGCAGCCGGGCGTTGCTCCTTGGGCGGAGCAGCTCTAAGCGTGCACGGTTCTTGGATAATGGCTTGACGACTACAACTTAATGGGATAGATTGGATTACCTAAAAGCGGGCTGATATGGATGATTCTTAGACGATACCCCAGCGCGCAGTGCCACGCGACGTGCGACTGCGATGAACGTGTTCCGATGATAGAAGATCTATTGGCCACATGAATGATTGATGATTTGAGTGTTGTAATTATGTCTAATAGTGTTGATATGAATCCTGAGATGATGCTTGACACGATATAGATTGACACAGCCCTGCTGCCGACGTCACTATACACATCCAACATCCACAAGTAGTTAGTGTGGTGGCCTTCTTTTTTTAGCGCGCGGCTTAGCCCAAACAAGTATGGTCGACGACTTGGCTGCCTGACTGACGTTGTTCTTTCTCTCCGCCTCTTTCTTGTGTATATCAAGCTTCTGCTCCTCACATCTTCATTCCTCCAACCGTTGCAGAAACGTCAAAATGGCCGCCTCCTCGCTCTCCTCCCCGGTGAACTTCACCCTCCCCTCCTCCAGCTCCGGCTCGTCCATCAAGAAACCCATCAAGACCGTCTCCAAGCCGTGTTTCGGCTGCGATTGCGGTGACGAAGAGTGTGACTGCTGCATCTGCACCGTCATGTGAGAGCGTCAGGTATGTGGCTGGGAGGATTGTTGGAGAATACAGCTGATAGGGACTAATTTGACTAGTTCGAAATTAGTCGTCCGTCCGGGCACGCAGCATGGGTGGATTGTCGCGCGATTTTGATTCGAGATACCATTTGTTTTCTTCCGCCGTCGACTCTTGCGGCTGGTCTGATTTTGTTCCTTATCATGGCCCGTGCTAGATATTGAATGCAATCATGTCACGTCGCAATCAGCACCACACGTAGTAGACCATACTTCATCCAGCGAGCCCGAACGGAACTACCCCGACACTCATCCACGTGGACATGTTCATTACTCGCACCCCTGACAAAAGATACTAAATATACCACACAGAGCGGGCACCGGAGTCTACAACCCTCAAGGATAACAATCAGAATCGATTGTTAGTGCTGATATCACACAGCTGAAACCACGCCGGTATACCCAGCTCGGAGTCTATACCAAATTGGGATGTGCCGCAGTCATCTTGCATCTCTAGGCGCGCAGATTGTACCTGGACGGGGCTGAGCTTCTAGGCTGCTTTATCACGTCTCAGCCTCGTGCGGGGGAAGGACCAGGGGTAGTCTTGAGTGAGATATAAGGGCAATTGGGGGCGATTATGGGGGTTGGACAGTAAAGGTAAGTAAGAGGTAAGTAAATTCGACACTGGATAGCGTTTCCATCAACATGGGAAGCTCTAAGAAATCTGGAAAACCTAGGGATGATTTGCCGGTCTCGGTGGAGAGCTCAGACAGCGAAATTGAGGAGAACGGGGACGGTGAGTCTGATGTTGAACTTGCGGATGGAGACGCCCCTGAGTGCGACAATTCCACTGAACCCTCCACCCCGTGCAAGTCCAGCAAGGCTGCACCCCCGGAGACCCCCGACAGTAGATCTTGCGACGGTGAGGAGCCGCCGCGGGAGGCGTCCGGCAAGCTCAGTCCGCCCAAAACCCTCATCGGGGTCATCGGCGATATCTGCGACCAGATCAGAAAACCATTCTCTTGGGCTGACCGAAACGGTCCCGGTTTTGCCTATGTCTTCTATGACCCGTCTGACGACGGTGACATGTACAAGATAGGCCAGTCAACACGCGTTCTCGAACGTGAAAATTACTATAAGAACAAGTGTCAGATTAAAGGGTGGGAAATAACATCGCGACCCCGCATTGAAGCAATTTGGGGACATGAACGCCTCGAAAAGCTCGCCCAGAAGCAGCTGGGAAACTTCAACTTCAAATTCGACTGTTTCTGCCACACAGAACACGAGGAATTTTTCATGGGAAATAAGGAGACCGCACTAGCCGTCCTGGAGCTTTGGACCAAATGGCTTTGGCAGAGTCCCTACGATGACCATGGGAGTCTGAAGCCATTCTGGGAGGATCGTCTTAAGCTGTTGGAGCCGATGTATTTCTCTGCCTTCAACTGCGGCAAGCACGACTGTCCTTCCAGGGGCGAATCTGCCCCGGCGTGCCAGGAGTGCCTGATGGAAGGATGGAAAGCATGGACGACTGCTACTATCTCTGACGAACCCGGCTTGGTCACCAATGGGGTACTGTCCGCATCCAAACCCGCCAGCCAGGCACAATTCCCGTGGCCCATGGTCTTTTGGCGGGCATTTCTTTTCCTATGTTTCCTCTACGTGCCCGTGCTCGGCGCTGGGAACATTTACCTTGTGTCCTGCCTGTTGGAGGGCGGTTTAGCCCTCGGATTTTATCCCACTCCACAGCTGCGAGCGCAACAGATAATTAGTGAATCGGCAGTACACCAGATGTTGAGTCCATTGGGAAAGGTGCTGCAACTGGGCAATGCTGGTGTTGTCAATCAGAAAAAGAATTCCCCGAAAGGAAAGCAACCGGTGGCCCACAACACATCGTCGCTGGAGACCCCGTCGCGGTCACTGTCGCGGATCCGATCACCTCCCCTGATGGATGCCTCCCCGCCTAGTCCTAGTGTGGAAGCTGCTAGGAGAAAGAAAGGGTCTACAAAAAGCGCTCCGCGGCAAAGCTCTCCGTCGCCGGGTGTAAGCATTCCATCAGAGAGCTCTCAAAAGGACGAGACGCCTGCTTTCTGGCCATATGAGGTTGATGAAAGTGGTGGAAAGCTGAGGCGCAGCGACAGACAGAAGGCAATAAGGATGAGGAATATGGGCACTGCGTGAAAGACCGAACAATACATGCAGTATTATGGCTATTATTTGATCGCTATAGGCAACCCTCACAGCATCTACCTCTTTAAGCTTGTCATCGGACCGAACGGAGATAACTACAGCCTGCTAGACTTAATAATACGTTCGGACTCGGTCTCGGCCAAACCCCGAGCGGTAGCTACATAATCCCATGTCATAGTCCGAATACAGCGAAGCAGTCTAACTATCCACCATGTCTTCTTCGATTCTCCTCACCAACGCCACCATCCTAGTTCCCTCTGGCGAGGGAAAGGACTATGTGCACCCACTGCGCCAGCACTCGCTGCTGATCGAGGGCAACAAGATCTCACAGATCGCCCCGGAGATCATACCACTCGCGTCGGACACGCAGGTCGTGGACTGCACAGGCAAGATCATCTCGCCTGGATTTATCGATACGCATCACCATATGTGGCAGACCCAGCTCAAAGGCCGCCATGCAGACCAGACTCTTCTGGAGTATATGCCCACCGGTAGGATCAAGCGATGTTGTTTCGCACGGTTGCATACTGAGCATTGTAGGAAACCTCCAGCAAGCCAACTACACACCAGAGGATGTATATTGGGGACAACTGGCAGGCTGCCTGGAAGCCCTAGATGCGGGGACTACAACGGTCGTGGACCATGCCCATATGAACGTCTCACCTGCTCATTGTACGTCTGATGCTGCAAAGATCTAGATTCTACCGGCCACCACTAACCTTTAACATCAGCGACCAACGGCTTGGATGCGACAGTCGCATCCGGGATCCGGTCCGTGTTTTGCTACACGCCTACTACGAAGTTGAAGGCGTGGAAGCCAGAATTCGTCCCCGCAGACGACATGCTCGGAGACTGGGTCTTGCAACAACTCGAGGATCTGTCGAGGTGTGCCCCATGGGGCGATGGCCGAGTGCAGCTGGGACTAGCCTTTGACGGGTTCTTCCTTCCCAAGGACGCCGTGACCGGGCTGTATCAACGCGCTCGAAAGGCAGGCATCCAGCTCATCACCACTCACTACGTGCGCGGCTATTTCAGTAAGTCGGAAGCAGCTTCGGCAGCCCTCAGGAGCTAACAGCCCCAAGACGATTCTTCGCTGGTCGATACCTTGGACAGCTACGGCCTCCTAGGCCCCGACATCCTCCTGTCGCACGCTACAAACCTCACCGACTCGGATGTGGAAAAGCTCACCAAGAGCAAGGCATGGATCTCGTCGACGCCCGATACAGAGCTGCAGATGGGCCACGGCAACCCCGTGTGTTTCCGCCCCGGCTGTTCGGATATCAGCTCCTTGGGAATCGACTGCCACAGCAATAACTCCAGCGATATTATCACACAAATGCGACTGGCGCTTCAGAGTGAGCGGGCCCGTCGGAATGAGGCAGTCATCGCGGAAGGGAAGAACCTGCGTTTGCTCGATCTGTCGGTCCAGGATGCGTTCAGGCTCGGTACCATCCAGGGCGCACGTGCCATCCACATGGAGGATCAGCTGGGGTCTATCGAAGTCGGGAAGTTGGCGGACCTTGTGATCTTTGACGGTCGAAGCCCTGGGATGATTTGTGCTGCGGAGCAGGATCCTGTTGCGGCGATTGTGCTTCATTCTTCGATTCGAGACATCGACACTGTCATCGTTGATGGAAGGATCCGTAAGCTGGAGGGGAGGTTGGTGCCTGTGGATATTGATCCGGTCTTTGAGGGAGTTACTGTTCCCACACAGAGTGCGGATTGGGGCGTGGTCGCGCAGGAGCTGCTCGCCAGTCGGAAGAGGATCGAGGCAGCTATGGTGAAGGCTGGTGCGAACGATTATGAGCATCTCATGGCTGGTACGATGAAGATGTTCCATCTGGATGAAGGCAGATTTGTATAGGGGCCTGGTGCTTGTCTACCTATTTTCTGACACTCATTTGTTGCAAAGTATCACTTGACATCACGAAAAGACCTCTGATTCAGTCATGAACAGAGTATCTATGTAAGAATTAGCGGTGAATCGCGTATTACATCCTGGCGCATGACTAGCCTGATACCAAGAGCTGATCATCTCGTGGAAGTAACCTGTCAACCTCCACATCTCTCCCTCTCTCTCCTCGTATCTCACCTCCTTCTCCCTCACCATGAATACCCCATTTATCCGCACAGCCACGCAAAGACTGGCTCTACAGAAACTTCCCAACCATGGTCTGATGCGCTGCCCACGTCCATTTCCCCCGCAACTCCGGGCCCTCACTTCCGCCCCCGCTTTCAGCTCTCGAGCCCCTCGCTACAAGAGATCGAGTTCGCAGATTCAGCACGACGAGACTGTCCATATTGAGCACCCGGTCGCTACCTTCGCGCAGCTGGGTATCGGGCGAAAGACTAAGATCTTCCTCTTCGCGGTTCTGGGCGTGTTTGGGACTATGGAGACGTGGTTCTGGTGCGAGACGATCTATCGGTGGTGGAAAGGGGATGCGAAGGAGAGGTGATGTTGCGGTTGGTTATTTTGTGGCTTTCTAGAGTGGTTTGAATGGTTCTGGTCTTGTTCGTTGCTGGCGTTTTCTCTACTCTACTCCTATGATAAGGGCTGGTATGGTCTTGTTATATGGCAGAGGATGACCTATGCGTTCCAGTTCTAGAATACACTGAAGAGTCCCACCCCTATATTGCTTCTGTTAATCGAATGACCTCCGAGTAGCTTCGCGTAGCGTACAGACAGGCTGGAAAGTAAACTCAAGGTAAGGTGATTCCAGTGCTCTCCATCTTCACGTATCTCATCCTGACTTCAGCGTCATAGCATTCAAAAATCCATTCCGAAACTCCGCCGCCGGACACACATAGCTGCGATTGTTCAACACCTTCCCCATCATGAGATCATGCACGCCCTGATCACCGTCCGCACAGCCATCAGAAAGCACCGTGACGACAAACTCCGCATCAGTAGCTGCCACAGCAGTCCGCATCACACACCCAGACGTGCTCAACCCCGTAAGAACAAGCGACTTGATCCCCTTTTCACGCAAAAACTCCTCCAGCCCGGGGGACTTCAGCGCAGACACATATCCAGGACGTCTGACGAAGATGAGATCGTGTTCGCTGTCCGGACGCAGCTCGGGTGCTTCTTCGCCGCCGCTGGCCCGCATGTTCGCCGTAATGGCGATGAGTCGGTGGGAGTCTTTGCAGGTGGGGTACGGTGGCGCGTTGGTGTCGATCAGGGCGTGGATGATCCAGATGCCCTGCGATTTTGCCCAGCCGCGCATCTCGGCCGCTACTCTGAGGGCAGCGGGGGCGTTCGGTCCTCCGGCTTTCTGGATGAAGAGGGAGTGGAAGTCGAGGAGGAGGAGGGCTGTCTTGGTGGCTCCGTAGTAGCCGGGGGAAGACTCGTCGGTTGTGTTGAACATTGTTGTGACTGTCGCTGGGTGGTTATCAGGGACTGAATGTCTGAATGTATTTTTTAAGGAGGTGGGATTGTGTGGTTTGCAAATGGGTGAGATTGTGTGGATGGTGGTTTTGATGTATACAAGCGGGATCGGGACGGGAACCGGGAACGGGCCGTTGTCGGCATTGCATGATAGTTATTGTTCTGGTTACACCTAACATCTAGTCCATACTGATAACAACCTTCAACACATCCCGCGAGGACCCTGCCTTGAAAGTGTCGTACGCACGCATGATGTCTGAAAACGCGAATCCTATACATCTGTCAGCTCTGGCCTTACAGTCGGACTCACGGAACGTACGGTGCGATATGAGCAGCCCTGGGTCAATCTTCTCCTTCTGGACCAGGTTCACCAGGTCCCCCAGAGTGGTCGTGTCCACCAGCCGACTGGTGATGCCTGCAACCCGTTAGACGAATCAACCAATTGCTGTTATAGAGTGACTTGCAGATGTTCTTTGCCCATAGATCTTGGAGATGCAGATCTGCCTTCGTCCCATGCACCCCAACATTCGTGAGAACACCACCAAGCCCGAGGAGCTTCTGGCAGAGATCGAACGTCTCGGGAATGCCAACACATTCCACCACCACATCGAACCCCTCCCCGTCGTTCACAGCCAGCGCCTGCTCGATGATCTGTTCATTACCCAAAGCGGAGCTCAGCGCGTGATCGGCTCCCAGCGTTCTCCCAGCCTGCAATCGATGCTCTCCCTTTCCCACCAACACGACATTCCGCGGCGCAAAGAGCTTCTTCGCTAGAACCAACACGGCCAATCCCACAGGCCCTGCCCCAACCACCGCAATCGTGCATCCAGGACGCAGATTCCCCGGCAGAATAGCACACTCATACGCCGTGGGAAAGGCGTCGGACAGCGCCACGGCGGCCTGCGCATCAACCGACGGCGGCAGGACGTACAGCGAAAAGCCCGCGTGCGGGACTCGCACGTATTCCGCCTGCGTTCCGTCAATCGTATGGCCCAGGATCCATCCGCCAGTGGTGCAGTGGGACGTCATGCCCGCTCGACAGCGCTTGCACGTCCCGCACGCGGAGATGCATGAGATCAACACGCAGTCTCCGACCTGAAGATTGGACACGCCGGACCCTAGAGCGTCGACGACCCCGACGCCTTCGTGCCCGAGGATACGTCCTGGCACGCAGGTTGGAACATGGCCGCGCATGATGTGCAGGTCCGTTCCGCAGATGCTTGTGTGGAGCACCTTGACGATGGCGTCGGTGGGGTGTTGGATTTGGGGCTTTGGTCGGTCGACGGCCTCGATGGTGCCGATTTCTTTGAAGATGACGGCTTTCATCTGCGATGGGTGTTCTGAAGGGGTTGAAAGGACAGGCATTTTGATAGAAGCATGAGTGGTATGGAGAGGTGTATTCAGAGATTGTGCTAATGTAGTAGTCCTGTAGCGATGCGATGCGGGACGCATGCTCTTATTTATAGGATGGCCTACGAGAAACAGGGCACATTGAGAAACCTCCAAGAAAACATGCAGTAGAATTTTCCTACTACATCCCGCGCAAGCTGTCTCTGGCCATACCCCTCTACAGAGTCGTCGGTTATGGACACCCTTTATAGATCGCAAACAACCTGGCATGCATTAGTGCTGATTTGCGTTCCACCACAGCGGTTCGAGAGCAAACACAGCCGATGAGGAGTATGCCTAGTGCCAGACGAACCCTCAGGGCGCATCGAAGATTGCGAACAGATTGGAATGCCGTATAAAAAGCTTGCTACATGAATATTTATGACCATTTCTTTCCTATACCAAGTATAACGAAGGGAAACACAAACTATCTCCGCTCCATACTAGATAAAACATTCCTCGAGAGTGGTTCGCCGGGGGTTTTGCCTGTCGACACTAGTGTATGCGACTCCTGCGAACTAAGTCAGTGCTCAGCTTTCAGACTTGAAGGCCAACGAGGGGAACCGTGCCACCTGAAAGACGCTGGCATTTCAATTCGAACTGCATTCAGGCAGCGAGAGATGTCTTCTATCACATGATTTGCGGTGGGCCTTGCTAGATGGGTGCAGAGGTAGCCTCAGTATGCACCGGCATTGTGGTAGCCATTCGCACAGCACCCCCTCACCACTGACCAATCTTCATCATGATCGTATACATCGTCCTCGGTCGAACCCACTATCCAATTTATCCTAGAGCGGGCAGCTTCGATCCTTCCCCGCTGTGCCAGCCAATAATGCAGCACCAGTGGGAATGAAGAAGAACTCGACTGACACCATACATCTGCGCACACTTGACCCTGCGAATATACTCCAAACGTCTCATACTATTCATCCAAGATGTCCTCCGTCCTCTTTATACATTGGGGATGGATGGTTTCCTGTTACGGAATAGTGACAAAATAAGCTCAGTATTTGTCAGCGGCAGTCGGGCCTTCATCTTTGGCCGCTCCCGCTCTTGTTCGTCTTCGACTCGCATCTCGGCAGACAATCCACTGCTTTCAGTCAAGTGCCTAGCGTTGAACATCTGGACTATCCGAACGGTTGTCAATAGCCGATCAAGGCTACAGACACATGTATCCGTCTCCCAACTCTGCAGAGAAATCCGAAGAGGAAGTCTCACGGTCACGTCAGCGCACGGCAAGAGCCTGCGATTCCTGTTATAAACGAAAGGTCAGCCTATCTCGTCTATTGACCGGGAGAGCCGGGTTCGGACATGAAGCTGACAGCACCCTAGATCAAATGTGATGCTGCTCTTCCACAATGTAACTGGTGTAGCCATCATAACATGCCCTGTACATTCACTCGGGTGACCCGAAGAAAGCGGAAAGAGAAAAGCCATGCCATCCCGTATGAACATAGCGATCTGCTACTCACTGTTGGCAAGGCAATAAGCTAACCTCCTGTGCAGTGAGCAGAGGGCGTCCGGCCTGGCAGAGCGCATTGATCGCATTGAGAAGCTGCTCACGGACAACCTGCTGAAGGAGTCCTGTACGTCATACTATCATAACGAGAAGACAGCAACTGACATCGCCATAGCACCTCGTGCATCACCGCACCATTCTCCAGGGTCCACTAGTCCAGGCTTCGGCCAACACATGCACCTGCCACCTCTGGCCCAGTCTTCAGTACCATCATCCGTGCCACTTCATTTTGCTGGCCGCGAGCTGGGCCCAGTCAGTCTCGTTACCGGCATCCCGTTTCTGTCTCCGTCTGGGCGACAATGGGTGCAGGCGCGGACTGGCCAGGAGGTCACCTTCGATAAACTCAGCCCTACCAGGCCCCCATGGGAGAAAGAGCGGGCACAGCGATCGAATTCCGTGCTGATGAACCTCCAGTCCCAAGGCGCCTTCGAGCTTCCGGATCGGAATGTGGTGGAACGTCACTTCGACTTATATCAATCCTCCTTAATGCAGCGGATATTTCCGGTAGTTGACACTGTGCTCTTCTCAGAGACTATCAAAGCGGCCTATCAGCAACCATACGCTAGTTTGGCTGGACAGTCGGACAAGCGGGCTTGCGTCTTTGCCTTCCTTGCCTTTTCCTCTTTTATAGGCCATCCATGTCATCACCCGGAATTGGATCCGAGCAAGGTTAACATCCCGCCGATTGACGGGGAAGTTTTCGTTCCGAAAGTCCAGCAGTTCATCCCTCAGCTCCTACAAGACCCCACAACGCTGGATAGCCTTCAAGCGATATTGATGCTGGTGTGTATAGACTGTTGGTACACTCCATCAGACGAGCGCATTACTGACCCTTGTCCTGCAGTCACTATACGAGCTCATCAGTGGCAATCTGCAATCGTCAAACTACTACGCCCACATATCCATGAGTATGATCTTTACTCTCGGAGCCAATACTTGTTCCTTCCAACCCAGTGGGGTTCCCACATCGTCGGAAGAGATCAAGCAACGTGTCCACGGACACCTCCGCAATCTCTTCTGGCTCTGCTACACCATTGAGAAGGACATCTGTATCCGCACGGGCCAGCCGCAGATGTTCACAGAGGAGAACTGCGACCTTACCCTCCCACCTGGCTACGTCGATAAGCTCTGGTACAGCATGACGTGCCATCACAGCTCGCAGGAAATGCCGGAGACCCCGCTCTTTCCCGTCGACCTCCGCCTGAGCATCATCAAGTCCCGCGCCTACAGCGCATTGTACTCATTTAAGGCCCTCCAGAAAACCGACGCAGAGCTGTTGAAGGAGATCCGCGAGCTTGACGACGAGCTGGAGCGATGGCGCATGTCCGTCCCGCCGGAATGGCGACCGACCTTGTCGTTCTCGCATGAAACCCCCGACCCCAACGTCAGCATGCACTCGGTGATGCTGCGGTTGAACTATCACCTCTGCATGACCATCATCCACATGGCGAGCAGTCGCTGCAAGTCGTGGGCAAACGGCCAAGCCGGCATGGTGGACGGGGTGAGCTCCAGCCTTGCGCTCTCCGTCGAGGCCAGTCGCTCCACGCTGCTCTACCTCGAAGCCGCTGAGCACGTCCTGGTCGATGGCATTTTCTGGTAAGTCCTGTTTTTTCTGTGTCTGAAGGCGACTAACCCGCCGCTAGGATGCTGATCTTCTACCCCATGTCCGCCTTTATGGCAATTTTCTGTAGTATTCTCCAGAATCCATCCGACCCGCAGGCGACTAAGGATCTCGGTTTGCTCAAGAATGCGACGGGCATGATGGAGCGCGTTTTTCTCCGGCAGTCGTATTCTATCGTGGAGATCGTCCACATCAAGCTGGTCGCGGATTTTGTGACCGAGCTGTATCGACTCGCCGGGTGTGCTGTCGAGAAGGCTTGGAATGAGCGTCGCCGATGACATCCGTGCCGCCCGAGATGATCTTACTGCACATTTTCGCCGAGCAGAATGATCTGCTCGTACATAAACACATGCCGACTAGGCGCTCGATTTACGTTCCTTCGTTTATATATAATGACCCATGTCCTAAGACCTAATTTCAAACGACTGTATACGAGGAGACGAGCAGGATTATAAAGATAGTTATATTCAATTCATTCTTATATCTATACCGAGTTTCATTGCAGTAGCTGAGGACCTAGACTGAGCCGACTAGTTAGCAATATTCAACCAATCGGTGGCGGTGAAATTTGGAAGCATGACAGCTTGTCAGATAGTAGATGCGCGATTGTAATCAAAAAGCACTTTTGTGCTCTCAGATGGGGTTGAAACAAAGATATAAGGCATCAATCATCATAGTAGCTTGGAGCCACAACGCCTGGATAGACTTACTCATGCAATGTTAGCACTGAGTGACAATAAAGACACACAGGACGCAGGACAGCCAATTGACCTTTGACAACATCAAGTCAATAGATCAACTAGCTGTTGCAAGCTGGGTTGTTGCCGGAATGCGAGGTGTGCGAGAAAAGAGCCGTGGGAGAAATTTTGGCGGGATTTTAAACGGGCGGAACTAGTGCCGCACGTGATCTGACGGCCCTACCATGTTCCGGCCAGCATTCAGAGCTGCCCTATTCGATCCTGGGATAGGTCTGATAAAGCAGACGACGTGCATCGCGCATTGGCGGCTGGTACGTAGACCTCGGTGATCACCATGTCCTGTCGGATGGTGCTATTGTTCCAATTTCAGGATGGCTGCTTCGTGATATAAAAGAAGCACTGCCGATGCCGACTCAATTATCGCCGTCCAGGAGATCCCACACAAGGCGCGAATGGTCCGAAATTTGCGCCTCTGCAGTAGTAGGCTTCTCTTCTTGTACAGCGGCCCCGGCAGCCGAGTCGACATCAACACCCTGCCTCCTCAGCCGATCGAGCGCGTCCGTGATTTCGGCTTTGAGTTTGTCCATCTGCTGGATCTCCTCCCGGCTTTGACTGAGCTGTTCTTCCATCATCATGATCAGGGACTCGCGCGCCTGATGTGGCCGATACAGGTTCAACAGGTGGTGCGCATTGATGAAAAGATTGCGCAAATCGTTCACTTTAGACTCGAACTGCTCCGGGCAGATGGATAGCACTCCGACGAACTCCAAGAAGTTCAGGAGCAGAGATTTGCTGATTTTCAGGAGATAGTAGGCGTGGTTTAGCGGTTTTGAGGGCTCGGATGTGTCGCGACCGGATTCAGCGGCGGGGGAGGACGGATAGAGCTGCTCGATGCCTTGGTCTTTTAACGAAGGGAGAGCTGTAGAGAGCTAGGTACGCGTTGAAGTTAGATCTTAAACGCGATGAGAGGCCTTGACGATACCCACACTTTGGAGTTCACCAAAAACACTGTAGTGGCCTTCGGTTGGCACCTCTGGCGGTACAAGGAAGCGTAGCTCAGGAGGAAGGTCGAGCGCGCGCAGTTCGGCGGGGGTCCAGGTTTTCTTCCGAGGCTTTCCGTCTTCGCCTTTGGAGGCTTCCTTCTTGATCTCCTCCAGTCTTTTCACGTTCTCTGGGGTGAAGTGCTTCCAGAGAGGCGGTGGAGGTGCAAAAGCCGTTGTCAATGCGGATGGCTGTCCGGATTCCGCCATGCTGAATGGGCTACCGCTGATATTGCACAGAGAAATAGACACAGAAGAGAAAACCCGGTGTTTCGCAAGATCCCGGGCGCAGAGGCAGAGGAATGGTGGGAGAAAAGGAAGTACAGGAAAGGAAGTGAAGCTGATGATGCGGAGAACCGCCGGAGAGTTGTTGATGGGTGGCCCGTGCGGTGGAACATTCCCCCGTCGCATCTTGTTGTCTTGTGGCTCTCGTCGTCTTTCACTCGTCTCTCGATGCTCTCGCGGTCATCCGTCAATTGATTGCCCACTCGCAATGCCTCGAAATGGCTTGGCTGCTGGATCAGCCGGATCGTCCGGTGCTTTGGCGCGCTTCTATCAACGCTCTTTTCCAGCAGTCGACTACGTTGCATTAGGCTGCATTGTGGCCGGATGGATCTTGATCCAACTTTTTGTCACTCCTTTTCATCGCATGTTTTCTTTGGATAGCAAAGCGAACCAGTTTCCCTTTGCGGTGGTGGAACGAGTGTCTGTTGGTAAGTTGGTGTCAAATGTGTTGGGCTTCAGAAATCAATCATCGGGGCATTTTGTGGAGTTGAAGACGTTGTATATGACGAGTGCTAATCGTGCTACCTTCTCTTTAGTCTGGTCTATCATCTACGCTGGAGTTGTCCCCTTTGCGATCATTCTTCTCTGGGGCGCTACGATCCGCCCAGCTCCCTACAAGCTCCAAGTGACCATCCTTGGCTTCCTGGTCTCCATAATGTTGACCTCGCTCATAACCGATATCATCAAGAACGCCGTTGGAAGACCTCGCCCCGACCTGATATCCCGCTGTTTCCCCAAGAAGGGCACCCCGGAGAACGTTCTGGTACCCTGGACCGTCTGCACCCAACCAAACCAACATATCCTCCAAGAAGGATGGAGGAGCTTCCCAAGCGGCCACAGCTCCTTCTCGTTCAGTGGGTTGGGATATCTCTCTTTCTTCGCTTCCGGTCAAATGCATGTATTCCGACCCAGGACCGATCTCTGTCGCTTTCTTCTCGCGCTGGTGCCGTTCCTCGGCGCTCTCATGATTGCCATTTCGCGACTAGACGATTATAGACATGATGTTTACGATGTCACCTGCGGGTCTGTCCTCGGCGTACTCGTCGCATATTTTTCATACCGTCGATATTATCCCGCACTGCGGTCGTTCGCCTGCGACACCCCCTACGACCGGACTGAGGTCGGCGTGGACGGTTTCTCGAAACTTCCAACCGATGAGGAAGCACAGGGGCGCGGCTATGGACCACGGAATTGGGAACCCTCTGAAGAGACATTTCAGCTGCAGGAGCTTAGTCCTCCCCGACAGTCTTAGACTAGATTCAGATATAACAACGATCCCACTAACCCGGTAGACATAAGTGGCCCCAGAAGATAGATTAACTATTATACATCGACAACACGCTCTATAACTTCGAGATGTCCCTTTGGGTGACATTAGTCCACTCCTTCACTTCATTGAAATCCATGACCCGGTTGGGCCCTCCAAATCGACCTAATCTGTCCCCCCAGTTACGGTTGATCGCGATTTCCGGGCTCCAGCGGATCAGCTTGTGGATTTTTGCCGGGGTTTTGTCCTCCATGGCGTCTGCGATGATGCTTCCGATCGAGGGAAGATATTTGAAGCCTGCGTAAGACTGTTAGCACCACATAAGTCAAGCGTATCGTACAACATTCATACCTCGTCCTGAAGCACCACACCCAAGAACAAGCGACGGGTATTCGGGATGACGGTCAATGATAAACTCGCGATTGGGGGTATCCGCACACCAGCAGATCCTTGCGAAACTGAACGGCCGGTCCGCAAGCTGAGGCATCGTTTCAGACAGAAGCTTGCGGACGCGCATCTCCGCTTCTCGAGGAACCTGCGTCTTCTCGAAGGGAATGCTCCTCACGCGGCCGTCGGCCCCCGTGGTCATATTCGTGTACCCGGGGTGTTCGTCGCAGATCTTGATTTCACCACGCTCCTCATCCGGCTCGAAGAAGAACCCCTTCTCGATGTTGAAGACCACCGGCATGTTTTTATACTGGGCACGCTCTTCCGGCTTCAACTGGATGTGGACCAGAGTCCACGCAGTGGGACGCAGTTGGTCCTTGAAATCCAGAAACTGGCCGGCGGCCGCACCAGCGCAGAGGATAGTCTGCTCGGCCCGCCAGATCTTGCCGTCCGCCGTGACGGCACCCTTCACATCGTTGTTCTCAAAAATCAACGTGATGACTCTGCCCTGCGGCGATCCCGCGACGAAGCGCACACCCAGGCGCTGTGCCTCCCGCGCCGCGGCGACCAGGGCGTTGCGCGCATGCGCCCAGCCCGCGTTTGAGCGAATGTGGTACCCCCTCCAACCGGGGAAGTTACCCTTCAAGACGCCGGGGGCCAGCTGGCGGAACTGCTCCGGCCGAGTCAATTCGGCTACATCGGGTTCATCTTCAGGTCGCACGCGGACCCCCAGACGCTCCAATCCTTCCTGTGTGGTGGCGGACATCACGACGCCGGTGTCGTGGTAGTACGGCTTGAAGATGGGGTCATTTTTCCAGCCATTGAAGGCCTGTTCGGCGATAATCTCATTGACTTCGACCTCGTCCTTCTTGCTGCTGTACTGGCCGGACGAGATGATCTTGTTGACGTCGTTGCCGGCCGAAATGGCTGATGGAACCGGGTACGGGTCAAGGACAGTGACATTGGTGTATCCTCTGCGGGCAAGATGCAGGGCAGTTGAGCAACCCCAGGTGCCCGCCCCGATGATCAATATCGACGAAGACTTGGTGACTGGCATGACGGAGAGTTTGTCTGTTGATTGGGTGTGGATATCCCAGAGAAGAGAAACGAGAGATACCTCTGGCGGTGGGAATTTTATACTCCCCTGTGCCAGACTTGACGCATCGTACGATGACTGATGGTGCTTTGGCGGTAGGACAGCGGAAGGTCCACGCGAAGCTGTTCGAGTCGTGCTGTCTGGTTTCCCCGCATACCGTGGCGGTGGACCCGATCCAGATTAGACACCCGGAGCACCTTGAGGATACAGAAGCACCAATGCTCAAAACGATCCCTGCGCTGATGAGTCGTCTTTGCACTACGTCGGTGACTAAAGACTATTGTTCGTGCTATCCGGTATCATATCTATCTCACTTGATTCATTGCCCTCTGGGATGAGAAAGCACCGATAAGCTATGGTTCCACCCTCGGTCGTGTCCCCACTCCTTATCAGCATCACGAGAGACTCCGTATAGACTTATCGCTATCGCCAGGCCCTTCTTTTTAACTCCATCACGCAATGGAATTACGACCATACAGACGCCACCGGTTCGACCTTCACCATTATTGGGGAACAGCATTGCCAAATGGCAGTTTGCCTCAGCGCCGACGGAACCACGGACAAGATAGCGCTAACAAGATTAGTGCATCGTAGTGCATCCTTCGGTTGGTGCTCCCGGCGCATTGTCCCGAACACAAGCATCGGATTAGCCCCGGACTTCGCTTGGACCTTACTGCCTTTGGCGTTCCTTGTCCTCTATGGTGCATCCGGCGTCGTCCTCTCGCGGGCTAGATCACAATGCTGTTCCCGTGCTTCCTCTCCGCATTAGAAACGGTAAGCCCGTTGGATCGACGTTCTACCCGTACTATCTGGGGAGGACCTTCCTCTAGCCCATCTGCGTATCTCCCCGCTTTGGAGTTTGAGATAAGTCCGGCTAAACATGGCTCCGTTATATAGAGCGGTATGCCCAATGCTAGATACCTGTAGCATTTGCTGAACAAAGCTTTGGTTCCTGAGAGACCTTTGTACACTAAACTTCTCAATGACACAAAAACCTCCAGGTCATCTGCAAAATGCAGATGTGGAGGAATGTCCAGGGGATCCGTCTTTGCGCGAGGATGCCGTTCAGAAGAAGCCGTTGACTGCCGAAGATGCCCTAGAAATCGCCATTGGGGAAAGCCAAAACATCGAGTACACAATCGAATCGGACAACTCGCCCTATCTCGAAGTCCGCGCAAATGTCCCCAACACGGATGATCCGTCACTTCCGATAAACACGTTTCGAATGTGGTTTCTGGGTGTTGTTTTTACCTTGGTATGTTATCGTCTCTGGTCACTGATATGAAGGTATACTCATAGCTGGGTCGAATATAGGTTGGAACAGGCGTGAACCAATTCTTTTCGATGCGCTACCCCAGTGTGACCATCACATCTCTCGTCGCACAACTGATCAGTTATCCGGTTGGATGCTTCTTCGCAAAGGCACTTCCTATCATGAAAATCCGTGTCTTTGGCCGGGACATCCACATCAATCCCGATCACCATTTTAATGTGAAGGAGCATGCTGTCATCACGATCATGTCTAACCTCAGCTTCAATCAGTCGTGGGTGAGTACTTCAGCTCCATCCCAGGGAAAATATGAGATTAACTCTCTGTATAGGCCAGTGCAATTATCCAGGCCCAGAAGGTGTATCTGAAAATGGAAACCCCCGTGGGTTACCAGATTCTACTGGCTTTATCGATGCAGATGTTTGGACTTGGGCTTGCTGGACTCTCCTACCGCTACATCATCGAGCCTCCGCATATGGTAAGTTCTGTTGTAGTATGTTCGTCTTTGGGGTACTGTCATTGACTTTTACAAGATTTGGCCGTCTACTCTGGCAAACGCAGCATTGTTCCAAACACTTCACACCGGTGCCAACCCCATCGCCGATGGGTGGAGAATTTCCCGCTATCGCTTCTTCCTGTACGTCTTCGTTGGGAGCTTCTGCTGGTACTGGCTACCGGGGTATATCTTCACTGGACTGAGCACCTTTGCGTTCATCTGCTGGGCTGCTCCAACGAATAAGGTCTTGAACAACCTGTTCGGAATGACCACCGGCCTGGGCTACCTTCCGATCACTTTCGACTGGAGCCAAATCGCCTATAACACGTCGCCTCTGGTGATCCCGTTCTGGGCACAGGCCAACGTGTTTTCTGGCTGGTTCTTCGTCTACGCAGTGGCAGCTCCCATCCTCTACTACACTAATACCTGGTTTACTGCCTACCTGCCCCTGACAAGCTCGGATGCCTACGACAACACTGGTAACCTCTACAACTCAAGTCGCATTCTGGATGACACCGGGACCTTCAACGAGGAAAAGTACAAGGCATACAGCCCTATCTTCCTTCCGGTCACGTTCGCTCTCAGCTATGGCGTGGGATTCGCTGTGCTGAGCTGTCTTCTCACGCATGTTGCATTGAATCACAGCAAGGACATATTAGAGACCTTCCGGGGCCAAAACAAAAAAGATATTCACGCACGACTGCTTTCCCGTTATCCGGATGTTCCGTGGTGGTGGTACTTGGCTCTGACGGTAGGAACCCCCAGGCCGAGCACGACGGGTCGACTGACATGGATTCCAGGTCATTGTGGTCGCCGTTGCCATCCTCACCCAGTATGTATGGCATACCGGTCTTCCCTTTTGGGGACTTTTTATCACACTGGCGCTGGCGGCGCTGTACGTCATTCCAGTTGGAACTGTTTATGCCGTAGCCAATCTCAACGCCAACGTTTTGACTGTGCTCGGTGAGATTGTGTCGGGCTATCTCCTGAAAGGAAAGCCCCTCGTTCTTTTGATCTTCAAGGTATGTTTACTTTGATACTTTATGTGGTGATTTCTAACTCGGTTAGTTCTACGCCTACACCGGATTGAGTCAGGCAATGTACTATGGTGCAGATATGAAGGTCAGTCTCGTTTGTATCCGTCTAGTGGGGAGTCATCTAACAATAAACACTAGCTCGGGCTGTATATGAAAATTCCTCGTCGGACACTGTTCGTCGCTCAGCTGATCGCTTGTATTCTGGGCACGCTGACCCAAAGTTAGTCCGTACATAGAGCACTGTCTTAGCTTCTATATTAACAAACGCATAGATGGTGTACTGCTCTGGATGCTCGGAAATGTTAAGGACGTATGCTCCAGCGACCAAGCCGACAATTTTACTTGTCCCCAGGGAAGAGTCAACTACAACAGCGCAGTATTCTGGGGTGGTATGGTTATGCTCCCTCCTATTTGATTGAAGTGCTAACACAGACAGCCATTGGACCCGCGCGACTGTATAACATCGGACAAAGATACTCTGGGCTCCTGCATATGTTCTGGATTGGGGCTCTCCTCCCGATACTTACGTTCTTCCTCAAGAAGAAATACCCCAACAACCGGTTCCTCAATGCGGTCCACTGGCCTATTTTCTTTGCGGGAACTGGAAATCTCCCCCCGGCGGTATGAGTTTCTTCCATGTTGAGTATATTGGCCTGACTAATGTATTCCAGACCGGCATCAACTACAGCACCGCATTCGTGGTTAGTTTGATTTTCAACAAGGTATGTCTTCATGCGGAGCAAAATATATCTCCGAGGCGGATCCACTAACGACAACAGATTATCAAAGATCGCCGACCAAACTGGTGGGCCAAATACAACTACGTTCTTTCTGCGGCATTGGATTCTGGAGTCGCTGTTTCTGCTGTTGTCATCTTCTTTGCACTGGTGTTCCCGGGGGTGAGTCTGAGCTGGTGGGGCAATACTGTGAGTAGTGGGACGGTGGACAGTAAGGGGACTCCGTGGATTGAGCTGGGGCAGAACCAGACGTTTGGCGAGACGACATGGTCGTGATTGAGTTATTTATCTTTTCTGTTCTACTAAGAGAGATCTACTCTGTATACTGTCTATATGTACTTGCTAGAATATATGGCCTGCCTGAGGCATGAGTGGCTGATGGGAAGGGAGCGGCTCCCATTGGCGGAAGGGCGGACTGCACCTGATTTCTTCCACCGTTGGCATCCATTCGTTCCTTATCAACTCGCGTTCCCCTCTACCTACTCAATCTATCGAAATTACTTTCTCCCAGTTAAATTATTGGCATAGAGATCTCTCCGAGGCTCATTATACACATACCCAGTTGCGCCTCCTTGATCATTAGTGTCCGACTGCGCCAGGACATCCCTTAACTCGTTGCATCATTTGCCACCGCAGTCGCATGTCGCAGTGAGAGCCGCAAGTCCAAACGCTACGCCTATCACCGGCGGAGGGATGGTGCGGTGAAATCGATACTAACCAGCCGGGCCATGTGAGAATCCTCCTATCGGATGCCACGTAGAAAGGCTGCAGACCGCGTGGGTCCGGTTAAGACCCGAAGTCGCGGGGGCTGTAAAGAATGCCGGGCGAGTCGAGTGCGCTGCGATACGCAGAAGCCCGTCTGCACCCGGTGCAGGGAGAGGGGGCTAGCCTGCTCGACCGAGCTAGTGCTAAAATGGGAGTCGGAGTTCGTGAGCCGCGGGCTGGCGTTTGGGCGCGCCGGCGTGTGGAACAAGTCGCGCGGTGCTGCCGGCCCCCAATCTGTGGGAAAGTCGGGCACGGGGTACTCTGACTCGCACTTGCTGGACGACCAGGAGTGGTGCGATGTGCCGCTTGTTGAGCCGTGGGGGTTCGTGAATAGCGGTGTGTCGACTTTTGAGCAGCCGAATCAGGTGAATATCGCCTGCGATGAGCTGAATGGTCTCGTCGTTCGGCGGAGAGAGCCGGTGTTGTCGAGGGAGTTGCTTGCGGATCCGGGCTCGCCTTTGGTGCTCGATGTGGTCGACTATCACAATACGTTCCAGCACGTCCAGCAGCTCCAGGGCCCATCGGCCTCGTTGTCGTTGTTTCCCAACATCCCGCCGACGGACCACCGGGGTCTGTTTGACTACTATCTGCAACATGTGTGTCCTCGGACGACGCCGAGCTCCAGAGCGTCGTCGCCGTTTGCGTCGGTGATTCTTCCCTTCTGCCTATCCGCGTCGCCAACTCTGTTCCACGCCATCCAAGCTCTCGGGGCCTGCCACTGGTCTCGCTTCAACCCAGACTACGGTACTGTTGCATTGCGCTTCAAGTCACAGGCTCTGAAGGGTCTTCGATATCGGCTGTCTAGCGAGGGATCACTGAGTTACTCGCAGGACCCAGAGGTGCTTGTGGTCATGATGATGCTGTGTCTCTACGAAATTGTGGATAACTGTGACCAACGATGGACGGTTCATTTGAAGGGAGCGAAAGACTTGATTCGATTTAAGCGCCAGCGACAGCTCGAGCCATCTAGGGCCACAGATTCGGACCCCGTGTCGTCTTTCGCAGAGCGGTTCTTCGCGTTCCAAGACGTCATGGGCCGCACGGCATGCGGCGAGGAGGTCCTGTTTGGAAGCGACTACTGGCAAGAACACGAGGGCAAGGTCGACCTCTGGATGGGATGTAGCCCCGAACTGGTCTCCATACTGTCGTCCATCACCGAATTGAGTCGGACCCGCCGACGACTTTCTTCAGACTCTGCGCGCGCATCGTTTTCCCTACGCGCTGCATCCTTGACACGGAAGCTGGAGGGCCTAGTGCAGGAGATTGATGACGACGACGACGAAGCTCTTCAGTCTGCCGCCGAGCTGAAGCGCTTGGCCGCGGTGCTATACCTGCATTGCGCCTTGTATGGCGCGTCACCGGGCACCCCGCTGGTGGTCAACTACGTCCGCCGGATCCTGCGCATTGTGTCCGATCTACTGGATTCAGGCTCCCTCGTGAGCATGACATGGCCGGTTTTTGTGGCGGCGGTCGAGTTGGACCCTGTCCATGACGAGCTATGGTCCGAACCTGGCGACGAGTCCTCGGTTGTATACGGACGGCCCCTGGTCCTCCGTGCACTGGCGGCAATGGCAGAATCGAGTGTCTCCAATGTTGCCCGGACCCGCGCCGTCATCGTCAAGGTATGGCAGGCGCGGGATAACGACATGCTGAAGGGGTCTCCGGTAGAGACTTCCAACGATCCAACGAGCTGTAATGACTGGGAGTGGTATGTTGCGCCGATCAGTACGGCCATGAGCTTAGCATGATTGCTGCATACGGAGTATGTGTCTTTTCTTGTACATAATATCGATGTTGGTTCAAAAGCGGGTTATGCTACTGTTAATGTGATTTTGTGCTGGATTGTACAAATGATGACTTAATCTGCCACGTGCTGCAATTGGCCAATCAGGGACAGCGAGTGGCTGGGGCGGGGCGAGATTCACATGATTCGCCTGATTCGTCGAGTCCCGCCAAAAACGTCAGTGGAGCCCGCGTCAGGTTGTCTTGGAGAGCATCGAATCTCGCAGCCATCTCCTCATTCTGCTCCTCTTCACATCCTCCGTGCTCTCCTGAGTATCGTCTTCTCGTGTCGTCGATATATATAATCGATAGGATAGCTGGCTCTATCTTCCTCCCCCAACGCATACCATCCTCCGCATACTGTTCGCGCCGATAATCAACCGCCCTGAAGATAAGCGCTGGACCACTAGCCTAGCAGCGGTCTTCATAATGTTCTGAAAACGCGCTTCACAGTGGAATTGCAATCACGGAAAATACCATTCGCCACGATATGACGCCCTCGACAACTTCCTCCACGGTATCGCATAGTTTGCCGGCAATTCCCTTCGCAAGCAAGCTTAGTGAACAACTTTCCCAGCGGAAGGAGCAGGGCGAGTCCACTCCCAATGTCGACTCTTCCAGTGAAAGAACTCTTTCCCTGGGGCCGCCATTAAGGCCTTCTCCGAAATCGCGATCGTTGTCGGACGCGGCAAAACCGGCGTCATCCCACCAGCCAACTATAGAAGAGGGTCGCCCGTCCAGCAAAGATGATACTTCTCTCTCCTCCACCACCTCTTCCGCTCCAGAAACTCCACAGCGACCTACACTACACCCCGGCCTGTCTAGCCTTTCTACCAAACCATCTGGATCCCCCGCATTATCCAACCGCACGCCACTCTCCCCCAAACTAGACCCATCCCACATCTACGGTTCCCCAGGCTCTGTTCTACCTCGACGTTCCAGGGGGCTCGACTTCTCGCGTGCATGTACCAACCTTCATCACTCCACGCTTGCGGAATCATCGCCAGACTCGTCGCCCATCGTGGGAGGTCGGGGGATGGCTATCCCACAGCGCCGTGGTTCGCCTGGATCTACATCTGCACACCCATTCTCCACCTCCGGTCCCGCTGATAAGACGACCGTGTCGAGCTCAGTATCAAGCGTCAACATGATGGAATCAGACACCAGCAGCAGCGAGGATGATGAGGAACCCATGATGCAGGATCGAGACGACATGATCATGAATACCCCCCAGGCAAGCAAGATGGGAAGTGGACCGAGTCCCTTTGCACAGGGAAATATCTCCAGCCCTGGCAATGACTGGATGGGAAATTACTCCCAGGCTGCGGCAAGTTTGGCGAGTTTCCAACGTGCCCGGTTCCGCACCCGCCGCAGTAGACACAGTTCGAGCAGCAATAGCGGCAACAGCTCCAAGCCCAGCCCTGGACCTTTCTCGCCCCCGGTCATGAATAGCATTGAGAACCAAAGTGGAGGGTATTTCAGCAGCAAGGCTGGAATCGCTCAACGGCGTGAGAGCTTGAGCTTGGGAACCCGCGATTTACGGCTGTCGGACCTGAGCGACGAGGGCGAGTCTCGTGCCGCCCGAGCCCATAGTCCCAGTACCTCCCATTCGGAGGGTGGGCCGTTAGGTGTCATACGCCGTGCAGTGACCCGCCGAGGTAGCTTATTGGTGAGTGCATCCTTTCTCTCTACACCTTTGGAAACGTAGCTGACAGATCTCTAGCCCAAAACAAAGACCTTTGCTAGGATACGAGCTGCTCTTATGGAGGAGAGCGCGCCGATCGACTGCGAAGCGAAACGTGAAGCGGAAGTTATCCGGCAGGTCCGGGAGAGCGAGCCAGAGATGCCGCAAAAATCCCCAAGTCTCGACGCCTTCTCCAACATCAACCCATTCCAACCTGCAGAGCCGAAACCTTTCGAGGACATGGCCGTTAAATCGGGAACCTCTGTGCCTGACGAACCTAGCTTCAGCGACACCGCCCATCGCAACTCCCGTGGTGCTGAATTCTGGAACTCTTTCGATGAGCGATACCGTACTCCTCCGCCGCCCCCGCTACGTCAGTTCGGCACTTCCATATCGGAAGACGACTCCGCCATGGACATGACGCCGTCAACCACCACTCACGGGTCTACTAGTGAATTTGCGAAGCCGGGAGAGAGACCCAGTTCGCGATGCTCTACATCCAACACGGCTCAATCCGCTGCGATAGCTGAGATCAAGAGGAAGCGCCGACGGGACGATGATTTTGACCCCAATTTGTTCAAGCGAAGGGCTGTGTCTCCGAGTATGAGTGTGCAGAGCAGCCCCGTCATGCCTAATTCACCAGCCGTCAAGGACTCTGGGGCTAACATTTGGGGACCACCGAAATCTAATCTTGGGTCTCTTTTTCCTGAGCGTCCCGGGACAGACACGGGCAATCGAAACAGTGCCGGTGCTCACTCTGGAACCTTGAAGCGAGTTGGTTTGCAGGGCATGAACGAAACCAACGACGGACTGATGAATATGACCATCGAGTGATTGTGCGTACTTGATCGGTGTGCGGAGCAGGTCTCGTCATAATCATTGGAGGGTTGTGTGCTTTATTTGTGTTCCTGGTGTTTGATTCTGCGTTCGTTCGTGCGTTTAGCGTTGCAATTAGGGAGTGAGGCTGGGTATCATTCGTTTTGGGATAATTACCATATACTGCTTTACAAGAATACTCTTTCTAATGTTAATATTGATTACTACTGGTAGCTCCCATGATGGTACCATGGCTGTAGAGAAGTGGATAGCCGCGACCACGTGCACTGAGCGGCGCGGCGTCTACCGCGCTAAAGCTCCCGCCCGCTGTTGACGGTGGGAGGCCGACGATCAGTTTCAGGAGCTCGTCCATTCTCCCACCTTTGCATCTACACTGTGAATTATACCAGAAGCCTTGTTTAGTACTAGCGTTAGAACTTCCAATTCTTCTTGCAGCCTACCGCATACATGTCCTCCACCGCCGACATTGCGTCTGCCTTCATCGAGGGTGCCCCGCCGGGCGAGGTATGTCCATCCCATGGGTTCAGTCAGCATTCACATGTTACAACTTGCTAATAATACTACTGTAGCTCGCCGATGTTGTTGCTGGTAATGTCCCTCGCCATTGTTGCACCCTGCATACCGACCCCCGGTTCCCCGCACGAGTCTCGAGAGCGACGCTGACTGACGCGGGCACGGAACAGACGTAAAGAACCTCACCTCCGACGGAGCCGATATTATCCCCTCGCTGGCATCCGCCTTCGAACGATACAATGAGTCGCAGCTGGCGACGGTGAAGCTGCCGGGAGCGAGCCAGGAGGTAGGTGACCGGTGCTCTATATGGCACGACCGCGGCTGACGGGACGCTGGAAGGTCCTTGTGAGCGAGTTCAACAAGCTGGAAGACAACCGATACTTTGATCCGGAGAGCCAGACGTCGTTTGAGGTGGACCACGTGACGCAAGTATGTATCTGCGGACAGCGGCTGTGAATGGACGCTGACGGGGGGTGTCGACAGGAAGCGTCGGGTGCCCAGTCCTACGTATTGGAGTCGCAGAATGCCGATCTTATGTGGGTGTCATTGCATCCCGCTTGCTAGTATCTTGACTAACGCAGACGGCCAACAGCAAATCCCTCCTCAAGTCGCTTGGAACGCACGCCCGCGAGCACTACCCCAGCTGCTCCTACGGCGTGTACCCGATTGAGAACGACTCGGCCGTCGCCATCCTGCTGGTCGCGAACCGCTACTCGCCCAACAACTTCTGGTGCGCAGAGCCCACCCCCCAGCCTCGTCCATAATTACTGACGGTTGATTTCTGTTGACAGGAACGGCCGCTTCCGCGCAATCTACCAGGTCCCCGTGTCGGGCGACTCCACCGCCGTGACCGGCAAGATCCACGTCGACGTGCACTACTACGAGGATGGCAACGTCGCGCTCAACACCACCAAGCCCGTCAATGTGTCGGTCCCGTCGGTATCGGCGGAGGCCATCATCTCGCGGATCGCGGCCGCCGAGCGAGACTACCAGGAAGAGCTGAACCGGGCGTTTGTGCAGATGGCAGAGGGGGCATTCAAGGGCTTGCGCCGACAGCTGCCGATTACGCGACAGAAGGTGGAGTGGGAGAAGGTGGGTGGATACCGGCTGGGACAGGACATTGCTGGGGGGAAGGGGCGGTGAGTTGTATATACGGGGTTGTCGAGGGAGACTATGGACGAATGAAGTGTATGCAGATTTGCTAGTCTGCGGTGGTCAATCAATTGCTTGCGATCTACCTGAAAGTCGGCATCGGGTATATGCATTGCAGACAGTACTTCGTACTACTTACGCCGACAGTCGTGATCTTCGGCCATGGGTTGCGGCTATTGAGCCTTGCTGTAGCCAGTCGCCAAGTCACGGTGTAGCATACAGGAGATGTTCCTGTGCCTGGCAACTGGCTGTCCAGGGAGAAATGACGCCATAATGTACGCCAACATAGCCGATGACGGAATTGCAAGTCCCAGCTCGAGGCAACTGGGAGCATGACTCCTGCAAGAGAAGAAAAGCCCGCTGGGCTGTCGTGCAACAGTACCCCTTTTGGGACCCAGCCAAGGCCCGTCAATGGCCGCACTAATGGCCAGCACAATAATAGGTCGCCGTCCGCCCGAAGCCGCAGTTTGGCCCTGTGGATCTTTCCCCGGATTAGTCCCAATTAAGGTTGCCCCGGATTGCCGTTTCGGGCTCCCCCGCATTATTGTCAGATGCCGATTCTATACGATCTATATATTCCTTGCTTGGTGTACGCATTCTTGCGCTGGGCTGCGGCTCCGGTGCTGTGGCCGTCGAGTGCCGGTGCGTGTTTCCAACTAGACTGAGAATCTACATCAACATACACGACTCAATTTGACTTGTGCTTTGGAAGCATTAACACCGTTTTCTTAACTGTGTACGCAGTACCTAGCTGGTGATACCACAGTGCCTGGAGCAGCAACTTGGAAATGATATCCAACAATGTTCAAATGTCTTTTACTGTGAATAGTGGGATATCTTTGTAGGGATTTTAAATAGCTCATGATCATAAAAATACCTGCCTTAGGGCCTAGGCTTGCTTATAGTCTCAAAAATCTACTATAATCAACACGGCCGGCTGCAAGTACCGCTCACTACTACATATAAAGGCATGCTTGCTATCGTTCCCTCGACTGATGATAGTATCAGTGAGCTTTGAAAGCACACGCTTCTTGCATAATTAGACCACAAAGGCTCTGAATTACCTATGCTAACCAGACAAGCATGTATTCACCCGATGAGTTTAAGCTCACCAAGCTGCAGCTCCCTCTCAGCAATCTCACACAGTCCCTGACGATCGACTTTACTATTTCCGACCTGAAGGTCGAGCGTGAGCCAGAAGATTAAAGGTGCAAGACATGGCCGACTCACACTTGAAATGGGAATTGCGTCAATGAAGGCTGCACCACCACGGAGTTGCATGCGTGAAGCGAGTTTCTCCCGCATCCAGTACATCAGTTCTTCTATTGCCAAGGTAGATTCTTCTGCCTTGACGATATAACCGCGAGGGACGGGCTCTTCATCTGCAGGCCTGTAAAACATGAAGATACAAATAAGCCCCATCAGTACAAGACAGCAGGAGGTAGGAAGAGATTTTCTGGGGTCCTCACAGAATTACAGGAATAACAGCGACATCCCTGATATCCGGATGCTGTAAGATGGCTGTTTCGATTTCCGCGGCAGAAACATTGTCACCCTTGATTTTGAACAAGTCCTGTTATAGGGTCAGGAGCACATTTCGACATGGCGAACAGTATGAATGGTTCTAGGAAATGCGGTACCTTTTGACGACCAACAATGTAAAATTGGTCACGCTCGTTCACCCAGCCAATGTCACCAGTCTTAATCCATCCCCCACCCATTATTGTCTGAGATGTTTGGAAAGGTTCGTTGAAGTAACCTTTCATTGCAAATGGAGTCCGAATGTAAACGTGCCCCTTCTCCCCCCTGTCTAGCAATTTACCGTCATCACCTACTATCTTCGCCTCTAAGTTGGGTAGCAATACTCCGGTTGTTGCGTCCTCTACCAGCTGGGTTGGATCCGGCATAGTAAAAAAGCCTGCCCTAGTTGACCCAGTATTGCATTAGACCATGTTCTGAGTGCGTATCATTAATTAGGAGCATGGCACAAGCTCCACTTACTCAGTCATTCCATATGTACTCTGCACTTGGGAACCGTGTTGTCTCTGCCACTTCTCGATCATTTCAAATGGAATGATAGCACCGCCTGTGAGCACATGTCGTACACTGGCGAAGTCGGGGTTGTTGGATTTCGTGAGAAGCTCGCGCATTAAATGCTTAGGGAGCATCAACCAGGTAGGTCTGAATCGTTCTGTTGTCTGCATGAATGTCTCCGATTCAAACTTAGTGGGGAATATAGTCTTATATCGAGCCTTTAGAGGGAGTAGAATCCCCAGGATTAGGAATCCCATGCCGCAGAACTTGTAGTTGCAGGAAACGATTTCCTTTCTCCTCTCCCGGAGGTTGTAGTGCTGCAGAGTTTGTTCAATGTTACCAATCAGACCGTAGTGAGTTCGTTCAGCTAGTTTCGAGGCGCTAGTTGTCCTATAAATGGGAGACATAGATGGGTTAACCGGAATTCAGCATTCATGTCCGGTTGCAAACCGAGTTGACATACCCAGAAGTGTAGAGCAGAACAGCAATAGTTGTTTTTGCTTCGTCGGGAGAGAGTGTAGGCCATTCATAAATATCACCGCCAGGCGTATTTAGGAGATAGCTCCAGTGTCTAAACCCAGCCTCTTCTGGATTTCTGGTATGCTCACCACCGAGAGTCTCGTCAACTATAAAAAGACGCTCATTGGGAATACTTAATTGCGCTGCGGCAGTACAAACGACTTTCAGGTCCTGCGGCGCAAAGAGCACAAGGTCACAGTCCAGTTGTCGCAGCCTGGATCTCAGTTCATCCACAGAACCAGGAGCGAGAATATTGCAGGCTGCTCCGGCAGCAATAACACCAAGTACAGCCAACGGAAAATGAATGTTAGGTTCACCATAGACCATTACCCGCTTGCCTTCAGCGCCCAGTTGATTAAGGCCGCAGCCAACGCACTTGACAATAGCTTTGATCTGGTCGATCGAATATCCACGAAAGTGGCCTTCTGTTGCCGATTCCAGAAGGGGCTCTGATGATGGCCATGCGCCTTCAGTCCTATAAGGCGAGCCAAATATATAGGAGAGAAGGTCTGTTGAGGGTACGCTCACGCTGTATTTGGATCTGAAGAGCGCCATATTTTCTAGTGCAGACAGAAAAGAGGTTGCAGGCCAAGTCAGCGGAAGAAGAATTACGTACACTAAGAAGAAATGGAAAGAAGTTAGTGAAATTATGATGCCTCCAGAGGAAAATGTCAGACTTATTTAATATATCCCAATTATCCTTTATTCCGTGCCCCAGATTCAGGTACCCGAATCGATGCTACCAAGTTAGACAAACTAGTACTTGAGCCTTGGGCAAGGGCATGTGTCGGAAATACCGACGGCGTACTCCGTCCCTCGGGCAGCAACATGCCCAAAACGGCAAGAGGGGTTTCAGTTAGTTGATAGATCATAGACTGCATGATTTAGTGGTAGCTCGATTTTGCAGCGCTTGTTGTAGTGGCCCCGGATGAGTTGGCGGCGGTGCCAGTCGGCGTGCCCGGTCTTCAGCAGAGCCACCCCCATTACTGTGCCAATCAAGGGTAGGGTGCTTAGAGATATGGATCCACAGCATCCGAACCGTCGCTGACATGCAGTGAGTAGACCGCACCTGGCCCTTCTTGGCTATAGCGTGAAAGAGCTCCAGTTCCCTGAGATTGGCGGCCGCTGACTGCTCCTTGAGGACGTGGATTCCCGCCCCAAGCAACAGAAGCAGTAAATGGCCATAGTTCAAATGAGGAACCGCCACGTAGGCACACATGACTCGGTTCGTAGGCGTCGATTAGTGCCATTCGACCAGGTCCTCGACTTCGGAAAACGTGCGACACTAGAGTTTTGCGCCTGGAACTCAGAACGAAGCAAGTAATCAGTCTCGCATACGCATGTTAGCTTAAACTGCGCGCTCTCTCGGGTGACCGGGATCGCACGGCGATGGCTCCGCTGACCTAGGCCGATGATCGCAATACTCAATGCCATTATGATTGGGAGATAGAGAACGGACGAAGTCAAGACAGATGGTCATAGACTTGTCGGGACCAACATATGAATACATACACCTCAGAACTGGAAGATAGGCTAGCCTCGGACGAGCACACTATGTAGAACCCCCTGCTGGGTTGGTAGAAATACTTAAGGGGGCCGCTACTATCACTTGATTCACAGCGAGATGTACTTCTTCGCAAACAAAAAGGCGTCTTTGAGAACCTTCCTCATTGCAGGGGTCATGAGGAGCGTGTCGATCTGCTCCTCCGGCACCCATAGCCAGTCGGAATTTTCATCTGGATTCAATTTGATGCGCATATCGGGCTTGACGGATGCTACGTAGTTGAGTTGGATGTTCTTGTGCCCGCGAGGGGAATTCCAATACAGCTCGTCAAATTCCCCCGGAATGCGGTCCACAATAAGGCCCGTCTCCTCGAGTGTCTCGCGCTCGACCGTGTGACGCACATCGCGATCGGATGCATTGCCGCCGGTCGTGCTGTTTGCGCTGATGCCGTTCTGTCCGGAGTCGTCGCAGCACCTCGCGTACAACGGGCGGATCGCGGAGGCGCGCGCCACGGGGCTGGTGCTCAGGGCACGGCTTTGGCGTGGCGTATGCGCGCGCAATCTGCGTAGGGAGCCTAAGCAGATTATCTAGCAGCGGAGAGAGACGACGTAGAGCCTGTTCCGGTGGGACATTGAGCGTGTGCTGCTGCAGATTATGGAGCGAAAAGCAGAATTGATCGTATAGATATAATGGGACGGTCATTGCGCCATATCTACAGTGGGGGTCCAAAAATGTTAACACCCCCTTTCCGTGCTAACGCGACCGCCTTCCTATTCAGTAATATTTTGCCGGCCAAATAGTAAAATGCGTGCACGTATTCGAACTTTCTTCATTACACAAGAGACGTCTGTAAATCCTGTTAAATACTTGCCTTTATTGTAGGCAGTCTATATTATCTGGAATAGTTGGTAGACTAGAAATAAGGTAGGCGAAGTCTGGACACCGGGGACTAGTACGTATAGGCAGGCGGTTATACTAGCGCAAAAAGGGGGTGTTAATATTTTTGAACCCCCCCCCCTTAGTACTCTGTATGACACCTTGTCCATGGGACTTTTCTGCTAGAGATCGCGAATTACTGCACTACGCTACGTCCGACATCTCAATCACAACATGTTATCCAACCATGATAATCTGCAGACCCTCATCGCCACGAAAGACTGGATTGGCTTCGACCTAGACGACACCCTCCACGAGTATCGAGTAGCCTCCCAGGCCGCTTTGGCACGAGTATTCAGTGCACTCCACAGCGATTATCAGATTGCTCTACCGGATCTGGCCTCGTCATATCGCCGCATCCTTTCCCAGACGACAGCAGGAGCGTTCGCCGACGGCAAGACATCTAGCGATTATCGCCGCGAGAGATTTACCGCTTTGATGCACTCGCACGGCGTCGCGCTTTCCGAAGACGACAGTGTACACCTTCTAGCCCTATACAAGAGCTCTCTCGCCGCATCACTTGTGTTAAAACCCGGTGCCCTAGACCTGGTGCAGAAGCTCAAGACGCTGGGGAAGAAGATCATCGTCGTAACGGAGGGGCCTCGGGACGCTCAGGCGTGGACGCTTCAGCAGCTGGGATTGAGCGGGTACGTTGATATTCTCGTTACGTCGAATGAACTGCGGCGGTCCAAGACGGATGGGCTGTTTGGAGAGATCCTGCGGATTTATGGCATCCCGGCGGCGCGGATGATGTATATAGGTGATAACTATATCCGGGATGTCGTACCAGCGCGTGAAGAGGGCATTCTGGCGGTTCATCTGGATGGGTCGAGTGGTTGTCTGGATTCTGGAGATGAGACCATTCGGATGTGTAGTTTGATCGAAGTGAGCAGGCTGTTTGATGCGTGATTGTATCAACACCGGAAATAACACCGGACATGCACGGCTCGGAGTTAAGCCGACCAAGACACTTGGCGTCCGTTATCACCAGCATTGTTGCTCTTTCACAACCTCACCCTGTACATAAAGAACAGAGAAAAGAGCCATGGCGAAATCCCCCAACCCCGTGAAACAATTCTCCAATTTCACGCGCACCAGCGCAGGGCTCGAGAAAACCCTCCGGCTCCTGCAAGCCGCGGCTCAGATCGCGACCGAGACCACCGTGGACCAAGTGTCTGCGCTACGATGTGGACAAGCCCGGTCTCAATTCGCATTGAGTACGTCCAGCACCGCACAGTCATGTTGGTATTTCCACTAACCGATCAGCGCGACGTTTCTTCCGCTTCTTCAACTTCATCGACTGCTTTGAGCGGGTGTTCGGTCTGCTAGGGGGCAACTCTTCCGACGGCTTTCTTCTGCTGGCCATTGAACTGGTTCGATGGAGTTGTCTGGGATTGTACTTTCTCCTTGAGGATCTGACTATTGTATGTCCACTTTCTCTTACATTCTCTTTGCCGTGACATGGCTGACGGAACAGCTGCACGCCATGAACATCTACCCGGTACCCTGGAACAAGCCGGTCCTGGTGGAAGCGTACAAGTTCTGGTTCTATGCGCTTTCTTTGTCCATTGTGAGCTCTTTGTGGCGGCTTGTATTCAGCACGGAACAGCCCGCGACAACAAAGCAGAGTAAGGGGGAGAAAGCGAAAGCCGCCACGAAGCAGGCTTCGGCCGTGAAAGAACAAAGAAATGCCCTCATCAAGCGCATTGTGATTGATGGGTGTGATCTGTTGATTCCTGGAACTTTTGTCGGGTGGATTGAGGCCAGCGATTTGACGGTCGCGATTGGGATGGTGGTGAGCACGTTGGTGTCTGGGAGGGATGTTTGGGTAAATGCTCAGTGAGATGGGATGAACTGTCTGATAGATATAGACAATGGCATAGAGAGTGGGAAGTACTATAGAGCTTTTCGGAGTGGTCACTATGTGTCAAAGAGATAAAGAACGGTCCGCAATAATCAGCTCCGACAGATGCATATAGATGGAACTTTTCAAGGTCATTCAACTATAAATACAGCATATATCCCAGTCAATTCACTCTCATCACTCTCACACCAGCCAACTACTATCCCAACTACACCAGCAAGATGCCCCTAGTCCGCGCCAACCTCCCCTGGATGATGCAATTCTCATCCAATGCTGAAGACCTCGGAGAAGACCATCCAGAGGATACAACCGAAGATGCCGAGACATCGTTCCTTTACATCCCACATAGTAAACGCGCTGCAATGGCCGCACGCTCCAGCTCAGCTGGACGCTGGCCTAATAAAGTCTTGGATGATGAGGACCAGGAGACCCAGCAGTCCGACGACACGGAAACTCGCTTCGCCTACGTTGAGTTCAAGACAGGGAGGTACGAGGAGAAGCCTGATATCTTGCGCACTGCGATCTCAGCAGTGCGGCGGTATTCGTTCAAGATCTATCCTTCGCGTGTCACCTTGGACCCCCGGAAAGGTATCATTCTCAAGGTGCAGATTGAGCGGGGTTTGGACACTCAGGGCATTTGGAATGCGGTTCGGGGTGCTGCTATTACTCGGTTGAACAGTCTTCTTAATCAGGTTGAATAGGGGATCAAGTGGTGGATGTGTTCGACTTGCTACTATTTCATTATGTTTATTGATAGAATGGTCTTATTCCCTAACTAAAGTGAAACATTCAACTATATGCACTTCCAGTCGTTCTATGCGTTTTTCACCATCCTACTACAGCCCTATCGAATTCGACAATATATGCACTTTCGTAGTTTTTGGATTCTAAAGCGCCAACGTACTCCCTTCCTGTATCATAATCTTGATACCAGTCGCATCCCCCAGAGCTGCTCCGAAAAGTTCATGGTATATCCGGAATACAGACAATAATCTTGGGTTCGTCAGTAGGACTATTCACCAGATGTTCAAATATCAACATACTCCTCCGGGTATAATCTTGCCATCAAAGGCTGGTTATGGACTTGCATAGATAATTCGCGGGAGTTGACCACCGAGTCTCTTAAGTACCTGGCAATGGGACCTGTGACATGAAACTCTTACAGACTTGTCAACACCTATTGTTGCTCCCTCGTAAAAGGACTACGGGCTAAAGGAAGACAGCGCATACATTTGGATCTCGGACTCGGCATGTAGAAACCATCAAATATACTCCGTACTAACAGGCACTAACTGCCGATCACACTGCTGCTGACGACACCGACGCGATGCTGCCGATCCCTATCAGTATCCGCCCTCTGTACTCCGTACAGGGGCACTAAATGCGCCCGCGACGTCGACAACTGCGACTGCGACGCAACCGCTGTCCGTCATGCCGCGATCGCATCGCTGGACCCGCGCGCGAGGCATCGGCGCAGCAGCGATCCTCCTCATCCTCCTCGGCTGGACATCTCTCTACCTCTACTACCATTCACCCGTGCGACACAAGCTCACACAAAGCGTCCGTCCAGCGCCAGCGCAACCAGCGCAGAAAAAAACAAACTTCACACGCACGCTGGTCGTCGCGCGCACCCACGACGCCGACACCTCCTGGGTGGACGCCGTCGCCGCCGAAGACTCCCTGCTCGAGCCGGTAGTCTACACAGTCGACATCGACACTACAAACGCAACGACCCCCACGGTCCCCCAAAACAAAGGCCACGAGGTAATGGTCTACCTAACCTACATAATCGAGCACTACTTCACGCTGCGCGACATCACGCTCTTCATGCACGCCGACCGGCTCACCTGGCACAACAACGAGCTGCTGGACCTGGACTCGGCGCGCATGGTGCGCCGCCTGCGCAGCGAGTACGTCGCCGACCGCGGCTACGCCAACCTGCGCTGCCAACACGACCCCGGCTGTCCGGCGCATGTCCATCTCGACCCTACCGCTGCAGTCGCCGACGGGAGCGTGCCGGAAGCAGCGGTGCTGGGGGATGCGTGGAGGGCGCTGTTCCCCGAGGACGCGGTGCCGCGCGTGCTGGCGCAGCCGTGCTGCAGCCAGTTTGCGGTGAGCGCGGAGACGGTGCGGCGCGTGCCGCTGCTGGACTATGTGGCGTACCGGCGGTGGCTGCTGGAGACGGAGCTGGACGATCTGTTGTCTGGGCGGGTGTGGGAGTATCTGTGGCAGTGGGTGTTTATGGGGCGGACGCAGGAGTGTCCGGATGAGCGGATGTGCTACTGCGCGGGGTATGGGGTTTGTTTGGGGGAGGGGGAGTATGCGGAGTTTTTCCGGGCGCAAGATGAAGCCCGCAGGCTGGAGGGGGAGATGCAGGATGGAGATGTTGAATCCGTCCGCATGCAGGTGGATGCGTTGCATCGCCGGATGGATGAGATCAAATCCATGGCTTGGGGGGTGGAAGATGATACTAGCCAGCAGGGTACATAGTACATTCTAATATATATATATATATATATATATATATATGATATTCAGTTTCGTTCTTTATATACATGATTTTCGCTGGTATCTATCGTGACTCTAAACATCTATCACTGTCCGTAGCCCATCTATCCCGTACAGGCTATACCCATGTATCCCCTAGTCACCCCGCTCCTTCAACAACTCCTCAATGTGCGGGTTCAGCCAGTACCCCGCCAGATCCTCCTTCTTCATGCTCTTCGCGCCATCGATGACTCCCTTGCACGAGTTAGCCCCGCAGTTGCACTGGAACGGCTGGTCCATCTCCCACTCGCTGGACGGGTAGAAGAAGGTGAGATGGTCGCCGACGTGCAGGTCGCGGTTCTGCACCACGCGCACCTCCATCTTGTGCATGTCGAAGTCCAGCGTGGGCGCGCACGAGTGGTTGCAAAAGACCAGGTCGGAGTTCAGCTCGATGTGCGAGTCGCGGCCGGTCTGCACCGAAGTGTAAGCCTTCTTGGCGGGCGTGGCGGTGGTGATCTTGGCCAGGACGGCGCCGGCCGGCAGCGACACGAGGGACTCGGCGTGGCTGCCAAAGGCTTTGGGACTGCGCACGACGCGGATGAGGTTGGGATGAGTTGGTTGTGTGGTGGTGGTTGTAGTGGGGGGAGCGGGAGCGGGGGAGGGGTCGACGGCGATGGGCGACATGATGAGATGAGGGATTGGAATGAGGAATTGACCGGGAGAAATGTATGAGGAGTTGAGGAGAGAAGGAATTGAGCTGAACTGGATATAGAGAGTAGGAGAGAAAGAGAAGGGAAGGGAAGGGAAGAGAAGAGAAGAAGATGTACTCTAGTAGTATTCCGAGTGTTCCCTTGTACCGAGGCGGCTTGACTGTTTGCGGTCACCCGCAGGTGGGTCCGAGTCTATTCCGTTTTAGAATGCCGAGGTTGTTTCATCTTATGCACTCTGTATAGCACCTGATATACTATACATCCAGGTATACTTGTATAGGATATACCCAGGTGTATCAATTCAACCGCGTCTGCAGCTCCTCCCCATTCAACCACCGCTCCAGGTTCGCCGCAACCTCGTCATACCACCCGTGGATCTGCTCATCGCCATACCCCATATGCGGCGTGAGCAACACCTCACTGCGACCCTCGCGCCCCCAATCCGTCGTCCGCCACGGACTATCCGCCGGTAACGGCTCCGGATCAAACACATCCAGCGCAGCGCCGCGGATCCCACCGCGCCGCAGCGTATCCAGCAACGCGGCCTCATCAACCAGCGGGCCGCGCGATGTGTTCACCAGCAACGCACCCGGCTTCATAGCCGCCAGTTCCGGCGCCCCAACCACGCCGCGACTGCGCTCCGACAGCACATAGTGCACGCTGACCACGTCCGCGTCCCGGAAAAGCGCCTCCTTCGACGCCGCCACGACGAAGCTGCCCGCCGGCAGCCCCTGCGCTTCCGCCTGCGCGTCCGCCGCCGCCTGCGTCAGGTTCGCCGACCACGCCGTGACCCGCATGTCGAACGCCTGCACCGCGATGCGGCCCACCTGGCCACCCAGCTTGCCGAGTCCCACCAGCCCCAGCGTCTTGCCGGCGAGCGACATCCCCAGCGAGCCCTGCCAGCCGCCGCGCTTGACGGCGGCATCGTCGCGCGCGACGTGGCGCGCGAGCGCGAGGATGAGCGCCCACGTGTGCTGGACGGTGGAGTTCACGCCGGGTGGTCGCGTGCAGGTCCCTGCGACGGGGATGTTGTGTGCGGCGCAGTAGGCGGTGTCGAGGGCCAGGTTGCGCGTGCCGGTTGTCAGGAGGAGCTTGAGGTTGGGGAGGGCGGCGAGCGTGGTGGCTGACAATGGCGTGCGTTCGCGCATGGCGAGGATGATGTCGAAGGGCTGCAGGCGGGCGATTAGCGCGTCATGTTGCGCGGGGATGCGGGGATTGAGGGTCTCCGGGAAATAGGAGATGTCGATGCGGGAGGTTAAGTGGGAGAAATGGTCCGGAGCGATGTTCTGGTAGTCGTCCAGAACGGCGAGGGTGGGTTTCGACATTGTGATGGGTGTAGGGATAAGAGAGTGGAATGAGTGGGACATGAGGTTATATATATATTGCGCAGGGAAGAGGATATTTCCGCCTCCCCGCATTATTAATCGCCGTTATCGGAGATATATACATATCACCTACTATAGATCTATTTGTAGTTCTACTCCGTATACTCTTGGAGCGTATAGACTACGTGCATTCATGGTTGAAGAATAGAAGGCGATATCCGAGTCTGTCATAATTCCATGTCAACCTTACGTAGCTCAGCACAAATGACCTCACGAAGTATGGAAGTATGGAGGATATAGATATACAAACCCCCCCCTCCAACACAACTCATCCAGCCACAACAACGCCATGCGTACTCTCAGTCCAGACGGCGACAACTACCTCACCTTCCGCCCAGACACCCCATCCAACAAGTCTGGAGCACCCAATGGATCCCTGCAAAGCGAGACGCCGTCCCCGTCTACCTCCCCAGACAACAGCACCAACAGCAATGACACCGACCCAACCGCCCTCCGCGTCTCCTCCAGCATCCTCTCGCGCGAATCCCCCGTCTTCAACCGCATGCTAAATGGCCACTACCAGGAAGCCGTCACCCTAGCCGTGCAGCACACGGTCACCATCAACCTCGCCGAAGACAACCCAGACGCCGCCTTCCACCTCCTCAACCTCCTCCACGACCAGCCATTCCCCCCGCCCGCCGAGCTGGCCCTCGAAACCCTCGCGCACATTGCCTCCCTCGTGGATAAATACCTGCTGCACCGCGCCGTCCGCGACAGCCCCCTCCAGCGCTGGATGGATGCCTTCACGGCGGGCCCGCGCTACCGCGCCATGAAGAACCAGCCAGACGTCTACATGTCCGATATCATGCTGTAGATGGCGACTGCGCGCGCGCTCAAGTGCACAGAGCAGAGCAAGGCCTGGAAGCGCATCGCCATCCGCGAGGCCGGCACCCGCGTGGACCTGTCTGGGTTCCCGCTTGCACGCAGCGTTCAAGGTTAGTGCCCCCATCATTCCAAAGCTACTACGCCGCAGGCAGAGAGGCCAGGCTGACACGCCGTAGACGATATCCAGCGCCAGCGCTTCAACGCGATCATCCTCGTGCGGTCCTTCCTCCAGGCCGAGATGGACACCTACAAACCGCAGCGCGAGTACGACCACGCCGCCCCCGTCGTCCCCTGCGGGCGCTACGAGCGTGCACTATGGGACTCGCTGGTCTTCGGACACCTCAACACCATCGGCACGCAGTGGGGCCTTTTGCCTTGTTCGAAGATGCGGGCGCGCGAGTTCCCCGGCGTGCGTCTGCGGGATCTGGCGCGGAACGCCATGGGTATGGTTGATCTGGACAAACTCATGGTGGCGGACAAGGGGATCGCGACGGAGTGGAGGTTTGACTCGCGGAGCCTGATGAGCACGCTGGGGGCGTTCGTGATGATATTTGCGGGCTTTGTGCCGAGACCGGTTTTCACGCCGAAGAACTCGGTGTACCATCCGGATGATTTGAAGACGAGGTTGGTGCAGCTGCTGCGGGGGATTGATGAGGAGTTGGATCTGGAGATTCCGGAATTGAATGCCTGTTCTTGGTGTGGGCGCTTGAAGCCGGGAGGAACTAAGTAGTTCTGGGTTTGTTTGGAATTGGACTCCTGCGATGGTGTGTTTTCTGTCAGCGGTACGGGTTATGGGAGACCCTAATTGGCCTAATATGGAATGCTTATTGTAGTCAGACGGTTTATCCCTCTAGTCTCTACCAATTAATCATAGTCACGTCTTGAATCCAACGCAGAAAGCTCACTCCACCGACTTTCAAGTTCATGCACCATCTCCGCTGTGCGCCAGCCGATAGCCTTTTCCACCCGCTCGAGAAACCGTAACGAGCCGCGGTGCTCCGCCGGATGGCGAAGTGTGTATCCATCTGTATGATGTGAGTGGCGTCCAGGCAAAGGACGGAGTCTGCTTACACCGATGCAACAGATGACAGGCCATAAAGTAGGCGTTTTCGACGGTCTCGTTAGACATCGACAATCCAATCACCTGCACGATGTGGGACGCCACGGTTTTCTACATGACCTTAGTATCGACTCTCGTTAGACACTGTAGGTCTTACCTCCTCCAGACGTCGCAGGCGCGCCAGCTCATAATCGCTCGATATGCCCCAATGACGGTCCGACAGGGTGAGCAGAATACGACACGTATGATAGTACTGCAGTCCAACAACTATGGTCTGTCAGTACAATTCGACCACAAACTCAACGACATACCGGCAGAAGGAGACATAATCCATGACTCCGGAAAAGGCCGGTCTGCATCCGGTTCGGCCTCTTTATACTGCAATGGCTGCCAGTTCACTGGTCGTGACTGGTACCATTGCTCAACGCTATTCATCAGATGACGCCATTCAGCCTCATCCACGACACAAGAGTGAGACTTTGGGTACAGCTGGATGATTTTCGCACAGAGAAAGATGATAGTATTCGCGTAAGCCGCATCATCCCGCCGTTGAAAGACCGACGACCTCTCATAATTCGTGAGATCCAGCTGCATTGGCTGAAATTGGACGATCGACGCATATATCGCCTGGCGAAGGAACTGCCAGCTAACAGCTTCCGTGATCCCTCCCGAGGACGCAGCGGTGGACATCCTGTTGAGAAGGCGGTTCGATCCGAAAAAGTGACATTGTTCGTCGCTCGGCCGCTTCAGCTCCTCGTAGATCCGTAAAATTACGACGGTGATGAGCAGGTTGGCGTCGTAAGTCTCTTCCGGCCGTGCAAGAGCGGCAATGAGGAGCTCCAGACATTGCCCGTGGTATTCAGAAGCTTCCCAGTCGCTGGTATTAGACATGATGGCGTCGAGTCGGGCAGAGAGGGAAAGGAGGGCTTTGAGAACCATGGGGACTTGGATGGCCCTCCGGGGAACTTCAGTGGAGAAATGGGATTGCAAATCACAGATATCAGCCTGGCGACGGTCAGTCACGCTTTCAGACGCTGGGTATGGATGCCTACCCATGGTGCTATCTTATGAATGAATAACCGCAGAAGAGCTGCTTCTCGCGCACTCAGCTGCAGGTCGCTGACTGTACGGGTGTTGGGCGGACTCAGCGGCGGCGTCACGCCCGCCCAGGGACTCATCGGAGGGAGCGGCGAGACGCCACTTATACCGGGAGGTGAGACCGCCGAGGATGAAGAATAGTGTCTTGAGTCTGCGATCGATGTGACTGATGCCACACCGGAGCTCCCAAGACGGTGGTGCAGTTTAGTCACCGCGTCCGATGCCTGTACAGCATGCGCAAATGGGATTTGCGTTAATGTTGAAAAGTCATTTGGTATAGATTCCATAACATTCTCAGGCGCGACCTTGGTCTTTTCCTGGGGTTGAGATCCTGTATCACTCGTCCCACCATCTGTCAAGTCTCCCGACTCCTGGACAAAGGTCACTGCGTATGTTAGGCCATACTGACCCATCTTGTCAACACAAGACCCTGGACTTACAATTTCTCGGGACTTTCACCCACGTCTGAGCCGAATCCCACTCCAGTGTGAATTTAGACGCGGTCCCCTCACTTTTCTGATAGACATGGCGCACAGTCTTGAAGCGAAAGGCCGGATCCAGACGACAGGTGCGCCCCAGATTGGAACAGGGGTCACAGGACAATGCCCCGGACTGGATGGTGCACCGAATATGGCGAAGACGACAACGTTCACATCCCCGTCCGATTCTCATGGCAGCTTCGGCGGCCAGTGTCGCTGAGCGTTGAGCGCTGTGGGGAAATAGTGAGCGGCGCGCAGCAGCATCTGCAGATTAGGAGCAGTGGAATGGATGAAGGTGACCGTCACGACGGAGGTGAGCGGGAATGAAGGTGAGGCGAAAGATGAGAGAAAGAAACCCAAGAAAATGTCGATTAGGGGAGGAAGAATGATGTGAGTTAGCCCCCCCATCTTTGCCCTCTCGGAGTTTCCCCGCATTCTCCATAGTTACTATGCCTGGGGTGCTGCTTCATCAGTCCCATTATTATCCCACTGGATAGGGTCGATTCGACTGAAATCCATAGGTGGATACGTGAGTCAAGTGGCCGCCTTAGTTTCTCGTCGCTGATGTGGTCATCTCGTGTTATTGTTGCTCGATCCTCACCATGGGCGGATATCGCTTCGGCGATTAACCGTGATGTCAATAGCCGACTCTCTCGGGTCGTCTTGGCCCGAATTCGGCATACAGAGTACACCCAGGACAGCAGGAGGTGCTAGAGCATCCATCTAAGAACCAACGTCCTTGTATGTATTAAGCCCCAACGGCGTTCGATGTAGCTATCGAGGATAGTATCTATCTCCACAGGCATGGGTAAGTGACCAAAGATCCCAGCCCCATAGTCACTTGATCCTTCATCACAGGACAGCGCATCCCAGCGCAGAATCGAACAGGAAGAAAAGTAAAAATATAGATCAAGTCAAGAAAAGAAAAACACAAGTGGGGAATTGAACACATATGGAACTAAGGAAGGAAATGAAAGGGAAGAAAAGAGGTTATCAAAGAAATCCTGGACGCATCCCAATGCTGGAGGGAGAGAAGAAAAGACAGTCAACACAATCACAGAGAAATAAAAGAAATAGAAAGGAAAGTCGATGCATCAAGTCACCGAAGACCGTGGCTGTCCATCTTCCGGTCTCTATTTGGGTGAATCTGCCACTCTAGTTCGAACCACAAGCCTCAATCGTCAGCATCACGTCGTCCATGTACATAATCATCATCACTTCTCCATGGCCTTCGTGATCTAGACGTTTTTATAAAGCAGGAGGGGTTCGCCGATGTTCTCGATCTCCGGAATGGTACACTTCAGGTCGAAGGCCTTGGCCAGAACGATCTTGAAGATCTACATCGTGTCAGCTAGGACTGAGATATGCTTGTATAAGTGGATGAGGCATACCTTTTGTACGTTGATGCTGTGGCTTGTGCTGCTAAAGATCAAGCTAGCTTTCATCGCTTTTGCAAATCGCTTGGCCTTGAGACCGTCAGTACATGGGATTCCACGTCTCGGGATATGGCGTACCTGGATCGAGATCTCTTCCTGGTCTTCGCGGGGGAAGTTGACGAAATGGTCATATTTAGTCCCCACCAGGAAGGGAATGGCCGTCTTGTTGAACCCCCGACCTTGACGATACCACTCCTTGATGGAGTTCAGCGTGCTCTTACGAGTGAGATCGAACATGAAGAGAATGGCAACGGCATCGTTGCAGACGAGGGGAAGCATATTGACAAACTCCCGTTGACCACCCAGATCCCAGATCGAAAAGGTGATTTCCGTGTTGCGAATGGAGATGGTCTTTTCCATGAAATTGACCCCTAGCGTCTGAATATAATCTTCATCCCAACTGCCTTCGACATATTTCACCATCAGACTGGTCTTGCCGATCTGAGCATCGCCGACCATTCCGACTTTGATCACCACGCTGTTCTTGGTTTGTGACGACGGCGGCTGTGACGGCTGTTTCTGGGTGACCTCCTGGGACGGGCCATATCGCTCGGGACCGGACAAACCCGAACTCGGTCGAGATGACGTTGGAGGTTGCGGCTGATGGGTTGTCAATGAGGAGTATTGAGCGTGGGAATCACTGTTATATCCACTGCGGTGGTAGACGGAGGCGCTGGTCGGTTCATCTGTAGACCCGGCGGGATGCGATACCGGTGACGCCTCGAAAGCGGACTCTTGCGGCTGTTGTTCGACCGGCTCCGACACACCGGTGTTGAGATTGTGGATTGTTTCCATTGTTGGAGAGGTGGATGAAGTCGACGACCTGCCCGGAGATGTAAACATGGGTTCGGCGGGAGTGGTGGAGCGGGGGAGCTGAACCAACCGAATTTGCGGGTTTGGGTCAGACGGATGGCTCGACCAGATTCATGGAACGAGGTTTGGTGGATGAATAGTTGGGCACTCTATAACGATTGAATGTCGGTCAGCCCAAAGGGACTTTTTCCCTGGTCTGTGCCGAGGATAGGAAGGGAAAAGGATCAACCTCGACAGCTGAGCTGAGGGTTGTTTGTTTGTATTTACCTCAGCTGATGTGGCGCAGGCGGAGGATAACCCCTCATCTAAACGACCAGTAGGATGGACAGTAGAGAGTCAGCCAAAAGCGCAAGAGGACGAGAGATGTAGACAGCGAAGTGGGAGAAGGTAGCTCAGCAGCCCCTTGGGAGAAGACGGAGAGTCGCAGCTCCAAACAAGAAGAGGCTGAAGACCGTCACCTGGGCCCGATCGGCGCTATTCCGCGATAGGTTAGGCGTCTCTCCCGCGGCTTTTCTCTCTGCGCCGAAAGAAAAAAAAAAGTTCCTGAAACCCTAATCAGCCGTTTTCCCGCCTTCCTTCTTCGACTCTCTTTCCTGTCGCTGCACGACTGGCTCGTCGACAGCGTTTATTTTCCGTTTTATTTCCAGTCAATCACCATGTCCAAGCGAGCCGCCGACGCTTCTGAAGAGCAGGACACCGCTCTCAAGGCCGGAGAACGGCCGGTCGCTGAGGCGCCCCCGGACGAAGTGGGGGAGTTCGAGGATGAGTTCGAAGATGAATTCGAGAGCGAGGATGAGATTCTGGAGGCTGGCGTCGATGGACGCCCGGATGCCGAGCGTGAAGAGGAAGAGAAGGGTACGTATATTGCAAGGTCCGTTCCTCACACGCAGCGCAAATGCCTGACTTGCGACCGTACACCATAGATGCCATGGAGGTCGACCAGCAGACATTCATTCCCGGAAGAACGAAACTGGCCCCCGGAGAGGTGCTTTCGCCTGACCCCTCTACCTACGACATGCTACACACCCTCACCACCCCCTGGCCCTGTCTTTCGTTTGATATCGTCCGCGATTCCTTGGGCGACAACCGCAAAACCTACCCCGCGACGGTCTATGCAGTGACGGGTACACAGGCCGAGGGCAGTCGGGCGAAGGAGAATGAACTCATGGTGCTGAAGATGAGCGGTCTTAGCAAGATGGAGAAGGAGAACGAAACAGACTCGGAAAGCGACTCGGATTCGGACGACGATATGGGTGAACCCATCCTGGAACACCGGAGCATCCCTCTGCCGTCCACCACCAACCGCATTCGCGCCCACCAGACTCCCTCCCAATCGGGCGATTACTCCAAACCCCCGCAGACTATCACCGCGACCATGCTCGAAAACTCCCAAGTTGTCATCCACGACGTCACGCAACACCTCACCAGCTTCGATGTCCCCGGCACCATGATCCCCCCGTCAGCTTCGAAGCCTTTGTCCACTCTGCGCATGCACAAGTCGGAAGGATACGCCCTGGACTGGTCGCCCCTCCAACCGCTCGGCAAGCTGCTCACTGGTGACAACGATGGTCTGATCTACGTGACAACGCGCACAGAAGGAGGTGGCTGGGTGACGGATACGCGGCCATTCACGGGCCACTCTTCGTCGGTTGAGGAGCTGCAGTGGTCGCCGAATGAGCGCAATGTGTTTGCTTCCGCCAGTAGTGATGGTACCGTCAAGGTTTGGGATGTGCGGTCCAAGTCACGCAAGCCCGCCGTGGACGTCAAGGTCTCCAACACGGACGTCAACGTGATGACCTGGTCGAACCAGACTTTCCATCTCCTCGCGACGGGTGCCGACGACGGTCAGTGGGCTGTCTGGGATCTGAGACATTGGAAGCCGAATGCCTCTGCGCCGTCGGCCCAGCTCAAGCCCTCTCCGGTCGCCGCATTTGACTTCCACCGCGAGCCTGTCACCAGTATCGAATGGCACCCGACCGACGACAGTGTCGTCGCGGTGGGTTCGGCTGATAACACTGTCACCCTGTGGGATTTAGCGGTGGAATTGGACGAGGAAGAGAGCCGCGAGGCGGGTATGTCCGACGTGCCGCCGCAATTGCTGTTCGTGCACTACATGGAGTCGGTGAAGGAGGTCCACTGGCAGGCCCAGATGCCGGGTACAGTCATGGCCACGGGTAGTGGTGGATTTGGGTAAGTCCGATATCTTCTATCTTCTCCGTAATATCGTGCTAACTCCTTGCAGTGTGTTCAAGACCATCAGTGTTTAGAAAAGTACGATTGCAGGATTGCCGTATGCGTTGATGAATGGGCTACCATACGTATATCGTCCCAAAATTTGATGACGCCGATTTAATGAAAGTTATTCCCATAGACAGTTATTCCAAGAAAATCGAACTCAGTATACGGTACTGGAGATGCTCTCTCTATTGACTGCATCAAGCTCTAGATTCCCGTGTCATCTTGTTTGTACAACGAGGTCTTGTAAAAGTCCTTCCAGCTCGCATGCATCGGAACAAACTCGCTGGAATGAAGTCGATCAAAGGAGGAATTTCCGATGGCTGCTCCACGAAATGCGGGGCTACCCCTGTATCTGGTGTTGTCATCTGATAGTCCGTGGAGATGTTGTAGTCTTCCTAGCAGCTACGGACGTCGGTGTGTTCTCGCAATAGGAACTCTCTTGGGAGCCGATATCAAGCCCACTGCAATGGACGAGAAGGGAGGATGGTAGAGCCTGACGAGACCACGCCAGGAGAATGTTCATCACTCCAATGCAGCTCTACCTCGACTGGAGAGTGACAATACGGTGTACACGGCTTTACGTCCAGGCCAATATCAAACAAGCGCCATTTCCTATCGCAATTGAGGTTATATATCTGTCTTCCCCAGATCTACATTCTTCAGCTAGTCTCACTTCCACTACAATGGACACCACTCGTCCATTTTGAGTCATGCCATGTCTGCAGCAATGATCCTCTCCGCCATCTCGGACAATGTACCCGCAGTGACATGCATCTCCCCAAACAACTCCGGAACGGGGTCCCCTTCCAGCACTGTACAATACGCAGCCTTGAACCTACGCTCAGAAGTTAGCAAGTGCCTTCATTCCACAGAGAGATCTCACCCCGTTCTACGAGCAGCCGACGCATCCCACGCGTGCGCCGCAGCAAACCACGGCCGACGCCTTTCCTCGAGCAGCCTCTCCAGGAGCGGCTTATAAGCCATCGGCTCCGGCTTCCCCACGCCATGCATATCGCACGACAGCAGATTCTCCTCGGGCATATCAATCCCCGCCTGAGCAAAGTATTTGCCCACCCTCGCGCGGTCGCCCGCCGTCAATGCCCAAACGGTGAAGCCCGCCTCGCGCAGCTTCGCCACACAGTCGGCTGCGTCAGGCCTCATGTCCAGATGCATGTACTCGGACATGATATACGAGAGATCATCAGTTGTCGCGAACGACTTGGGGTTCTTGACGCCGGCCATCCAAAGGGTGCGGAAGAAGAGCTTCTGCAAACATTCATCGAAGGGGATGTAGTTCTTTGAAACGCTGAGATAGGTGTATTCCCTCTCGGCGATCTCGATCCAGGTGGTGACGAGATGGTACGGGGTGATGGTTAGGGCACGCAGTTGGTCGCCAAGGCGAGTGTCGACTGCTTGGACGATGCGATCATAGCAGACGAGGGTTCCGACAACGTCGAAGACGACGTTCTTTCCGTTGGGCATTGTGGTCTAGGTGTATACTGGGTCTGGTCGATGGGGTCGGAGTTCTCGTGTCCACGCCTTGCTTTATATGCGCTATCGCCATGACTCAATATCCCATGCCGATCCATGCCGATGGACGACGATCGACCTCATCGTGACGCGTGCTGACCTACCAGGATGCGAAATTATAGTCTAGTAACTTGGCTTTGTAGAACTACCAGTCGGATGACCGTCTTGCAGCTTACAGTCGACTATCGGGACCTGTGAGGTTATATAGATTGGTAATCTCATGTACCCCGCACCAACATTATACTCTCTACATACAAAGTAAGCAGTTCCCCGCAAGATCATCGGACTTGGTTGCCCGAGAAGAAACCATGATAAATCCGCCATCCTTAACAGGCACTGCTGGCGGTGATGGCGTTTTAGGGCTTCTGAGAGAGTCATATATGACCAGCGCCACATGACAGATGAGCAATCACGAGCGTCAGACGCCCCGTATTGTCGCTGCCGAGATTAAAATGAGACCAGCTCCAACTTCCAGGGCGCATTCGCATCCAGCCCCAAAGTAGGAGTCCTAGAAGACCTATCCTTCCAAAGAATCTTCTCCTCCATCGAATATACATGGCCGACATAGCAGGCTTGGAGGCATACGCCTCCGTCCAGCAGGATGGCCGAAACACCTGGCAAAGCGTCGCAGCCCAGCTGGGACGCCAGCTCTCTGCGACCCCGTCTCACCTATCCCGAGCGCTGTATGTGCCTCGTCACGATAGCAGCATGTCGCACCTCCCATTGTACGACATCAGCACGCGGTATGCAGACGCCGTAGGCGATCTCCCAATCGGGTCCAGCAAATACGCCGTGAAGCTGGGCCTGATGCAGCGCCCTCGCGGCGACGGAGGGGACGATATCCTCGTTCTGTGTAATGCGCACATCAGCCCTGTTGGCGACAGCGACACGGTGAAGGGGTCGGTCCAGTATCGCGGACAGCCGACAGAGCCGTGTCCCGAGGTTGGTCTGTACGTACGCGTCGGCCTCGACCGGCCCGCCCCAGAAGCAAAGAAGCTGAATTCTAACTCGAACCAGGTCCATTGGAACTTCCGACGACAATGTATGCTGTGTTACCATCCCAGACCCTGCTGGGTCGGGGACAAGCCTGCAGTTCGCCATGACGTGCTCCTTCCCTATCAGCCCGTCGGTGACCCGGGAGGGCACCTTCACGCATCCGTACTTTACGTTCAGGCTCCCGGGTGAGGCGGGTGGCGCCGATTTTCAATGGCAGATTCATCCTGTCGAGCATGGGCCTCTGCGATATACCCTGGTTCAGATGCCGCCAGAGGGCCAAACAACGAATGACCCGGAGATCCAAGCGATATATCATCATATCGGGCTGGGCGCTTCGCTTTCTCAGTCTCACAGTGAAGGCGTGCTTTTGCTACCTTCCGCGATGTCGCCAGAAACTTGCGTCATAGTTGTGGCTACTGCATTGGCGATGCTTTCGAGGCTGAGAGGTCTTAACAAGGACCAGAAAGGGCACAAGATGGCCAAGGAGTCGAAACATAGCCGGCTGGCGTCAATTAAGAACCTTGTCAAGGGAAAGCGTACATAGTCATGGTGGAGGGAGTCTTTCCTGTATGTGTCTTTTGTTGATCTTACTAGCCGATAGCAATTCCTGCAGCTGTACAATCGCTTCCACGAGACTAATTTGAAACTCATTGCATCCTGATGAAATCCAAACACCCCGAACGCCCCAACAAGCAACGCAGCCGGATTTCAATCGAAACTGGCGAATACGGTGCTATATAGATCGAGCCTACCCCCTCTTTCAGGTGCGTTGTGTCGTTCAGCCCAACGGATACATTAGATCGAACATGGCCACAAGTGACGAAAAGCCCAACTACCCCATTGACTATGTCCCCCCAACATCGGGTCCCCTCTCCTACCTTCCCTCATCATGGATCCCATTCGCAGAGCTGACGCGCGTAAGCCTCCGAGGGCTCTACCTTGGCTGCATCCCCTGTCTCATCGGGTTGGTGTACGTCGCCAACGTCGCCGAACCCCCGATTCCAAGGCCAGCGCTCATCCGCGCGGCCGTCCAGATGTTCCTTTGGGCAAATATTCACCGATCTGCAGGCTGCGCGTGGAACGACGTAGTCGATTGCGATCTTGATCGCCAGACGAGAAGATGCTGTTTACGTCCTGTTGCACGAGGCGCCATAACACGGGCCAGGGGGACCGTGTTCACCGTGCAGCTTATCATGCTGGAGCTTTTAGTCCTGCGAGGCATCAGCAGAGAGTGCTTCGTTGACATTGCGATTATCATCCTTCTGACGTTCATCTATCCTTTCGGAAAGCGATTCACGCACTTTGTGCAGGTCATTCTCGGGCTCAACTTCGCGTGGACGATCATTCTGGCTGCGCATATGTTGGACGTCGACCCATGGGGCGAGGCGACGAAAGTGCCGACGCTCTGCTTCTTCGCCGCAATAGTGACCATGCCTGTGTTCTATGATACCATCTACGCTTCTCAGGACACGGCAGACGATATCAAGTCCGGCGTGAAGGGAACGGCGGTGCTCTTTCGGGGGTATATCCTTTCGTTCCTGGTAACACTTACCTTGACGGTGGCAGCGCTTCTGCATACAACGGCATCGGCAATCGGGATGGCGATGCCTTATTATTCGCTGTCTGTGTATGGTCCCTTTGCAACATTTGTCGCTTTAATTGTCGCGACGCAAAAATGGAATGTCATGCTTGCAGGCTCGCACTTGCTCTATTTCACGGCTTATTTGAGCCTCCTTGCTGGGCTGTGTGGAAATTATCTGGCGTCACATTGAGTCTGCGGGATACAAATTGAGTAAGAAGATTCTGAGCTGAGCAATCCTGTACTTGTTGCTGAGGGTGGACTGTCCATAAAAACCTAGTATAGCCAGCGGTCCTTCAGCTCGCCTATAGATGTTGATTGCCTAGAGGATCTGGTTGCTAGGGAAGCAGAGTTCGACAGGATTGACAGGACGTCTCGGAAATCGAAATCTGCCCATTGCGCAAGGGGACAGAACAGGAGATTGAGACATAAACATACATGTTCCCTAACATTGATCATCTATAATATCAACAACTGTGCACACACCATTGATTCTCGAGGGATATCCTCATTCCATGTTCAGCTGTCTAATGTCCCACCAAAGCCTGCTGCGCAGGTGCATATCTGTTACCATGCGGCTTCGCATTATCAATGATTCTGCGCATTTCCTGCATTTCCTCCGGCGTCAACTGAACATTGCGCGACGCCCAGTTCTCCTCCAAGCGGTTCAGCTTCGTCGTACCCGGGATAGCAATCATCCCCTGGGCCGCGACCCAGGCAAGAGCAATTTGTCCGGTCGTGCAGCCTTTGCGAGAGGCAAGCTTCTTGATCTCCTCGACAATGGCTTTGTTTTTATAGAAGTTATCACCTTGGAATTTTGGAACTACGGAGATCAGCTGGTCAGTCAGGTTCTACGGTTCGAGACAAAGATACACTCACCGGTCCGCCGGAAGTCATTAGGCGGAAAGTCATCAGGCGACTTGATGTCAAAGTTATCGGTAAGCCAACCTTTTCCAAGAGGACTATAAGCGACGTAGGCCACACCGAGCTCCTTGCAGGTGTCGATCAGGCCGTCCGTCTCGTGGATCGTCTCAAAGGCGGAGTACTCTGCCTGGACGGCATCGATCTTTGCGACTGTGGATGGTTAATTAGAAATCTAGTGGCAAAGGTGGCTGTGGAACACATACTTGAATTGGCCTTGCGAAGGGTCGCCGCAGAGCACTCGGAGAGGCCGATATACTTAGTCTTACCAGCCTTGCGCAGCTCGTCGAGGGCCGGAATTGACTCTTCAAGGGGAGTTTCTATTGCAGTCAGCATGGACCACATATCACCCCAAATTACTGAACATACTGGGATCGATGCGATGGAGATAGTACAGATCAGGGGTAAAACCAAGCCGTTCAATAGTGCCTTCGATATACTGTTTGATGTGCGAGGCAGAATTGGTGACTGAGCCGTTTCCAAGGACATTGAGGCCAGAGCTGGCAGTAGAACCATCTCCAAAGACGTTGAAGCCACACTTGGATGCAACTATAGGGTATGAGCCTGGCTAGAGCTGTTGGTTGCCAGTAGGCTAGATCACGTACCAAAGACTTTGTCACGGAGATTATGCTTCCTGATAAAGTCGCCCAGAAGCTTTTCATTGACACCAGCTTGATAAACAACCTGTTTATGGCCGTTAGCCCATGCATCCACAGTACTCAGAAGAACTGGTTCACTCACAGCAGTGTCCCAGAAAGTACATCCTAGTTCAATGGCCTTCAGCAGGACCGGCTCGGCTTCCTCATAGCTCAGGTTCTTTCCAAAGCCAAAGCTGAGACCCATAGCGCCAAAGCCCGGAGTAGGCACCTGGATATCAGCAAATGGAAGAGTGGTGACCATTTTTGTAGGATTAGAAGAGTACTTGGTGATTGCAAATGCAGTTCCGTCGTGGTTCACAAGAGACTGGAATTTGGAGCAGCTGGGTTGGTTATATAGGCATCCTCGTCCCTCCAGAGACGACGACTAACATGTTGGAAGAACCACTTCCGCTTACAACAGCGGATTTCTTGCCCCACTGAAGCTTTTGGAGGATCTTCAGTTCTTGCCACGGCTAGGCGGAGATTACATTGTCCAGCGGGGATAGTTCTTAATATCCGTTCTCTCTGCGGCGATTATGGCCTATTAAATTGTGCCGAGTCGTTGAGGAAACGCATATGTGGGTATGCTCAATTTCTGTTTTATAAAGATGACCTCGAGAGAGGCTCGCGATGGACTATATTCTGAATCCTCTGTGTGTCCACAGTGCCGACAGGGAGATAGATCTCTTAACTCCGATAAATCCGCATCATACATCCAACGTGACGACACTGTTGAATGTACATCATTCCACTCGTTTCCTATGATCATTGAGGTAGAGAACTCCCACCTGAAGCTTGCGCATTTGGCCACTTGTATTCCCTGTCAGATGTCCTTGTATACTACCTACATCCCTGTAGGGGCAGTTCGGAAACACGAACCGGTAAACCCGATGAGATGGATCGGTCTCCGAGCTGCAAAGCCGTTCGGGGCTACGCCAGACGCATCGAACAAAGATATAAAGGACTAAGGCGTCCATAACTTCGCAACATAGCGGCTTGATCAACTACAGCAGCAGTACTTCATTAGCATCGAACATGTCCAAGCTCGTCATCTTCGGCGCCACCGGCCAGCAAGGCCATTCGATCCTCACCACCGTGCACAATGACCCCGTCCTCTCCAAACAATACTCTATCCGGGCCGTCACCCGGAACACATCCCATCCAACCGCCCAGGAGATCGCCAAGAAAGGCATCGAAGTCGTCCAAGCGGACCTCGACACGCCAGCCTCTCTCCCGGCCGCGCTAGAAGGCGCCGACGCCGTCGTCCTGATCACAGCGACAGTCTACGACGCGGAGTTAAAAGAACGCGAGTTCCGACAGGTCCAAGCCGTCGGCGACGCCTCCGTCGCCGCAGGGGTGAAGTTCCTCATCTACAGCAGCTGCGTGCACAGCGCGAAGTTGTGGAACGGCCGTGCAGTGGACGCGTTCGATTCCAAAGCCGAGGCGGAGGCGTATCTGCGCTCGTTGCCGTTGAAAACGGCCTTCTTTGCGCCGGGCATGTTCATGCAGAACCTGGCCACCTTCATGGCGCCCCGTCCGGCCGGCGACGGCACCTACAGTATCGCCAGTATTGTCTCGCCGGATGCGAAGATCCCGTTGATTGATGTGGTGGGCGATTCCGGTACGTTCGTTGCGTCGCTGTTGCGGGACACGGAGAAGGCTGCGGGGACGACGCTTTACGCTGCGACGAGCATGTACGGGTTCAAGGAGATCGTGGAGGTCATTTCGCGCGTGTCGGGCAAACAGGTGAACTATGTTCGGCTGCCGGAGGAGGTGTATGCTGGGTTCATGAAGCCCGACCAAGGGCAGAGAATGGTTGCTATGATGCGGTTCTTTGAAGAGGTGGGATATTTCGGCCCGGATACTGAGAAGCTGGTTGATGAGACGCTGAAACAAGTGGATGGGAAATTGACGTCGTTTGAGGAGTTTGCGGAGAAGCATCTCGTGGAGTTCTAGACATGCACCATACTTGACAGGGCAGTGAGCACTATCCAATAGGTCCAACGGTGATTATAATATTTTCCGACTCCAACTCAACGCTGATTCCTGCGTTCAGTGTGGATGTTTATACAATTCGTAACGTTTTATTGATGCCAGTTTCTATGATAATATGTCCAACTGAAAGTATACATACCAGACGCCAGCGCTATTCGATATCCAAACCCGATGCATAATCGACCTCAGACGATCGAACAAGAATCATACAACCATGTATTCTCCACCAGCTCCATTTGCTTTCATGGCCTTGTGCCAACGGAGCCCTTTCTTTTCAGTAGACACCCAGACAGAGGAGACGTTAGACCCGTCCGGCGCTGAACGAGCAGACAAGGTCTCCGCCAAGAGCACAGGGTTGACGCCGTTCAAGATTTGAGGAGAAAAGTCCAATCCATCATCAGGCGAATCATCAAGCCAAATTCTCTCCAACACCTCGAGGCACGATATGTTATTGAGAAAACCCGAGTCCCTCGCTATGTCCCTACATCGCTGGCGGATTGTGGAGCGATGGCTCTCAAGCACACATTCGGAACCAGCAATGAATAAGGGCCAAAGTAGGTAGACATCTGATTTGACCGCCGCAATATGTTGCATCGTAAGATCAACGAGGGTTTGGAACTGAGGATGGGAAGATGGCAGGTGCGGGTGTGCCAATCGTTCGGTGTAGAGCATGGCCGCATGGCGAAAACACTCGGATATGTGGTACACATCGTCCAGGTGCCGTGTTGGAGCGGTGTCCTGAGTTTGTGCTTCACGAGATGCCATCAGACTTGGATTCATGCCCATCACATCTACAATGGGTGCCTCTACGGCACATGCTGGCGTGCTAGCCTGAAGATTGAGACGCCAGGAGACAAGCTTTTGCCGCAGCGAAAACCACTCAGCCCAGAAGGCGGACGACATTGAAGATCGACCCTTCTCGCCGGCATCTGATCGAGACAACTGGGACAAACAAATCGTTCCAGGCATGTCTTGTGCTGCTGTTGATACTCCAGCATAGGCCATCGACGGTGGGACGGCGGCAGATGGAAGGGACAGTTCCGATAGCGCAGGCGTAGTTACTTCTCTGTTCTGGCTCAGGAAGTTCAAGCGGCCCAGCTGGGCTACATATCTAAAAATCTGCGTATCACATCCGGTAAGAATTTCCAAACCCCGCTCGCTATCAGCCGATGACGCTATTTGCAAGCAAACGCCGCGAAGCTGTGCCTCCCGGTCATTCGTTATAGCAGTCATCGTATCGTACCATGTAAAGACCCGAATGAACCATTTCAAGTCCTCCGGTATTTCTGATGAAGTGCGCATTCGGATAGCCAAGAGTTTCATTACTCCGGCATACTGGGTCTTGAATTGGGCGACACCAGTATCACATCCATGGAATAGACAGAGGATCAATAACGTAGCCAGGACAGAGTCCGAAAGTCGCTGGTGATGGTCGGCAAGCTGAGAATTTAATATGCTCACTGCTCTGCCTCGATGATAATGCTCCTCCCGAGCCAGGTCCTCCAAGTTTGATATGAGAGAACTACTTTGGCTATCAGCATCGGCCAATGCTTGGTGAGCCCGAGAAGACATTTTTGCTGGCAACGTTCTCTCCGTCGACATCATCTTGCGCTCTCTCCTCCTCCGTATATTGCTGACGGATAGGGCTGCAATCGCTTCCTGGAGGGCTATGTTTTCCTCGGCTAGACGTAGGATGCAGGTGCGGAAGGGGTTCGTAGGGCTATCGAAGGCGATAATCATTGGCGCGATGACCTCAGAATAATAGCTAATGAGGTAGCGAAGACGGGGGGAATGTCCGACTGATCTCGCGAGGAGGAGCTGGGAAAATGACGGGGTCGGACAACCAATCATCCATATATTGGAGCTTCCAACCCTCCCTGGAAGCCCATGAATACCGCGACTGTCCATTCTCGTTACGCAACCCGCCAAAGTCCACCCATCGTAATGAGGTTCAGTTCCATCTTCGTCATCGGCAGATTCCGTGTGCCGAAATGGGTCGGTCCCTGTGGAATAGGAATGTGGAACGGGGGCCGGAGGTAGTTCGTATACACTGTGTGAACCGAATCGAGCCGTTTCGCCGGAGGAAAGCCATTGCGCTTGTGTACAATCAGACGGGTCGCCGTGGTTGGAGAAAGACGGAGACGTGGTTTCTTGTGGGGAGGAGTCACTCTGTGCAGCTCGCGACGGATGCAGGGGAGGCTCAGGAGACGATGCAGGCGGCCCAGACTCCCTTATCGGCACCGCTAAACCCCGCAATTTGCCCCGACTGGCAACGCCCACACCCCAGGTAAGAGTGGTTTTGTATCCTGAGCATTCTAAGCCGCGATCTAAACACTGCGAGCAAAATGGCCGGTTGCGATCGCATTGCAGTCTCTGGCGAGCACAGGTAAAACAGTCATCCCGCGCTCCTGTCACGACGGTTCTTCTCCGTCTTTTCCGCGGGGCAGGGTCCGACGATGACTTGCGCTCTTTCTTCGAGGCGAGTGTCATCTCCTCACCATATATGAGACCGGGGATCAGATCTTGGTCTGATCTCACATAGGCGACGAACCAGTGGCGATTGGGGTGTGCCTACTGCATAGGTGCGCAGGCAAGGGTTCGGATTACAAATAGCCAGCAAAGGTAGGAAAGGCGATAGATGAGAATTCCGGGCCTTGAGAAAGTGATGTGATGTCGAGGTTTGTGGATTTGTTGGACCTCAAGAAGGGGGGCGGTGAATTGAAGGTGCGAATAAGCCCGCGGCACAGTAAGGACAGAAAGGCGATGTTCTTGGCTGTATCATCTGTCGAAGATCATCCATGGGTCATCCAACCTTTTCAGAACTCCAAGCACGCAGCGGGTCGGATTTAAGGTGGTTCGAGCCCGAGGTGAAGAATCCCTCATTGGACACCGATCGTGACGCGCGAACTAGCGTGTCCTGTGGGGTTAAAAGAAGCGATTGAAGGCCTGAACCTGAGACCATGGATCTCTGCGATGTCAACCACGTCCAGTGCTGATGGCAAGCCTGTCGTCGTCTTCTCACGGATCCTCAACGAACAAGCATCTTGGACATGATGTCATGGCGTGCGAACTCTGCTAACATTCCATTGGATTCCACGTGCAATTGTTGATATCACAGGCGTGTTTGAGATGTTCGAGGAGATGAGACAAGACGGAAAGATTCACTGAGAGAAGGATGCCATCTATCCTCCTAGTTACTTCATGATATTCCAAGAGGGTTTAGAGAATCGAGACACCCATAGCCTACCTCTAGGCCGTTTGATGCGATGCGGAAAGGGTCATCAGTGTTCCGTCGTACCATCGTCGTTGTGGCGCATGTTTCCACGTGAAGCTCGCCTCCCGACCGACCAACATGGGCTATACTTGAGATCCTTTCTTCGTTTCCGTAGGGGCAACCCCAGAAAGGCGATGTATTGTATCTGTCAATGAAGGCATGAGAGACCGTCATGGTGGAGACCAACTTGCCACTTTTGGACAGCTGGACAAATTCTGCCACCGCCTTCCCTTCCGTATACACAATGGCGTTGTTCGCTCCCTTAACTGCTCCCCATAGATCCAATCTCATGGGATTCTCAGTTCCCACCAAACGTGGCCAACATCCTCAATTGTTAGCATATAACTAGTCGCTTCGTCTTCCATACCTCCCAACTGACACCACTGTTCGCAGAAACGCCCGTGTTTGACCGCCTTGATCGTCCGACCCGAAACACTTCTCCTGAGCGCCAACATCGAGAACCCTGTCCCCTTCTCAATCATGCTCATTTACTTCTGAAACGACCAGCGTCTTTTATCCGTCACCCCTCAATGCGATTCTACTTCCGTAGGCAATTGACGCCCTAGAATTTCCGTGGCAGAAGCGCACGTTACAATCGCTGGATGGTTCCCGGTCTCAACACACGAAGCGCAATAACTACGCGGAGGAACGACGACAGGCCGGAATAGCTCCATACCATGGCAATCATACGCCCAGGCAGGATAAGGTCCATTCTCTTTCTGACCTTCGCCTTAATCCTCATCTGCACCTTCTACCTCTACTGGACTCCGCCGCCTGCCTCCACGATCCCCAGTACCGCCTTCGAAGTTCCGCTTACAGAGCGCCAGAATATCTTCTGGAAGGCCCTCAAACCAATTCTCGATGCGCACGCTCCAAATTGTCCTCCTCCCACCCTGCAAGCAAACGCGGGGGCACATCACTTCAATGCCTCTACTACGGATCCCCGTCCGGACCTGGTCATGTTTGATAACGAGAACGACATCGTAGCGATGGAGGAAGCCCATTCGGGGTATATAAACGCTGTTCGGAACGATAAGAAGCTGCGTCCCGCGCATTCTCCGGGGACGCGCGGTATCGTGTCGACGGCAGGCGGCGCCTACTTGCCCGTTTTTGTATCCTCACTCCGGATGCTGCGTCGAACAGGATCCACTCTACCCGTTGAAGTATACATGAAGGACATCACCGAATATGAGAAGCAACTCTGCGAAGAAGTCCTCCCCGAAATGGGTGCACGGTGTATGGTGCTCTCCGACGTGATTGGGAAGGATTCGATCGCACATTTTCAGCTCAAGATCTTCGCTGTCCTTTTCTCATCATTCGAAGAAGTCATCTGGATGGATGCCGACTGTTTCCCCCTGGACAAACCCGAGATCCTCCTCAACAACGAGCCATATAAGTCAAATGGCCTGGTCACTTGGCCTGATTTTTGGGCGTCATCGGTATCACCCGAGTACTTTCGCATCTCTCGCCAGGAAGTCCCTCCAATGACCGAACGACAATCTTCCGAGGCTGGAATCTTCCTTGTGTCAAAACAGAACCACTACTTCACACTCCTGCTGGCCGCTTATTATAATTATTACGGTCCGTCGCATTACTTCCACCTCCTCTCACAAGGCGGGCCGGGTGAGGGTGACAAAGAGACCTTCCTGCAGGCCGCTCGCGCGGTGAATGAGCCATTTTACGCTGTCAGCGAGAGAGTGCAAGCTGTCGGCCATCGTAAGGAAGACGGTGGGATCTCTGGCTCCGCCATGGTACAATCGGATCCCATCGGGGATTACGCCCTCACTTCTCAAGGGAAGTGGCGTGTACAGGATCCGTCAGTGGACAATCCGCCCCGAGTCTTCTTCATCCACGCCAACTACCCCAAGTTCAATCCGGCAGGAGATGTGTTCGGAACGCAGTTTGAGACAGCTCCCACTGTCGGCCCAGACGGGCAAGACTCGAGAGCCTGGACTGCCCCCGAAGACACTCTCAGACGGTTTGGTTTTGACATTGAACGAAACTATTGGGAAGAGATTAAGTGGGTCAGCTGCAACCCGGACATCAAGTTCCGTGCATGGCAAGTGAAATCAGAGATTTGCGACAAGGTCGTCAGCTACTGGAACAATGTCTTCGCCGAACCGCACGAGGATGATCCTGTTTTTGTAGCTGATGGGTGAGACAGTGCAGAGGCAATATGATATGAGGCTGCTGAGTGATTCGGCTAAATGGAGTCCTTGGCGGGCTCTGCCAGACAAGGCTCGACCTGAGTCGGTAGCGTCTGGAAATCGAGCACCGATATCTTCATGCACCATCCTATCGAGGAAGGTTACGACTCTATAGCTCGAGCCATGGCACAAAAACTATTAATGTACCTAGCGATTACGAGATGACGACTTGGTTGAGACTCCTGTTGTATTATAACGTTCGACTAATGTGACATATCATGAAACCGTCCAGTGACCAGAATGCAGAGTTGCCTGCTCCTTTTGCAAGTCCCCTGACGCCGCAACCCGTCCAACGGACGCTGAAGAAATTCATTTGATTCTCGAAAATCGTCGCTTATTTCTTGATACCCTTCTCTCTCAAGCGCTGCTCATCTTCTTCTTGCAGCTCTTGGTCGATCTTGGCGCCCTTGGAGGGTTCATTGCCGTGGAGTTTTGCCTGTCGCCATGTTAGCCCAAGTCCAAACCCTTCGCATGGGAGTATAAAAGCCTACAGGTTTCGTGGAGTCCTTCTGGCTGATGGCAGCTTCCGGATCGTAGTCCTTGTTGTGGTGGTGGCTAGGATCCGGCTTCTGACCCTGGGAGGCGAGCTTGTTGGCTATGGAGCGGTTGTCCTCTGGTTCGGTTAGCGGGTGTGCGTCAGTAATCGCAGGAAGTGCAAGACTCACTCGAGTCGAGGTTCTTGTGGCTGTGCTTCTCGCCCTCCTTGTAGCGATCACGCTCATGAAGTTCGGCCTGAGGGACGTTGCGCTGGTCGCCGGCTTCGTAGAGGTGGCTGCTGCCCACGCTGGATTGACCGGACATGTTGATTTAGATAAGGAGATAGGATTGATAGTTGAGGATAGGATGGTATTCAGGTTATTGAGGTGAATTCAGGTGAATGTAGGTAGAAGGTGGTCTTGATGATGAGAAGGGTTAGTTATATAGACTTCATTGCTGGACGGGTGATGTCATGGGTCGACTCATTGAGATCATAGGTGGGTCACGGGTCTTCCAGGTTTGTACCAGGCAAGAGGACATACTACCTCATGATGGAGATAATGAGGTGCATAGCATGTTGATCTTCATTCCCTGTGTGATGTTACGGCGGTGCCTGGTGCGTGGTTGATACTCAATGGCATACATACACTTGGTGGATCATCGACAGGTCGGAACATACTAGTACAGACCAACTAGTCGCAGGTTGAGATAGAATCCAATTGGGTTTCTTGGCAACAGACTGATTTACAACAGTGCACAACTGGACTATGGCGAGACGGCATGGTATACATCCTGTGCGATGAAGCTGTACTCCGTAGAGAATGCCTCTTAGGGCTGACGATACATCCCCACAATCACCTTGCACAGTCATCGGCACTTACCCACCACATCTCCCACCACCCTTCCAAGAACTGTATAGCCATTACTCCTGAATATCATCCATATCAAACTACAGCTGGCTACCGCGCCCTCACATCAACAATCCCAAGCAATACTCCGTCGCGAGCCATAAGAAAGCAATCACGATGCCCCCCACCATCGAACCCCGCTTCGCCCAACTCTTCCAAGATCTAGAATCCCGCTTCCAAAAGACCACCACACTCCCATCCGACAAGTGGCCCATCTTCGCCGCCGGAGCCCTCGTAGCGAGCCCGGACCACGAGCGCGCCGACCAGCTCTACCTCTACCTCACGCAGCAGCCCCAGCACGCCACCCCACCAGCCCGGCAGGCCCTCATCCGACGCCTGCGCGAAGCGCTCTTCAAAAGCATCATCATTGTCGGCGTCTGCAAGCCGATCGAAGCCATTCTGGCCATCAGCAAGGTTGAGCGCGACGAAGACAAAGACTACACCTTCACGCGCGACGGGTGGACCAACGACGCCGCCAACCGCGAGCGCGGCCTCGGCTGGCTGGAGAGGCTGTATGCGCGGAACACGTCCGGCACGCTGGACTTGTTCGCGGCGCACCGCGACTTTGCGTGGCTGTCGACGGATATCACGTACGGCTTGTTTCTGTCGGACCGGCAGGTGCTGGACGATGTCGATACGGAGATGGTGGTGTTGCCGGCGATTATGAGCCAGAATCTGAAGGCTGTGACGCACTGGCATATTCGGGGCACGCGGCGGCTGGGTCTGCCCAAGGAGGATGTGCAGATTGTGTGGGATTGTGTGCAGCTGGTGGCCGGGTTCTTTGGGGTGAAGCTGGATAAGGTGCCTACGGTTGAGGAGGTGGAGTATGATGTTTGACTTGGGTGATGATGGTCTTTAATGCATTAGACGGTGGAATGATTATAAATTGACTGAAATGGTGGGAATACATGGCTGTCAATCTGATGACCGTCACAATTGCACTTCATTCTTCTTGTAGGACAGTGATATATTAGATACTATGCAAAGATGACAGGGGGCGGGTGTTACCTTCATTGATTTGGATGATTGGAAATTATAGACCGAACACTGGATGGGCCTTATTATGTCTAGTTCTACTTACAAGTGATTAAGTACCTCGATCGCCTTCGACACATTACGTGACGAAAGAACTGCAAGGTTTCAATGTACGGATGTTCTGTATGGCGTTTATTTCTATCATGTACTCTGCGTTTCGGCCTCTAACTTTTCTCCAACATCAGCACCATATGCCTGCCCTCTTAATCTATCACTGCCCTAATTCTTGTCTCTTCTTGGGCAGGTAAGGCCCACCACCCCGTTTCGAAAAGCCCCAGCGGATTTGGTTTGCCATAGATAACTCGAGATTGAGCTCCTCCGCCCATGTCCAAACGAGGCTGGGGTTTTTCTGGAACCCGCGACCTACCAGAACCATATCGAGGCCATCCTTCTCAAGCAACGAGTTTGCCATGTGAGCCGAGTCGATCATGCCGACAGTCCCGACGGCCAGCTTGTCTCCGACAGCCTTCTTCACTGCGATAGCAAACGGCGCCTGAAATCCGGGCTTCGCATGGATGTGCTGCGCCGCATGCGTACCGCCACTGCTGACATCCAGCAGATCAATATTGCCACTTTCCGCCAACGCCTGCGCAAACCGAACCGTGTCCTCCACACGCCAGCTAGGCTGGTCAGGCATGGACTCCTCCAGCCAGTCAGTCGCCGACACGCGCAAGAACACGGGCATATCCTTCGGCACCGCCTCGCGCGTCAGCTTCGCAACCTCCATACTCAGACGAATCCGATTCTCGAAGCTCCCGCCGTACTCGTCCGTCCGGAGGTTGACCGCCGGAGAGAGGAACGACATAAGGAGGTATCCGTGGGCATTGTGAATTTCGACAAAATCCGCGCCGGCCTTCACGGCCCGCTTCACGGCGGCCACCCAGGCGGCTTTGAAGTTCTCAATGTCCTCCTTGGACATCGACTTGGGAGTCGGGACGTTGTCCGAGAAGGGAACGTTGGATGGTCCTTTCACACGATCCGGCCAGCCGCCAACTTTCTCGCTGGCGGCGTCGTTAAACGACAACCACGGAGCGACCGTGCTGGCCTTGCGGCCGGCGTGCGCAATCTGCACGCCGATCTTCTGGTTCTGGCTGTGCACAAATTCGATTACGTGGCGCAGCGGTTCGATCTGCGAGTCTTTCCACAGCCCTAGGTCCTGCGGGGTGATGCGCCCTTCGGGTTCCACGGCGGTCGCTTCCACCATAAGGAAGCCGGGTCCACGCTGCGCGATTCCACCCAAGTGGGCCATGTGCCAGGATGTCATATGGCCATCATCACCGGAATACTGGCACATTGGCGAGACCTGTCCATCGAGATGTATTAGAGGGTTGAAATCTAATAGTTAAGGTTGTAACAGGCACCTACCCCAATGCGATTGTGAAGTGTCAAACCTCGAATTGAAAGAGGCTGGAACAGTTTTGGAGGGGTTGACCCGTCTGACTGCGGGTTTGCAGCAGTTCCCGCGGGGGGGTTTTGGGCCGGAGTGAAGTAGGAGATGCCCGGGGCGGGTTTATTCTCGATGTCAGGGAATTTAGCAGACGGCATGTTGTCAATGCAGATCTTGTCTATACTGGTGAGAAATTGTCTATCAGAAGGAGTTATAGGAGGATGTGTTCAGTATGCAGGGCTGCAAGGTCTTTTGTAGTTACCTCGATCGATGATGTCAGCGTCCAAGGAATTTCCTAATCAGGAATATCCTGTCAAGCTCCCTTTCCGCGCAATCGCTGATTTCTAATCACCCCATCTACCCAATGTCATACCATTGATCGAATGATTCGATTGATAAATTTAATACTGCTGTAAATACAGTTCACGGTTTCCGGGTTTTCCGTCGTCTTTCAGCGCTGAGGGTTAGTATATCGAAGATGATGATCCTCTGTAGACGTCAAATTCTTAGTGAGCCAGTGACCATTCTCCCCAACCCCTCCACATTCAATCCCTTCCTATTATCGTTTGATTCACTTCGTTAGAACAATGTACTCCAATGAATGAGCCGAGTCCAGACCGGAAGTATAGGATTAGTCACCCGCGCTACCCCTTTTTGGCGAACCTTGCGATCTCCGATCACATGTGGGCCTCGACCAATCAGCGCAGCGTCTGATTAAACCACTTTGTTGTCGTGAATCTTCGATCTTCATCCTCTCCGAAGTGCTGTCACTGATCCTGCATGCTTATTCGCATCATTACGAGGCTATTGGATCGGATCATGGGTAGCGGTTCCGCCTGATCCTGTCGGTATTCGGGCTCTCGATGTCCCCACTAGGCTGTGTGGCAACTAGGCAGCTTATTTCTCGTCCATCAGTTGGGATAAAGAAAGCTTCCTGCTACTAGTGTGGCCTCTCTTTCAGATTCCATGGTTCACTAGTCTTCCCATCACCTTGATAATCTCCCCCCTGATCAAGGTAGTTGATCTGAGCGCGGATCGCTTCATATATCAGAGAAGACCAGGCCGGAGTGCTGTCCTTGGAACTCACCACAAACCACTCTGGACATTCGCAAAAGGTCGTGTGAAAAGGAGACCCTCCATCATGGCCGTCCCATTCGGAGTCATCTATATCGCGCTGGCCGCATATACCTTGACTCGCTCCACCATCAACAACTTCCTCCTCGTCTCGGTTATCACAGCCCTGGCCAAGTTGGTGTACAACTTGGTCTTGTACCCAGACTTCTTTACTCCCATCAAACACATTCCCACACCCGCTGTAAGTCACCCCTGGTATCCACGTGCCAAGTCGAAACACGTCTAATGGAACCAGACTCGGTCATGGTTGAAGGGAAACACTCGTTCAATCTTTATTGAATCTCCTTTCGCCCAGATGCGAAAGTGGCAGAAGGAAGTGCCCAACGATGGCCTGATCCGTTACTATATTACCGGAAACCTGGAGCGGATCCTGTTGACCAAGCCTAAGGCTCTCAGCGAACTCCTCGTCTACAAGGTCTATGATTTCCCGAAACCAGAATTTATCCGCAGTAATCTGGCGCCCATCACCGGTGAACATGGCGTTCTCCTTGTCGAAGGAGACGAGCACAGGGTCAGAGAGTCCTTCCCTGATTTACCAGCACATCTTGACTAACATCATGACAGAAACAACGAAAGAATCTTATGCCCGCCTTTGCTTACAGACACATCAAAGATCTGTATCCGATCTTCTGGGCGAAAAGCACCGAAATGGTCCGGACGATCGAAAAAGACCTCAAGAACAGGACCGACCCCACGGACAATGTCGTTCGTGTGGGCACATGGGCCAGTCGAGCCACCCTGGATATCATCGGAGTCGCAGGCATGGACCACGATTTCAATTCGCTCCAAGACCCCGACAACAACCTCGTACAGCAGTATCATAAGATCATGACCGAGCACCCGAAATACGTGAAGGTTGCCTTCGTCCTCGCCATGGTAATCGGAGTCCCCAACCTTGTCTCCAAGTTGCCCTTCAAGGTGAATATCCAGACGAAGGAAAGCTCCGAGGTGATCCGGGCCGTAGCCCGCGACATGATCCGCCAGAAGAAGGAGAAGCTGGAGAACAAGACCGCCAAGAACAGCGTCGACATCATCTCCGTCGCCCTAGAGAGCGGCACCTTCACCGAGGACGACCTGATCGACCAGATGATGACCTTCCTCGGCGCAGGCCACGAGACGACCTCGACCGCCCTCCAGTGGGCCGCGTACGCGCTCTGCAAGCACCCCGATGTGCAAACCCGGCTGCGCGAAGAAGTCCGCAGCAACCTCCCTTCGATCTCGACAGACAACCCCGAACCTCTCTCCGCAGCGACCCTGGACACGCTGCCTTACCTGAATGCATTCTGCAACGAAGTGCTGCGCTTTCACCCCTCCGTGCCCGCGACGATCCGCATCGCGGCCCGTGACACCACTCTCGTGGGCGCCCACATCCCCAAGGGCACGTTGATCCTGCTCGCCCCGGAAGTCGTCAACCATAGCCACGAACTCTGGGGCCCCGACGCCGACCAGTTCAACCCGGACCGGTGGCTGGGTCCGGGAAAGGCCAACACCGGCGGTGCCACCAACAACTACGCATTCCTCACCTTCATCCACGGACCGCGCAGCTGTATCGGACAGGGCTTTGCGAAGGCTGAGCTGGCCTGTCTGGTCGCCGCGATGGTTGGCAAGTTCCAAATGGAGCTGAAATACCCCGATGCTCCACTCGATGTGCGGAGGGGAGCGACTGTGTGTCCGAGAGATGGGGTTTTGGCCAAGTTCACCCCGTTGGAAGGATGGTAGGCCTCATGAGGTCGACTTGTAAATATCAGATACCATTCGCTTTTGTATTAGCATAGACCGGATCTACCGTGGGCATTCTATTTGTACGGCTCTCTAAACACCATGACTCTCTCTATCTCTTCTCCATTAACCCCCTCTTCTATCCATGCCCGCCACATCCCTCCACAGTTGAAGTCAAACACCACCTTTCCTCGCCGTAATCTCTTCTCGTCGGACAACCTTAACGTCCCCATCTCCATCTCCGCCTCAATACCAATAATCCCTCCCTCCCCTTCGCCCGTGACACCCCATCGCCGTCCAGCGGATCGCTGCAACTCGCCCCCAGGCCCAGCGACAGCATTCACCGCGCTCGCAAGCGTCTCGACCGCCGAGAACCGCAGCATCGCGCACGCCGTCCGCGCCGCCGCAACCCGCAGGAACGAGTCCCCATTGCCCGTCCCCGACACAGCAACGGCGCGTCTCGTCGGCGCCCCAGACAGCCGCCCACGCTGCTCAACCTGCACTCAATCAGCCCGGTCCCCGCTCAACCAACTCAGCACAAAACATAACATACCTTCCCAAACAACGGCGCCACGCACTCCCCGAGCGTCACATCCCAGAACCCCCTCTCGCCATCATCCTCCTCCCCCCTCCCATCTCCCTCCTCCCACGCCTCAGCCCAAAACCCCGCCCCAAGCGTCGGCGTATCCCCAATCCGCCCGGGCCACTTATTCGTCAACCCGCCCGTACTCGTCGCGACGGCCAGATTCCCCTCCGCATCGAGACAAACACACCCGACGGTGCCCTGGCTGAGCGCCAGCCCGCCGGTCCGCCCCTCCAGCCCGCGGCGATGCTCCTCCCACCGCCGCCGCGTCCAGAACCACTCATCGGGCATGAACTCGAGGCCCCACGCGCGCGCGCGCTCCTCCGCATACGGCGCCACCAGCTGGCCGTGCATGCTGCCGCCGTCGTCGCGCGGACTGCCGTCCGCCGCGCAGCCCGTGCGGAGGAGGGACTCGCGCGCCAGCTGGATGGGGTGGCGCACGTTGCGCAGGCCCATGACGGCTGCGCCGCGTTTGAGGGAGCCCGGGTACGAGGGTGCGCCGGCGGATGTGGCGGAGGTGACCATGACCGAGGCTTCCATTTCGATGGTGCCGGCGGAGGTGAAGACGCTGCCGCGGCCGCAGTTGAAGAGCTCGTCGTCTTCCATCAGGGAGACGGCGTGCACGGCGGCGTCGAGGGCCGAGGCGCCGCTGTCGAGGAGGGATTTGGTCGAGCGGAGATAGCGGGTGAGCGAGGCGTGGTACTGCGCGTAGAGGTCTGGGGGGAGGCGGGAGCGCTCGAGGTTGCCGGCGCCGCCGTGGATGATTAGGGTTGGTTTGAAGAGGGACATGTCTGTTGAGTGTATGAGTTTTATGGAGTAGAGCTGGAGGTAGGGAGTGTGGTGTATGATATGTCGTTATCTGCTTGGTGAGGATACCCCGCACGGCGTGGAGTACGGTTACTCAGAGCTGCATTCAGATAATGGATTAGTCCAATGGTTTGGTGTCAAACCCCAGAATCTATGAGCGTGGCTGTGAGCTTGAAGGATGGTGGACCGTCAAGTCTCTAATCATCTTGTCACCCGGAATTCAGCGTTCAGTCCCATCCGGAGGTGTGAATAGCCTCAAGACTGCTCACCAGTACGTAGATCACTATTACGGTAAACTTGAATCTTGCAAACACACCTGTTTTAAGTAATGTACAAGAAAGCTCCCAGGCTAGAGACATCTCTTTTTCTTCCAAAGCGCAATGCAGCAGCGACCTCGCCAGCTAAAAAATTAAAGGCTCGAGCGGGGATAGAGCACGAAAACAGCGCAACCTCTATACGATGCCCCTAAATGACCAGACCCAACACCGGAGAAGAGAGACAGAGATACATAATAATATAGCATGTCGAAGAATGAATATGAGGACAGGGGGAATCGCTTCGTAGTTCGTCGGGTTTAGGCGACAGCCTTTGCGTCGGCCGGAGGGGGAGGAGGGAGCTAACGATCATCAGTACATGCATCCAGATGCAGCGAAGTTGAAGGGAGCTTACCTCGAGTTTCGTGTTGTCAGCCATCATTCTCTGGAATCCAATACCGACACCCTCAATGACAGCCAGGAACACAGCGCACATGATGGCCGAGTTACGCGCAGCCTTCACACCACCACGGACAGCAAGCGCACCACCGGTGAAGAAACCCGCAATAACTAGTAAGCGTTGCGTTAGTCATGTTCCAGTCATGCAGTTCGATAGGCAAACATACTGGCATTGTACGGATCCTCCTTCTTTCTGATACCCTTGATCGCGCAGTCGAACGTCGAGAACATACCACCCCACACACCAAAGTTACCACCGAGGACAGGGGCTCGCGCCTTGATGGCTGTGATGGCACCTATCCGACGCTCTCCGTAGGGGCTGTTCCGGAAACCCTTGATACCGTGCCAGACCGCACCACCAATTGCCTATTGAGCCGTCGATTAGCATTTGACGTTCGGACAACAAGGCGGCCAACTAGCTAGATGCAAGTCGACCACAAGTTGCGTCTGACGTAGGGCACTTACACCCATGCAAAAAGCACCACCAAAGTCGCTCAGGGCAACCCAGGGACAGGGATCTCTGGAGTGATCCATGATGTGTTTGTTTTAATGGAGGTTCGAGAACTCGAATGGTTCGATTGTAGTCGGAAGACGAGTAGCCCAGTTCAAGATCGATGGGAGGCTCGCTGTGGTGATTCGGGAAAGGAGAACGGATCGTAAATATGTCGAGTGCACGTAGGATACTTCCGCAGAACAATGATTGACAGCAGAGGAAGCTGTCTTGCGGGGAGGCGATGGGGATGACGGGATTAAATTGATGGATCGGGAGAGCAATTCTTTCTTCATTTTTCGCCCGGAAAACGTGACCGCCGGGAGTCGGCCGGTCACGTGCCACAACCCCGAACAACACCCACCAGTCACATCTCGCACTGGGCCTGCAGCGAGTTTTCCCGGCGGCGCGACAATCTCAAGTGGCGAAGTCCCTTGTCGACACTCGGGAAGAACAGGAGTGCTCTGGGGGATCCGGTTTATCTAGCTTTTCATCTCGCAAAGTTTTATAGGCAAGTCTGGAAATCCGGGGGCGGTCTACGATCTACTCCGGACGGAAATAGTCAATACCCACTTAGTGGCAAGGGACGTTGTTTTGTTCTGGCCGCGTTTCTCAAGACGGTAAATTCCAAATAAAATTGAGCGCGCCTCCTTCGTAGGCCGGGAACTGGCCGCCGCTGCTGATGCCAAACGGCGCCATCGACGGATCAAAGGGCAAGGAGAGCCAGTCGTCCGCCGGGACAAATCCCAAATCACACATGTTCTCCGTCATTGGGGCATTCACAACCGTCGTGAGAGTCTCGTTTTCCGGGAGTGGAGGCCCGGTCGAGGACCGTGTTGTCCCCTGGCCACTCTTCATGACCTTGGACGATGCTAACAGATTACGTCGCAACCGCGACACGTGCATGTCCAGCAAAGTCGCATACCTGGTGCTTAGATGGATGTCGTCAAGGGCATTCGACCTCAACGACTGGATGGTCTGCTGGAGGACTTCCAGCGATTCGCGCATCTTCGCTTGGCGGGTTCCCAGACTCAGAGCCTTCATGAGGAAAATAGATGAGCTCGTAATCCGCAGGAATATCCGCACGGGCGAGAAGCGTAGAGCGCCGATCTCGGCGAGTTGAGTCACCTTCTGCAAGATCTGGCAGCATCCATCGATGACCTCCTGGATGTACTCGTAGTCGATCGCGTCAATGTTCAAAGCGCGGACTTCTTCCGCGTTCGGGTCGCTGTCGGCCAGGACGCGCTCGACCACCGCTTGCATGCCGACAGAATGTGTGTAGACGCGGACAAAATGATACTCGATAAAGAGAATGTCGAAGAAGCGTTTGTTTAGTGCTGCAATCTGTCAGTCTGGTGCGAGTAGCAGTACGAAAGGCGACTCACCCTGTGGTTGTAGGTGTTTTTCCTTCCATTTGACGAGCAGAGGGCGAAAATGATCCAGCAGGTCGATATACCGCCCACTGTGCAGGTGTTGTCGGGCGAACGAGACTGTCGGGAAAAACATGTCCGTCACAGATTTGGCCAGCTTGGTCAGGTCCATCCACGAATCCATGAAGGCCATCCACTCGTCACCACCCCCGTTACTGTTCGTGCTTGTCGTCCGGCCCAAGATCGAGTGGATGAGGCTCTGTGGCATAAGTGATACGCATCCAATCCGCCAGGCCAGCTGGTTAATATACACGTACAACAAGCGCTGTACGCGCTCTCTACGCAGCCGCATCTGTTCTTCTGATATAAATCCTTCGTAGTCTGCAGGCTGTTCCACCTTTTTATCATCGACCTCGAAGATCCCCAGCTCGTGTGCAAGTGACAGAGCCGATCCGAGGAGCATCCAAGACATCTGGTCCGATCTCCTGGCGGGTTCGATCATATCCTCCAGCCATCGATTTGTGGAAGATTTATCGTCGTGTTCCTGTGGTTCGGGGTCCACCGAGATCAGATCAAAGTCCCATCCATCACTATCGGGCGGGAAATGGAGGGAGCGAGGATGCCATTCTGACATCAACAATAGGGCCTCGATCGTGCCGATACTTCGAATTCTCGGTTGTGATGATCTCTCCTGGCCGAATGTGAGACGCATCACTAATTGCTGACAATGCTGCCACAGCCGGTGATGGATGAAAAAGTTTCTCGACTCGCCTCCTGCGCCAGGCAGGAGATGATAGCGAGACGATATCATCAATATCGTGCAACATAGAACAGGGTCACGGGTCACAAGCCAGTGGTGGTTCTTGTGATGGGCGTAGAGATCTGTAAGAATGGGCGACAGAGGTGACATGTTTTTGTAGAATCTGTTCTCGGATTAGTAGGGGGCCTCAGCGTGACCATGCCAATCCGTACGTACAAGTCAATAAAAGTGACCGCTTCTCGTGATGTGAACCACCCCATCCTGACAAACCGACACATCTCCCATACACTAAGAACCTCCTTTGTGACATGGGAGAGCTCCACCGGTTGAATGGCTTTTGCTAAGACTTCAGGGGCAACAGTGGAATGAATCTGGTTTAACGAGGACTCATGACGGGTGGTATCATCGGTATGGTTGTGTGCATTTCTCGTTTGAGCGCCTTCAGTTAGACCATTTTCCTGACTATGCGCCGCGGCCGCTTCGAAGAGAATGTTCAAAGCATCATTCCCACTGGAGACCACAGTGCGCATCATGGAGTTAGCCAGGGCAGAGTTTGACTGATTTCGACTGTGCCGGGACTCAGGAGAGTACGACCGGCTTGCAGTTCGAGCACTGCCATGATGTTCACTGGCATAAGTCCCCGGCGTTGGGTCACGGTCTACAGTGGGATGGGGGTCTTCTCCAGTCTGGCTGATATTGCTGGACAACCTCCGGGAGTAGTGTGATGATTCCGGAACCCCATCTTCCGGCGACTCTACCTGAGGTATTAGTCTGGTTGTCAGACAAGCAGATCGCAAACGACTTACTCCGCTTCTTCGTCCGTTCCCAGGCCCTCTTCTCGCTAAAGACACAAGGTCTCTGTTCTCTGCGGCATTTGGCACACGGAGGAGCCGCAGAGATGCCATCCGGCCCTGTCGGCAAGTCGCATTTGGCCTTCCGTTGGCGACAGGGCAAACAGGCCTTGTAGGTGCGCTGGTAGGTGTGTCCGGAGCTATCTCTGCCACGCGAGGGTCGCCTCGTCTCCATGGTCATGGCATGAGCCGCGGACCAATGAGGTCTTGCTGATTTTGGCGAAAAAATGACTGAATTCAGGGTGCCTGAGACATGGTGTGGTTGGGGCCGGATGTTGGCAGTTTTGACGAGATGGTTGAAGCAGCAGCTGAAAAGGAGCGGGAATTCGAAAATATCCGACGTTTTCCGCTCCCGGCGAAACATCCGTCTGGTACGTCATCTGAGCTAGGTCAAAGCTCTGCTCTAGCGCTGCTACCTAAGCTCTGTTTATTGAGTATTTGATTTCTGAGATCGATTTGCGGTGGGGGTTTTACAAAGCATCTCGCACGGACTATAGTGGATGTGCATTCTGACATGCATGATATATTCTGTGCATTGTCTGGGGTAGAGGCTCAATACGCATTGCCCGGCGATAAGAAGAGAAGATGATTCCTATCTACTAACAATCAAGTATATCTCAAAAACACCATCTTTCTCGTTCTTTTTCCGACGAGTCAGTGTATGAAGAAATTAAAGGAGTGCGTGGTCAAGTTACTAGATACCTACCTGGGATAAACCTATAGTAGTCAGGAGTAGATGACTATACAAGCCCTAAGCACACCTAACTACTCCGGACCTCCTCACATGCATCCCACCCCATCTTATGCATTAGAGAGTCTGATCGCACTAGACTATCACATATTCATAGCCATCCCCAGAGTCATTCCAGCCGGCCATGGAAGATTGCCGGAAATGGGCGGAAATTGTAGCGCTCTGCATCGGGTATTTCGTCGCGGCGGAACCGTTCCGTCCAATGGTGCTTGCGAGGATTGCTACGCAAAAATGCAGAGGAGCACCAACCTTTACGTCTATGTTAGTCACATAAATCCAGAAAAGCAATTAACGTAAAAATAATTCACAATGTTTTGGTGGTAGTTGTGCACTGCGTAGTATCTAGACAACGGTATATCAACCCGCATCCCCGCATGATCGCATCCCACCCATAGTATTTAACGCAGCAATCTATACCCACCGACCAGATATACTTGCAATCACCAAGCTCCATACAGTTATTCTAAGTTGATCAAACCAAAAACCAAAATGACCGACCCAAAAATCACCCTCTACACCTACTTCCGCTCCTCTTGCTCCGCGCGCCTCCGCATCGCCCTCAATCTGAAATCCCTCGCCTACACCCCCATCCCCGTAAACCTGCTGCAAGGCGAGCAGCTCACCCCGGAGAACCGCGCGCGCAACCCCTCCGCCACGGTGCCGACCCTCATCATCGAGCGCCCCGCCAACACCGTCACAGTCACCCAGTCGCTCGCCGCCCTCGAGTACCTCGAAGAAGCCTTCCCCGACGCACCCAACGCGCTGCTGCCCCCGGCGTCGGACCCGGAGGCCCGCGCAACCGTGCGCACCCTCGCCGACATTATATCCTGCGACGTGCAGCCCGTGACGAACCTGCGCATCTTGAAGCGCGTGGCGCCGTTTGGGGTCGACCGCGGGGCGTGGTCGAAGGATCTTATTGAGGATGGGTTCCGCGCGTATGAGGCGATTGTCCAGCGCACGGCGGGCGCGTTTAGTGTTGGCGATAGGATTACCATTGCGGATGTGTGTTTGCTGCCTGCGGTGTGGGGGGCGGTGCGCTCCGGCGTGGATATGAGTGCGTTTCCGACGATCCAGCGCATTGCGGAGCGGTTGGAGATGGAGGAGGCGGTTAAGAAGGCGCATTGGACGACGCAGAGTGATACCCCTGAGGATCTGCGGAAGAGTCTTTAATTATTCGATGACTCCGTATACTGGGATAAGCTTGGGGGATTGAATTGTATTCGTTATAGCTAGCTCATCGCAATTTCACATTTTAAAACATAACATTCAACGCATGGTATCTACGAGTCGATCTTGATGGGAGGGAGAATCGTGCCGATGCAGTCGCCAAAGCCGACATAGTTGCCCTCAGTGCCCGCCATTCCGCGGAGGACCACGGTGTCGCCGTCCTCGAGGAACAGACGCTCGGAGCCATCCGCCAGCTTGATGGGGTTCTTGCCGTTGGTCTGCTCCAGGATACTGCCCTGGGTCTGGGGCTCGCTGCCGGAGATGGTGCCGCTGCCGAGGAGATCACCGGGGTTCATGTTGCAGCCGGTGATGGTGTGGTGGGCGAGCATCTGGGGGAAGGAGAAGAGGAGGTTCTTGGCGTTGGACTTGGAGATGACGGTGGGCTTGCCGCCCTGGTTGGTAATTTCCACCTCGAGGGGGATGTCATAGGCGTTGGCGGCCTTCTTCTCGCGCAGGTACGGGAGGAGGGACTCGCGGTTGCCGGGCTCCAGACCGGTGGTGCGGAAGGGCTCCAAGGCGTCCAGGAGCACGACCCAGGGGGTGATGGTGGTGGCGAAGTTCTTTGCGTTGAAGGGGCCCAGAGGGACGTACTCCCAGGCCTGGATGTCACGCGCGGACCAGTCGTTCATCAACACCACGCCGAAGATGTGGTCTTCGGCCTCGTCGATGGGGACCGGGTGGCCCAAATTGTTGGGGCGGGATACAAACGCAGCCAGCTCCAGCTCGATATCGAGTCTCTTGCAAGGAGAAAAGATCGGGACCTTGGGCGTGGCGGCCGGGTTGGCCAGAATCTGGCCGTTGGGGCGGTGGATGGGAGTGCCTGAGGTTACCACGGACGAGGCGCGGCTGTGATAGGCGACCGGGAGGTGCTTGTAGTTGGGCTGCAGGGCGTTCTCCGGACCGCGGAACAGGACACCAACATTGTAGGCATGGTTGAGACCGGCGTAGAAGTCCGTGTAGTCGCCAATCTGCATGGGAACGTGGTTGGTGACCTCGGACAGCGGCAGAAGGGCCTCCTTCTGCAGCGCGGCGTTGTCCTTGAGCACCTGAGGGAATGGAGTGTCGGCGCGGAACACACTCTGGATGTATTCACGGACTTGACGGTGCACGGGGCGACCCAGGGCCGCGAAAGCGTTCAGCGTCGGCTGGCTGAAGACGCTGAGGTGAGGCTGGATCGCCGGGAGCTGCGAGAAACCCCCGGACGAGGCGAACACGCTGAGGTTCAGCGCATAATCGCCAATCGCAATTGCTGCAACGCGCGAAGAGACCTTGGCCGTCGAGATGATTCCAAACGGAATGTTGGCCAGCGAAAAGGGCGAGTTCTTGGGGATCTGGAGCCAGGAAGCCATGTCTGCGGAGGGAGGGAGTCTGGAGGAGGGATGAGATGATTGTAAGAAGAATGGAAAGAAGATGTCCTGGAGACTGTCCAGATGTTAAAAACAAAGCTCTGCAGCCCCCGAGCCCCTCCTGGCACATTCCCCTCCTCGTCAAGGCCATTGACGCATGTGGATTGCTGGGGATGATTTCCGTGCGCCAGAGCGGAATGGCGCCGCGCCGCTTATCCCCGGCTGTTGCAATTCCGCCATTACGTCCGTCCGGTTTTGTGCTCTCCCCGCATGCTCTACTACCATCTTGTACCATCGGATGGTCGAATTCCCGCGATGACATCCGCGGCGTGTTGCGAAAAAGGCTCGGTGGAGTTCTTGGTCTTGCTGTCTTCTCCTTCATAAAGCACCGCCGACGGGTACAAGAGAGAGCTGATTCGTATATTCCCATTTCTACTTGCAAGTCGATACCTACACCTGCTTGAACACACACCTGGAATACGAAACATGCCTGTCACCAATTTCTCTCACCCGGATCCTTACTCCTATCAGACCGGCTTCGATTCTTATCATGAGTATGTGATGAGAGACTCTCGAGGACAGCGGACAGGCTCACTCATACTTCAACAGGACCGAAGCCATCAAGGGAGCTCTCCCTGTAGGCCAGAACTCGCCGCAGAAGGCACCGTACGGCCTCTATGCAGAGAAGCTCTCCGGGACCGCTTTCACTGCTCCCAGACACGAGAATAAGCAGACTTGGGTGTACAGAATCCTCCCTGCCGCCGCCCACGAGAACTTCACTGAAGAGGATGCGGATTCCTATCACACTCGTCTGACGACTGAGGCGTCCAAGCTGCATCATATACCCAACCAGCTCCGCTGGAACCCGTTTGACCTGGATGAGACAGTGGACTGGGTTCACGGTCTGCACTTGATCGCGGGTTCGGGAGACCCCACGACAAAGCATGGTCTGGGGATATTGCTGTATGCCGCAGGAAAGGACATGGGCAAGGAGGCGTTCTATTCCGCGGACGGAGACTTTCTGATTGTCCCCCAGCACGGTGTGCTGGACATCCAGACCGAGCTGGGAAAGCTTGTTGTTCGGCCCAATGAGATCTGCGTGATTCCCCGCGGAGTCAGGTAAGTACCTCTTACGGTCTGGATCCTTCCTGCAGTTTCATTACTGACCACAGTTTCTGAAAGATACCGTGTTACCCTGCCAGCTGGTCCAGTGAGAGGCTACATCTGCGAACTCTACCAGGGCCACTTCCAGCTCCCGGAACTGGGCCCGATTGGCTCCAACTGTCTGGCCAACGCGCGCGACTTCCAGGCGCCGGTGGCTGCCTTTGATGACGAGGGCGAGGAGCCGACGGAATATCGGCTGTACAGCAAGTTCAACAACCATCTCTTCTCCGCCCGTCAGGACCACACTCCCTTCGACGTGGTCGCCTGGCATGGCAACTACTACCCCTACAAGTACGATCTCGCCCGTTTCAACACCATTGGGTCTGTTTCGTTTGATCACCCGGATCCCTCCATCTACACCGTCCTCACTGGCCCTTCGGACCATGTCGGCACTGCCATTGCCGACTTTGTGATCTTCCCACCCCGGTGGTTGGTCGCGGAAAACACCTTCCGTCCCCCATGGTACCACCGCAACACCATGTCCGAGTTCATGGGCTTGATCTGCGGGAACTACGATGCGAAGACTGGTGGTGGCTTCCAGCCTGCGGGTGCTTCTCTGCACAATGTGATGAGTGCACACGGACCTGATTCGGATGCCTTTGAGGGCGCCAGCAACGCTGAGCTGAAGCCCCAGAAGGTTGGTGATGGAAGCATGGCTTTCATGTTCGAGAGGTATGGCTCCCACGACTGTATAAGTGTCCAATGCTAACGAGATTCTATAGTTCGCTTATGGTCGGTGTGTCGGAATGGGGCCTCAAGACCTGCCAGAAGGTGCAAGAGGAATATAACGAGCACAGCTGGCGCCCTCTGAAGCGGCACTTCAAGAACCCCAACAAGGCTTAGGAGACTTGACGAGATGACGAAAATGTCTGATTGCATTTACTTAGCTTTGAGTATTATACCTGTGTATTTATGAAGTTCAATGAGATTGATGCATTGTCCAAAACTATCTTTATACAGATCCATCATAAGTCGCTTGATATACACATGCGCTAATTATGCCTCGAGTTCCTTCCGCATTGCTTCCTTAACAATCGCACCGCACATCTTCGCATATGGATTCGTCTGCACCGCTAGCTGCTGCGCAACCTGGTTCCCATATCTTCCGCCAAAGAAGAAATCCCGACTGGCCATCTCTTCCAACTGATCTGAGCCCAGTTGGCGTAATTTTTCCAAAGAGATATCCTTCTTCTTGGCTGCCTTGAGCAGAATATATCCGCGATGAGTGTGAGAATCTGCCAAGATCCTCGCCTGGACTGACGACAGAGGGTCCGCCGGAGACCGAGGCGTAGCAAGCGAGATTGCCTGTCCTAGGTCTGAAAGCAGATTCGATGCCATTTCAGCATTAATCGGTTCGAACAGCCGTTCGTCCGAGTCCGATTGGCTTGCGGGATTTCCATCAGAGGGCGCATCGATAAGCATCCGCAGTGCTTGCGCTCTATTTGCGTATGCCGATGGATACGACGGATACTCGTCAATCAAGGCATCGAACTCTTTGATAGCAGATTGAATGGTGTCTTTCGTCGTGTCGTTGGACTGTAGTGTCCGCACAATGGATAATTCACGGCTTTTGAGTGTTTCATACTGTGCCGAAGAGATACCCAGGTGCGCCGGGAGAGGAGGCAGTGATGGATCGATAGTGACCGCTGATGAAGGAGAAGACTCGGCATCAAAGAGCGCTTGAAGCACCGCCGAATCGTTGGACGTCAGCGATGGACGAGAAGACTCGATTGTTGCCATTTTGTTCGTGGTATGCGATGGAGTCGGACGTGGAGGGGGTATAATGCACGAGGAATAGCAGTCTGGACCCTGGAAACTCTCACCGGTGAGAACGTACTATATCTATATGAATCTGCTAAGAGGATCAGCGGTCAAACAGTGGATACTTGGGACGGAATCGTCATCAAGATCATCCATCTGCTGTCGGGGGGTCTCATCGCAACGCGCCGGATGTTTCATCGCCACCCCGGTTGTTGCAAATACCCGCGGCCACCCGCGCATTTCCAGAAACACCCGGGCTGAACCGACCACAACCCTAATTTGCCTCGATAACAGCCGTCACGCGCAAGCACAGCTGTCAACTCCGGATAGATGCAATCATGGTTTCATAATACCCAGCAATGCAGATCAGAAATATCCGCTTTACGGCTTGCTGGCAGGAGGCTTCCTTTATTAATGGGTGAAATCCCACTCGTCTCCCATCGATATCGCATTCATCCCATATCCCTCTCTCACAACATCTAAGAACCTCCTGAGCACTCATCCTTCTATACACCCCAATACTCGCTCAACATGGCCCCCTCGGCAATCTCCACCAGCCCTCCTACATCTTCCAACATCCCCTCCAGCCTGGCTAGCTACCGCGGCTATGACCATGTGCACTGGTATGTCGGCAACGCCAAGCAGGCCGCCTCCTACTACATCACGCGGATGGGATTCGAGCGTGTAGCATACCGCGGCCTTGAGACCGGCAGCCGCAGTATCTGCTCGCACGTCATCCGCAACGGCGACATCACCTTCGTGCTGACCTCGCCGCTGCGCTCGCTGGACCAGATCGACCGCTTCTCGCCTGAGGAGCAGGAACAGCTGCGCCAGATCCACCACCACCTCGAGCAGCATGGCGACGGTGTGAAGGACGTTGCGTTTGAAGTCGACTCTGTCGATGCAGTGTTCGATGCCGCCGTGCGCAACGGCGCAAAGGTCGTCGCGGAGCCGCGCTCTGTGGAAGACGCTAATGGTGTTGTCCGCATGGCGACTATCCAGACCTACGGACAGACGACGCATACGTTGCTGGAGCGCAGCTCTTATCGTGGGATCTTCCTGCCCGGCTATCGGGCTGAGACCGGCGCGCAGGACCCCGTCTCCAAGCTGTTGCCTGGTGTGCATCTGAACCGGATCGATCATTGCGTTGGAAACCAGGACTGGGATGAGATGGATAAGGTTTGCGAATAGTATGTTTCCCTAATATCTTCTTCACTCATGAGCATGGCCGATACTGACAACTGCAGCTATGAGAAAGCCCTCGGATTCCACCGTTTCTGGTCTGTCGATGACAAGCAGATCTGCACGTATGTCACTCCTCAACTCATCTTTCACTCGGGGACCATGTAACTAACCTCAACAGGGAATTCTCCGCTCTCAAGAGTATCGTCATGGCCTCTCCAAACGAGGTCGTCAAAATGCCCATCAACGAACCCGCCAAGGGCAAGAAGCAGTCTCAGATCGAGGAGTACGTAGACTTCTACAATGGCGCCGGCGTCCAGCACATTGCCCTCCTCACCAACGACATCATCCGCGACATCACCAACCTCAAGGCCCGTGGGGTCGAATTTATCAAGGTCCCTGATACCTACTACGAGGATATTAAGGTCCGGCTCAAGCGCGCCGGCCTGACGCTCCACGAAGACTTTGAGACGATTCGCAGCTTGGACATCTTGATTGATTTCGACGAGAGTGGATATCTGCTGCAGCTGTTCACAAAGGTATGTCCATTCGACTTGAGCTTGGTGCTTAAGTGTTGTATACTGACAGATCTGTGCAGCACCTGATGGACCGGCCCACGGTTTTCATCGAGATCATCCAGAGACACAACTTCTCTGGGTTCGGGGCCGGTAACTTCAAGTCGCTATTCGAAGCGATCGAGCGGGAACAGGAGCTGCGCGGTAACCTTGTCTAAAAATGGTCATGGCATATTGATTCTCGGTTATGTTACTTGCATGTATCCCAGCGAGCACTGATTTCTTTTCGACATGTCAATAGTAGCTTCGTTATATATACTCTTGAGCAGTACAATGTAGTACAATGAGCCTACAATCCACGAGACTGAGGCAAGGCCAGCGAACATATGTGACTTCACTATGGAGCCCGTCCTATTCACTTTTTCTTTGTCGATCCTCCCGGAGTCGTTCCCGGACGACGCTTGTACTTGCGAGGGTCTACAACCGTCAGTATGAATATAGATGAACATAGAGCAGGAACAAACCTTTCCGGCTCATCAGCACCTTGTTTCGCGTCCCCTTTCCACCTTCCCAGAACCCACTTCCGGCTTTGCCTATGAGCACTGCGCGGCATATACCGCAGTTCTCTGGTCGGTAGATTTGTTCCCGAGAGCAGAAGCCACTACGTTCGTCAGCTGGCTGGCTCAAAATATACTTGACGCCAAAGGTTCATGTAACGTACCAGATCATGCGATTTGCGTGCTCGTTGGGATGGTCTTCAGCGGCGTCGTGACACCTGGAATCATTAGAGGTGCATCATTGGCCGACTTGTCGAGTACTTACTTATCGCAAGGAAATACTTTGGCGCAGCAACTGAATCTGTGGCATGTAAGATAGGAACACGGCATTGTAGGAAAGCATACCTACCTGAACCAGCGGTAACTTTTTCCATAGTGCTGGCAACGTCCCCGACGGGGAAGTTCCTGGCCGGCCACGATACCCAGAACCTCCTTTGGCTGCGACGCTATTAGCATGATGCTGCATGCGACAGAGTCTACAATACTCACCTTCCGCCTTTGTGGTGCTCGATCACGGGAGGAATCTGGTTAATGGGGGTCAGCATGCGCCAGGCTCATATTAGTCGAGGATACTTACATGCTGCGGACCCGACACGTAAAAATTTCACCTCCGGCACCTTGAATACTATTGATAGTTAGATTCACTGTTCTATGATGAGATAGACAGTAGGAATTTACCCATTTTCCTATGGCATTGCCGGCAATTAGCCATCGCACTCTCTCCCCGATATGCCACAACGCCTGGAGCAGGAAACGCTGTCGAGCATTCAGAACACGTCGGGATGAAGCTACTATAATGGGGTAAGTTCCTTTTCCCTTCAAGAAGATAGGTGCAATGCCTACCTAGGAAGAAGATCGGCGATTGTACATCCGTCCAGGTCCAAGTACCCGGCACGATTGGAATGGGAATGTATCAACTGCCGCCGAAAGCCTGTGCCCAGATTGGATGTTCAGTATAGTGCACCATATTCTGGACGCAACGCAGGTGATACATACCAAGACTCATGGTGTTCGCGCACTTTTTGCATGTTTCGACCTTAGGGGAAGTTCCGTCGCCCTTCTCCTTGATTTGTGGCACATTTTTAACGTCTGTCGGTTCCTTGCACCTCTCACATTTTACTGTGATACACAAGCCCACCAGTTCTAGAAGCTCAATTCCATAAAGCTCCAGGAATGGGAACGATAGCGCGACGCCGTGCTCCTTGGTAGCCTCAGGCATATTCGGCACAGGAGCTCCGCCGTCTTCGTCTTCATCTGAGTAATCGTCGTCGAAGTCCGAGGAGTCTTCTGTTTCTTCGTTGTCGCTGCCATCTTCTCCCACTGCCCATTCAGGTGGGCGAGGAACGACATGAAGATGTGGCTTGTCCTCCAGTTGCGTAGTTGGGGTGTTGGAAGGAGTCCCTTCTGTCGAGGCTGCAGAAGTCCTAGGCTCCTCTGTAGATATGGAATCCTTTTGCAGCGGAGTTTTGGCAAGGCTATGCATATTGCTTGTCAAATAATTGATTTGCGACATCAGATTCAGCTGTGCGTTGGCCTTGGTCCACTGTGCAAAGCCAAGTTGCACGGCCTCTGCCTCTTCACCATCGACTCCTTGGAGTTCAACGGCACTGGGTTCCAGAGGATAAAGTTCCGGCACCAGGAGCTTCATCGTCTTAACAGATCGCAGGGGTATCGGGAGAAGATTCACTTTCGCAGGCTGGATCGGAACGGTAAATGAAAGTCCGTCGTTGGACTTAGCAAAGAAAGGCAACCTTCCAAGACGAGCTTCTATCTGCTTCGTTTCCGTCACTCTTCTCCGCTCGGCCTGCGCCTTCTCCTCCGCGGTATACACCGGGGTTGGCTTAGAAGCAGGCTGTTTCTCGCGAATACGGGGTTTGCTCTTCTCCGATATTTGGACAGACTTCATACCATCCACGATATCGGGGGCGTTATTTTTCTGTTGTCCACCGAGATTCGGTACAAACTTGAGGGTAGGACCTCTCTCCGTGGTCGTCAATAACCGCTCCAGATGACGGTCGAGGCTGTTCATCCAAGACAGCAACGTCCCCCGTCCACCACTCCGCATCGTGCTGTCGACGATGTCGTCAAATCCTCTGGCAACATTGTCCCGAAACGCATCGTCTATTTCAGGATTGGCCACTTTCAACGTGGGCCGGCCCCGCGCCGGATACGACAGCGGAACGTGCAGGATACACTGCAGCTTGTCCAGCTCGAAGGGAAAGTCCGGGTCTGAGGGAGCCATCCCAAATCGCAGAGTAGTCCCCGATTCAGTCGTCTCCTCTGCCGGACGAAAGCGTCGCCGTATCTGGTTGAGCTGGAACTCCCGGGGGTTGGAGCTCTCCGTTTTGGACACGGGCCTCTGGCCCACGTTGTTTGGTGCGGCGTCCATGTTATCCCGTCTAGAGTGGCGCTCAATGGCAAGAATGCCGTAGTTGAATGGATCAGATATCACACTTCAAGCACCCAAGAGGCCGACGTTTACTTTATTATAACGAGCAGAGTGCTGTAGAGCTTAGTCATCGCGAAGGGTGTGGAACGCACGTTCACGTGATCTGCGGGGCTGATGACTACACATGACTCAATGTGACTCCAACCCCCGCCACATGAGTCAACAGAGCTGCTCGTCAACAGAGTCAACAGAATGGGCTTGTGTGTCTGAGATTATGCGTAGTATCTACATCTACATACTTCAGGTACGGGGAGTACTTTGTAGTCTACCTAGGTACTGGATTTAGTATAGCGTGCCTAATCGGGGAAAGCGCGTTGCTCCCGAACTTCAGCGAATCTTGGATTTGTGGTAGATCTTGTCCTTAACAGTATTGAAGCTAGCGATGGGGCATTCCCTCACCTTCAAGGTGTATACGAGAGCCACCAACTCCTCGAGCGTCCTTATGTTCATTAGTTGGCTTCTAAATCAGCCACCATTCGCAGCATCCTACTGATACCTCTAAATGTGGACCACACGCTTATGAGAGTAGTATTTCTCTGCATGAAGATTGACTAAGATTGACTAGAAATGAAAATGGGATAAGAAGTAATTTTCTACGTATATGAACTGAGGTCAGACGTACTGTGCTAACTAAGTATCTTCAGTTGAAATGATTAGTGTCAAACATAGAAATAGATTATATAGGGCCTTATTAGTGTGTTCACATTTTTGGTGATCTAGCAGTTATTTTGTTCTGACATATAATGTCAGCTGTGAGGGTGATAGGCCCAGAACTGCCTAATTATATGGTAGCGCACGTTTTATTGTTACTTACCCTTCGTTGGCGTCTTAACAGGTAGGATGCCCCTGCCTCAACAACTGTCGTGCCTGAGATCTGCTCAAACGTCAGATTCAACCTTATCACCCTGCTACCGAATACCGAAATAGTGCAGTCAACGTTTGGATTCTATCAAAAGGGAGCAAAATAATACTCCGATTGCAACTCCTAACTACAGCACCGCTTGGGGGGATCTCAGGGCTGTTAACCCCAAAGAAAACATCAAGTACAACATCTGCACAGTTTGGATGATCATGCCGTACAGTGGCGCGGACTTAAGTCTAAATCCAGGAAAGTAGATCTCGAGAAGAAAAAAGCTTGTGGTCCCCACTAATTTTCTCCCTGATTATTCCTGTGGAATGCATGCTGTTGAGAATACACCTCAGGTAAGCGCGTTGAGGTCTTCTCACAGTTTGTTCTGCACAACCGAAAGCTCTGACAAACTGAAGATTATTGAAAAGCGCTCAAACTCAATCCTGCTATCTTTCCTTCTACGTCGTCAATGAGTGAATTAATGTAGCCTCGGAGGCCACAGCGGGATTTACTGCTCTCATATGAATCGTGGAGGCGAGGAACTCTTGGTTCCTCGGATTCGATCTCCCGAAGCGCTTCAATCATATTTTGAAATGTTTTTCTTCTTGAATGGCAATAAATCGAGGTTGCCCGGACCATAAGAGTTCCGCTATCCTTGATGAGGCGTCTCTTGTGCATGGCAAAGCTGAGCAGACCAAATAACATAACATTGCAGTTAAAAGAACATGCAGTCCCCTCATCACGAAAGCGTATGAGGAGCCTATCAAGAGATGTGTGGATAATGTCTATGGCGGCCTCGATTTTCTTGCTTAATTCATCTTGAGAAATTAGGTGTGAGCGGAGAGCTAATCAAGCAGTCAACGAGGAACTTACTGATCACGACACTAGGTATAGGAAAGCCCAAGGGACTGAAGGGTCCTGGGCATTGTCGAATGGCGAGTGTGGTAGCTGACTCAAATTCTTCTGCCGCCGAAAAAACCCAAGCCACCCATATCCACAGTGTGGCATTTTCTGTATATGTCGTGGGAAAAGATGGTTTTAAATTATTGATCCACAGTTCCTTGGCCATGTCAACGACGCCGTGGCATTGATAGTAGTCGACAACAACGGCGACGTTAGCAAGCATTTCAAGGCTCAACTTCCGAGGAAGGTGATCCTGACGGCCATGCATAGCGTTCAACACCACGAGCAGAGCATCCAAATCAAAATCGGTTGCAGTGATGGATGTGGTGCCAGTGGCACGAAGAGATTTGCCTTCTTCCCAATTGGGTCCCAGCATGCGTTTGAAGTATGGGGAGGCTAGGGCCAAATGCTTTGAGGACACTCTGATCCGTATACCCTGGGGTTTTTCTTCAGGGTCCTCTTCCTTCGGTTCATTGTCAGGAGAGTCATTCGACGACGCGTCTGTAGGCCGATTCTCGGTTGATTTCTCCAGAACTATGATCACATCCCCATCTGGGTCCAGAACATGTGATATATCGTCCATTCCCTTGGATTTGAACGGGACGCTTTGGGTCGAGGGGGGTTTGGAGCAGTCTGACGAGGCCATATCGAGCGAAGCGCTTGCGAGACGAAAAAGGATGGTTGCTGATTATCTTGTGGCGGTGGAACTGAGTAAACAATAGACTCGTAACGCTAGTACTGTATAGGAATACTGATGCCTCAGGCAGTATAATACATATACACCAGTCCAGAGAATAGCTATCTTCCTTGTAGACAATGTGCAACTTTCCGGCTGTTGTTATCATGACACTTTGCTATATTCGGGCAATTTAGTATGATACAGTTCACGCCTTGTTAAGCTGTTTATTTATGGTGTACAGTGTCATGAATGGATGGAATGGAGAGCAGGACTTTTGTTGAGGGAATTCTTTCTCATAACTTACGAAATGACAGCGCAAAACGCTCTCCAAGATGGCGGTTCCGACTGAAATCTTACTTCTGTCATCTTGGATTGGGCTGTGGTGATAAGGCTAGTTAGCAAATCCCATGCCTTGTCTTAGCATCATCGGCATCGGGCGCTCTAGCCAAGCATGAATACCCCAGATGATGCCCAACCAAGGATAACTGTAGGCTGAATCTTGCCTCCAATTGGAAGTCATATGTTGCCTACAAACGCGGCTCCTTGTGGGATACACGGATTTGGCTGGATCGGTGTCAGGGCTTGTCTCATGGTGTTCAAAGCAGCAAACACTATGGCGTTTGTCTTTTCGTCCTGGATCCCGTTCAGCATGTCTTCTTCTTACGTGGCCTGTCTATATGTATGGCCTATCTTCTCTTTCATGCCTATTTTCTTACTCTCATACACTATTGCTCCTCTCAGGTTACCTACATTTGTGTTTCCCAGGCCCTGTATCTTGCTTTTCCGGACCCAAAACTCCTACTTGTTCATTTCATAGATACAGACAAGACCTTTTCGCTGGAAGTGCGGATGTCGTTGCTGACGGAAAAATGAGTGAACCAGCAACAACCGCCAGTCCACCTAGAGCCGTCGTCATCGGACTTTACGGTGTTCCTGGCTCTGGAAAGACCTACTTGCTCAATCGCCTCAAGCGTGAACTCGGAGAGGAGGATTTCGCCTTTTACGAAGGCTCCAGCGTCATCGACAGCATAGTGACTGGCGGGCTCGATGCATTCAAAAGGATCCAAGAAGAAGAAAAGGAGGTCTGGCGTCAGCGTGCTATTGAGAGCATCAGAGACGAGTGCACCAGTACTGGGAAAGCTGCGGTGGTCACTGGCCACTTGATGTTTTGGGATGAGGAGGAAGAGACTGGATCGTCGGTGGTGACCCAAATTGATCTCAGCGTCTACACCCACATCATATATCTGGACGTCTCTTCAGAAGTTATTCAGCGACGTCGGCAAGCTGATACAAGCAGGGACCGGCCTCCGGTGACAGCCTCCCACATCCGGAGGTGGAAAGAAGCTGAAAAGGCACAGCTGCGCAGTCTATGTCTCACTCACGGCATCCTGTTCTCGCTTCTTTCCAGTAGACAGGACTTGACGAGCCTTATTAAGGACTTCCAGGTTCACAACGACTGCCATAACTTGCGCCTCGCTTTGGAAAACGTTGATGACGCCATTCGTGCCGACCACGACTACCTGGAGAAGGTTGTGGTGTTGGATGCAGACAAGACACTGGGTGCAGAGGATACTGGGCTGCTTTGGTGGGAGACATACGTCCGAGTCAACGAGCTTCATGGCCGGGTGTGTCCTTTGAAGGATGTGTTCAGCAGCCCCCTCAAATACTCATACCTTGCCTTTCGACAGGTCACGTTGATGTATGAGGAGGCCAATGATGAGGATTTCGACGTGATTTGCAGCATGACTGCAGAGACTGTGACAATGCATCCTGAGTTTGTCGCTCTGTTGCATCAGGTATCCCAGTTCGAGCATATCCGTGCTGTGGTGGTGACCTCCGGACTACGTCTGGTGTGGGAGAAGATCCTGGAACGTACAGGCCTGTCCGGAACAGTCAAAGTGGTTGGTGGTAGCCGCATTCAGGATGGCTTCGTGGTGACGCCAGAGGTGAAGGGTGCCATGATTGAACATCTGCAAAACACTCACAAGGTGGAGGTTTGGGCTTTTGGAGATAGCCCTCTGGACCTCAACATGCTGAAGAACGCCGACCAATCTATCGTGGTCGTTGGCGATGAAGCAACCAGAAGCAAGAGCATGGATAGCGCTTTGGCCGACGCTATCAAGGACGGCCTTCGAGCGCGGCAGGTTTTGCTTCCCATCTCTGCTACTCCTCGCTTGGACGCTGCCACACTTCCAGTCATGAAACTCACCGATCAGGACTTTGTCGACTCTCTTCTATCTAGACGCGGAAATCTTCATGTCGTCCACGCTACTGATAAGAGCGCCGCCAAATTGCTCATGACTCCCATGCGGGACGCAGCACTTGCCGGCCCACGCCTTCGGGAAGCACATCGCCAGTGTGGACGATACCTCGCACTGGAGTACGTGAGTGACCTGATTGGCGTGGAGCCATGCGACATCTTGCACGTCCAGGGCCATAACACAACTGGTTTTCGACTTGCTCGTGAGGAACGCACCCTCATCGTGGCGTTGATGCGAGGTGGTGAGCCTATGGCATTTGGTATCAACGACGCATTTCCACGCGCCATGTTCCTCCATGCCTCGACCCCAGATAACGTTCAGTCCCACCATCTCCTTGGGCTTTCTGCGGTGGTGCTTGTGGACTCCGTGGTCAACAATGGAAAGACGGTGGTGAGTTTTGTGCGGCACATCCGCAGTCTCGACGCCAATGTTCGCATCATCGTGGCGGCTGGAGTTGTGCAAGCGCAGGCTGTATCATCGTACAGTGCTATACAGGCTCTCGCTCGCTACGGAGAGCTCAATGTTGTGGCGCTTCGCCTTTCGGATAACAAGTACACTGGGAGCGGTGGCACTGATACTGGGAACCGCCTGTTCAACACGGTTCATCTTCCCTAGGTTTCGACTTATTTGAACTTGTTAGGACTGAGATTTGGGTCTAATGTGTTTTCTTTTGCTTTCAATATCAATTGCAATGGGCTACTCTGCAGTTTTAAAAAACAAGTAGATCAACATTCGCATTCGATCGTAGGGTTTCGCCTCCGCAAATTCAGGATGGCCTGATTTAGAACTCCTCATGTCCAGAAGCTATCAGCCTGGCACCTATTTTCTATCCAGTTGCTCAAAGTACGCCGTTAGCTTCCCCTTCGGTATACCCACACCAAAAGCCCATGAGTATTGTCGCATAAAAGCTGCAATTCTCGCGTCCATCTCAGCCATTTTCCTATTCCGATACTGCTCCATTTCCCAACTTGAGCCCGCCGAACGATCCAGACAAACCTCAAGCTCCACCTCTCCCACTGTATGCCCAAAGTCCGTGACATCTTGCACAATAGTAAAGTCCCTATCGGCTATCCAGCTCTTCCTCGTCGTCGAAAACGAAGCCATCTGTTCCAGGCCAAAATGGCTGTTCTCATTGCTCCAGACCCCAAGGCCTTTCAAGTACTTGGAAATCTCCTCCGGTGTCGACAATTCCTCAAACTTGGAGTTGGTACGGTCTCCGCCTCTCCTGATTTTTGCCTGCCATCGGCCGTCTCGTTGTCGAACCCAGATACCGTTTGAGGACAGGAGGTCGGACTTGTCGTAGTAGATGTCGTGGAAGGTCTTTTTGCCGCGGTATGTCAGGCTCTGAAAAGGTGGGTTTCCTCCGTCGCGGAGGAGAGATTTGACCGCGAGGTGGGAGAACTTTCGTTCTACTTCCAGGACTGACATCGGAGAGGAAAGAGATGTGGAAGGAGATTAGAGGAAAGGTTTACTGGATTGCGAAAGGGGTATGTACGAGTGTTGTCGAAGGATAGACATTTTGTTGATGGACTTGCAGGCAAGATAAGATTTAGAACTGGACTACCACCCGAGAACAAAGAACAGTGAATACAGATTCTTCCATTCTAGGGTCAACCTCGCCCTTCGATGGCAGTAGTAGTATCAATAGGCCATGTCTTCTACAATTGGACCTCTACAACAACAATGACAACCCCCTGCAGCTGTTACTAATCCTTTCTGCCTAGTTCTAATGCACATGTACGAACGCTGGTGTGGTTCGATTCGGATGCAATGTCCCCGGCCTGCCAAGCATCTGTTAGTTATAGACGAGTGGTGTCAGCGTATTCGGGGCGCTTCCGATTGTCTCAGGGGAGCTTGGCTGGGATGGGCTTGCTCGCATGTAGGTAGTAAGGGAGGTGGTGTTGTTGTATACCTAGGGTTATATGTACCTCCCTCCTCCCTCCATTGAATGGTCTCTACTTCAACTATAGACCCCCGATCATGTCCTTACTCACCATCACGTCCTACGCTGCTGTAGGCATACTGGCACTGATTGCCTGGAATGTCATCCGGCAATTGCTCTTCCAGAACAAGAGCGAGCCCCCCGTTGTCTTCCACTGGATCCCCTTCCTAGGGAGCACAATCAGCTATGGCATCGATCCGTATGCTTTCTTTGCATCTTGCAGGCAGAAGGTGAGCTCTCCAGCCCAACTCCATACAAACCACTGACCTCACAGTACGGCGACATCTTCACCTTCATCCTCCTCGGCCAGAAAACAACCGTCTACCTGGGCGTGCAGGGCAACGAATTCATCCTCAACGGCAAACTCAAAGACGTCAACGCAGAAGAGGTGTACAGCCCGCTGACGACGCCCGTCTTCGGCTCGGACGTCGTCTACGACTGCCCCAACGCAAAGCTCATGGAGCAGAAGAAGTTCATCAAGTACGGCCTGACGCAGGCCGCCCTCGAGTCGCACGTGCAGCTGATCGAGCGCGAGGTCCTGGACTACCTGCGCACCTCGCCCAACTTCCACGGCGCGTCCGGCGTCGTCGACATCTCCGCTGCCATGGCGGAGCTCACCATCTTCACCGCCGGCCGCGCGCTGCAGGGCGAGGAGGTCCGCCGCAAGCTCACGGCCGAGTTTGCCGACCTCTACCATGACCTCGACAAGGGCTTCACCCCCATCAACTTCATGCTGCCGTGGGCCCCGCTGCCGCACAACCGCAAGCGCGACGCCGCGCACGCCCGCATGCGCGCCATCTACATGGACATCATCCGCGAGCGGCGGGCGCACAAGAACCCCGACCAGGTGGAGGCAGGCTCCGACTCCGACATGATCTGGAACCTCATGCGGTGCACGTACAAGGACGGCCAGCCGGTGCCGGACAAGGAGATCGCACACATGATGATCACGCTGCTGATGGCGGGCCAGCACTCGTCGTCGTCGATCAGCGCGTGGATCTTCCTGCGGCTGGCGTCCGAGCCGCGCGTCCTCGAGGAGCTCTACCAGGAACAGGTGGCCAGCCTCGGGAAACCAGACGCAGACGGCGTGTTCCCGCCGCTGCAGTTCCGCGACTTGGATCGGCTGCCGCTGCACCAGAATGTCGTCAAGGAGACGCTCCGTCTGCACTCGTCCATCCACTCCATCATGCGCAAGGTGAAGAACCCGCTGCCGGTTCCGGGCACGCCGTACGTGGTGCCCACCAGCCATGTGCTTCTGGCGTCGCCCGGCGTGACGGCCACGAGCGACGAATACTTTCCTAACGCTAGTCGCTGGGATCCGCACCGCTGGGAGAACCAAGCGGAACCTGATGATGATGGCGAGATGGTCGACTATGGCTATGGACGTGTGTCAAAGGGGACTGCGAGCCCTTATCTTCCGTTCGGCGGAGGTCGCCATCGTTGCATCGGGGAGAAGTTTGCGTATATCAATCTGGGGGTCATTGTGGCGACTGTTGTTCGCCATTTGAAGCTGGCCAATGTCGATGGCCGGAAGGGCGTACCTCAGACAGACTACTCATCTCTGTTCTCGGGGCCCGTGAAGCCTGCTATTATCGGTTGGGAACGACGCTTTCCAACTGCCTGATTGGGCGTATACGCAGGAGTTTGCTTTATGTGTCATAATATCTCTTTCTGGATAGACATGTCCATATTCTTCGGTGGTAATAGCATAATGCATGATAGGTAGACTCAGTCCAAAATAAACAAGGCGTAAGAACGGCCGAGCGTGCAAATATCGACCTATCAAGTCCCCTAGCAGACGCCCTAAACAAGCAATCAATATCCCCAACCAAGAGTGTTTCAAGCGTTACACATCAGTCCTCACTCATGTACCTGATACCTGTCGAAACCGTCCTATCGACATGCCAAAGTACGAGGCTTGCACGGACGTCTCGCGGGCTGCAGCCGCCATTCCGCGACAGACTAACATGCAGCCTCTCATCGGACGGACGAAACACCTCATGAGGCTGATCAAGCCAGCTCAGCACCCTCCATCGCGTGCAGGTTCCTGGTGCGCGTGTGACCCGAGGGCTGGGCGGGCCGTTGCCAGATCCAGGGGAAGCGGGCGTCCGCATGTGGACTGTCGCGAGCTATCGACAGCCTCTCACCAGAAACATGCAGCGAGGGCACTGATCCGCGCGGCCCAGAACACGTATGGGGCCGATACGAAGACGCCGTGCAGCAGGTGCGTCCATCAGCCATGAAATGAACCCGGAGCACCTCACACGACGGTGTCGCCCGGCGGGGCGCAAGCGGTGCTGCTGCGAGCGTTATTCGATGATGCGGGCTTGGATGCACTCCAGGGTTTGGGGCCAAGGTGGATGGGTGGGTTGGACGCAGACTTGGTTCAGACTTCACCACTCTGCATGGATAACGTCAACACATGTGCGTCGTCGGTCGGTTTAGACAGCTCGCGCGGCGGATAGCTGATGACTTGTCAGCGGGCGAACCTGGTTGTGAAGAGCACGGGGTTTCAGTGCCAACACATAGATCCGGTGACCTGCTGACGGATCGACAGCGACCAGGGACGGACTGGCTGGTGGGCGCTACCAAGCCATCATCGCTGCTGGGAGTGGCGTTGGATGACAAAGGCATGACTGATATGTCTGATACTGGGTAGCTCGGGGGTAGCCTTGGGGGGTGGAAGAAACTAGGTAAGTAAACGAGTCCAGGCTATTGGGATGCCACGTGATACAGTTCGGTATACAACCACCGCATGAACAGTTGGACAGTCGCACACCATGATATCATCGCGGGGTACATCTGGGTACATCAAATCCGGGGAACGTCAATTCAGTAGGTTTTGCGGCGTGAGTGGGACAGTGAGGTGCAGGTCGGTAGAGGCTTGATCGCTGCTACCACTGTTCTGTCCCGGGTCTCCAGGTACACAAGCATAACATCAGCTCTTTCTGTTCCTGCTTCCCTGTTTTCTGCAGGTCAAATGAGCTAGGCTGGATGTCTGCAGACCGAAGGGGAGATACAAATTTTAAGAAGCTTATGACAATCCGAATGCGGAAACCGATGTGATCAAGACGTTCGTCGTCCTGATATCATACACAGCTAGACATGATTCTCGACACTCCACGACAGGCATTCGTTCCGAGCAGTTGACGACGGTTGGGAGTCTCCCACCCTCCAGGAGACGCCGTGTTCATTGTCCTCCCGAATGGAAAGGAGGGATGATCTTCGATCATCTATCAGGCCCATCGCACAATGCGATCATCATTACATGCTCGTTGACACGCAGGAGACAGCATAGCTCCCGGCTACATGCAGGACGCTGTTCATCGACTGTCGCTCACCTTCGATCAGATGGAAACCTCGGAAATCTTATAGACTTTCCATAAACGATCGTCATGGATCTGATGTTTCGTGGTATGTAACGACGCGATCTGTTACAGAGGATTACACGATACGAATCCTGCGCCCTTCAACCACGAAGACCACGAACATATCGGAGAGATGGCTTACTCCCTAGGTAGCTTGTGCACCAGCCACCAAACCTACGAAGTAGTCTCCTACGTACAAGTTCTTGTCTGTCTGTCTGTCTGTCTGTCTGCGGTTAAGGTTCCCCGGATCCCCAATATCGAGTCTCCCCGGGAATCCACGGACAGGAGGGAGATGGATATCTCCAACTTCCCCACCCAGCTCAGCCGCGAGTTTTCGCTCCTCCCCGCGGGTGCCCCTCACGCCCGAACCCTGACCGCAGCCGCTTTTCCTCGGCGGTGATTTGCAGAGTGACCGAGGAGGCCTCCAAAATGCAACCTCGCTCCACCCGACGAAAATAATCAGGAGCGTCTGTCGGATCCTTTGCCAGATACTGGATCTGCCATCTAGTGGACTCCTGGTTCAGAGCATCATGGCGTGGGATTGTTGGACGAACCATCTCATCCTTCTGGGGATGTCTCTTGCTATCGATGGGGTTTCTCCGTCTGAAGGGGAGAGATCAGTTGCCTGGGAGAGGAAATTTCCCGAGAACAGTAATCAATTCCGTACGGAAGCATGGTTTCGCGGAATTATCTCCATCTTACGCCAGCATAAGCGGCATGCGGCATACTAGTAGGTGCCTCGGAATCAACAGCCAAATCAGCAGAATCATCATATCCAATTGCAGTAAAGCGAAGAGCTTATTTCGTCTCCTTCGGGCTTCCATTGACGCCTAGTAGCGTTCTACGCCGTATACAGACAGATAGTCCAAACCTAATTCAGCGACGGAGCAAAGTCTTCCGTCCCTGTGACCCCGGACAATAACTAACGGTGGTGTCAAGCCTCCGGGGATGAACTGGCGGTCAGTCTCATTATTCTTGTCAAGACGCGAGGCGTAGCGAATCCTATGAAGGGGGAAAGACTATGCGACCTGGAGGTAAAGGTACCAACCTTACCCTAGAAGGAGACCATCACGAGCAGTCTATCTGTACTTAGACGATCGTCACATGGCAGCTATGTAGGAGCTCCCCGACATACGGAGTACGTACCTCCTCGTCGACCGCCGCCGAAGACTCTCCGACCTCCGACCGACTCAATCCAACCTGTCCGCGAGCCTCATAATAGCAATCAGTTAATGCTTCTTGCCCTCGTCGAGCGATGTACCGATCGCGACTAGTCGTGTCAATCCCCTCAATAATACGGCGTATAGGCCGCGTACGGGACTAAGCCAATACCGGCTGACATCCCACGGCATCCATTCATTCATCCCACGCTCCCGTGGCAAGCGAGGAAAGTAAAGAAAATCCGCTAAGCCTGATCCAGACACATGCCGAGGATTCCCCTTCTAGAACGCTTCTCGAAACACGGTCGGCAAAAGTCTGTTGCCGCATGGCATGGCTGAGAGGGAAGCCACGGTCGGTCGGACGCCTCGCACGCGTCGATGTCACCTCGCGGGGATTCACATGTTCGTCCGGCATGTCCGTGTCACAAGGTGGATTTGGCGGAGGTGAGTGTGCGAAGATACCTTACTCTGTAGGTAACCATCTAGCTAATGTGCCCGTCCTCCAATCAGAGACGCGGCATTAGATTGGAGTGAAGGAGTTCGGGGGCGACCGACTGTTACGTAGGAGGTAGAGTGGGGATATAGAGTAGGTTGGGGACTGAAAATATCCTGTTCCCCGACCAGCTCAGCCCCGGTGTTGTACTCGTAGGTTTTCAGCTTTCCGCTAGATGAGAATAACGCGCGAGTGGATATGGATATGGTACATGGCAACCTACCTACCTACTCCGTACATGCAAAACTCTGCGTCATAGGAAACAGGCTCGGCCTCATCCCGATGTTGGGCATCCAGCGAAGCGTGAAACATATCCCGATGATGGAGCGTCACGTAGGTATATATCCACATGGCTGGAATACAGGTTGCTGGATTGATACTCGGAGTGGTCCAATGCGAACCAGTCAGGGTGCTGTCTGTTGATTAAATAATTGATAAACATGTTTAAAGACAACACAGTTAAGTCTTGCAGAGTCTAGATCAATCATGGTCAGTGATTCCGCCTATTAAAGGCCTTGCGTGGGATGCCGGTGAGGCTGACGGCGCCCATCGGCATGCCGAACACGGGTCGGGCATCTACAGTACAGGTACAACTTCTGTCTACATGGTACTTTCGCTACTGAGTACCTACCATAGATACCTAGGTACCTAGTTTCCTGTGTACCAGTAAATTAGCTATCCTACAAATACTATACCAACAAGTATATCCTACATCTCCAGACACACTCATCTCTACGAAGTAAACACCCCCACCAGCAGTGCACTCAAAGTACTCCGTAAAGATCCAAATCAAGAACAGACCAACCGTCACCCCCATACACAGTCACCGTATAACAAGCCCCCTCCCCCGTCCAGTGGACCCGAATTACCGGTGTACTACTCGCACCGCACCGCTACAAATCACGCCGCTGCCCGACATCTCTCGACTCCACCCACGACCCGCCCTGATCCAAGAATCGAGAGTCACCCAACCCAGCCCACGCCTTCAGCACGCACGCCGCCCATCCGGCAGAACCGCCCGCGCAGAAGAGCGCAGGCTCCCTCCGCCGTAAATTCCCCATCGGGCAAAGTGCCCCGGCCCAGCCCTGTTCGGTTCATCCACTCGCGCGCTGGAGCGGAGCGGAGTCCAGCCACAGCTGGTCCACGTTTTCGGGGGTTTTCGGACGGCGGATCTTACGGATCCTCTTTTTTTCAATCTGTTTTTCTCTCTGTTGTCGGGTGTTTTAGGGGAATGGCTTTTCGGTGTGGGGGTGGATGCGTGCGGTGTTGTGTGGGATTTCCATAGACAGGCAGGCAGACAGGGTTAGGGTTTGCGACTGGGTTTTGGCTGCTATCTAGGTACAACGTGACGAGCTGGACTACAGAGTATATGTGTGAGGGTGTGCTATAATTATGATCGTTCCGTTCCTGGGGACGGTCTGGCGGGATCGAGTCTGGCCCGATCTGTTGCTAGATCGTTACGTCATGGGCCCGTCGTGGATGGTAGGAGTGAGGTACAATACAGTAGGAAGAACACCATCGTCTATATCTCTCGGGGTGTCCGAGCACAGTCGTGAAGAAGACCCAAGATGTCGAGATTGAAATAGTCGATCCATGGCATGCACGCCATATGGCATACATGATCCCGCCCGTCGAGCCAGACACTGTACGGGAGTACACTCCATCGCGATGCATGACGATCCGCGCACCACTACCTCCAATCTTCTACTCCCAGGTACGACCGCCTGTCATATGCCCACGGCAAACATCACCATTAATCATATCGACATAATCCAGCCATCATCGCGTAAACAACCAAGTAAGACTGAACCACGTGCTACGCGGTCTTCGAACCTGACCGCCGATGCATGTCTCATCATATCCCCGTTCCAGTTCCGTGTGCTTCCATAGATCCCCATCATACCACCAGTCAAGGACACTTCATCAGACAGCGGCGCCGTGGGCGGGGATCAGAGACCAAACAAGAGGATGCACGCAAATACCTACTCCGTCAGAATAAATAAGAAAAGAAAAAGCAAGTATCTTCATGGATAGAGAATCCTCCGATTAAATTAGAATATTACTCCGTAGACGTGACCTGTGCTGCATGTGAAGCGATCAGTGCGCCGATTCTAGATCCCTCGACCTCGCCCAACTCCCTCCCACTGCCGACTGAAACATCCCCGTCAGCCTGTCAAGGCCCTGCATTGTCATGGTGGATATCGCGGCTGTCGCCCCCTCCATCACCTTCATCGCCGGGCGAAGCTCCGACCGTTGACCCTACGGAGTACACCATCCCTGTCTGGCTGGAAGCCACCAGCGATACAAGTCAGTGCGTCCGACCGTGGCCTAGATGCGTCGGACTGTATACAAAGAAGATACCTGGTACAAATCAGCGTTGATGATAAGACTTTGAAATTTTTTTTTCCCCCACTTCTATTTCAATACTTCGAAATCAACAATAGCGTACATGATATGCGTAGGCAGGACAATAGTCCACAAAGGATATGTATGGTATCTGGTATCAGGGTAAAAAAGCATGAACACATTTTCTGCCGCACAAAGGCCAGCAAGCAATCGCTAGACGCGACCATGACAACCACCTAGGCCTCTTTATGACTCAACCCAAACCCAATTGGAAGGAGAAAAGGACCAAAGAACCCATACCCAAGATGAGTGTGCCAACCGTATCCGCCGAGTAAAGAAAAGCATTTGTACAAGAAAATTAGCATCAGAGGTTTTGTCCTCCGGTGGCGCAGAGAATAATCACACAGGACCGCCACACAACGCACCAAGGGAAGGAAAGAGAGAAGAAGACCCGAAATCGAATTAGGTCACAAATAATAACCAGATGATCCGTAGAGTGCGCCAGAATGCAATGCAGAGTCATCATCATGCGTGTCACAAGGATATGTAAGTGGTGGTCTTGACCAGAACAAAAGCGTGAAAAGAGTCCGGGTATCATGGTCAACTAAACATTACCCATCGTATGATAGATATGTTTGGACACAGACAGCGGGAAGAAACAAAATCATAGCCAGGTTTCAACTACCATCCTTTCACATGGTATTCCCAAGGTCCGAAATCATTGTAGTGATTCAAAGAGCCAGATTTGTCTTTGCCTGCAGATTCTTGACCGGATCCTTGTCCACCCTTGGGGTATTCTTGCAGATTGGCCATGCCGTCGTGAGCGGTGTGTCGTCGTTTGAGGAATGCGTTGGCGGTGGCACTCTTCTGCTGACGCTCCCAGAGTAGATGGCGTCTCAGAGACTCGGTCAACTCGGTCGCAAGCATGTTTCTCCGGGTAGTCCGGGGAGAGTGGGCAACAGACTGCGGGGCGGGTTTCATGATAATCGGCTTGGAGCGAGGAACGTCGGGACCGCGCATGGTCAAGCTCTCGTTATCATCATCGGGAGGAGAGGCAGGGATGGAAGGTCCATTAGGTGACGTAAGGCGAGAACGCTGCAAGGCCGGACTGGACCGGGTCGCTCCCATCTTTGTTGGCTGATGCATCATCATGGTCAAGAGAGAGCGTCGAGAAACGAGGTTAGGCTTGGAATCGACCCGTTGGAACATTTCTCTCTCCTCCACGCTTGATCGTCCACTTTCCGTTACCGAATCTTCCCAGTCGGAGTCTTCGTCATCCTCGATGGCGCTCTCAGAGACTTCGTCTTCGGTCTCGATAGCGTCTTCGTCGTTGTCATTGCGTTCCCTGATCGGCTTGATCTCTCCTGGTTGCTCCTTGAACGTCGCCGTCTTCTTGGGCGTTTGGTTCGCAGGCTTGCCCAGTTCATCCGAAAGAGAACTGCGATGCGGGCCTTGCATGGCCATGCGGTCCTCGAAAGAGCTTTCATCATCATCCCCGGAAGAACCACCCAGAGTGAACATGCCACCCTTCTTCTTCATCGGTGCGGGTTTCAGTTGTGTTGAGTTTCTCGAAGGGCTTGGGTCCGTGGCGAGTTTAGCTTGCGACCGGTACGAAGATGAAACAAGGGAAGGTGAGAATCCGCGAACAATGCTGGGGGACTTGATCAGCTCCGGACGTGTGGGAAGGATCCCCGAGGAAGAGACGCTGGTATCGGACGCCGTCACGTTGGCGGCGTCACTTTCGTTATAATCGGGGGCTGTGGTAGAACACGACTCGGTAGAGGTATGGGGGTGTTGCTTCATCCGATACGTCGGCGTTCTCTTCGAGGTAGAGTCCGAGGAAGGGGCGGGAGTGGGCGTAGATGGCCGAGGAGTAATGTCGACGACAGGAGGGGCAACGGTAGTCATCACGGGCGCCAACGGCTCCAGACTCTTCTTCTCTTTGATGTTCAATACCATGCGTTCCAGATCCAATGAAGTCAGATGCTTCTCCTTGCCGCGACCGAGGCTCGCCAGGGAATCTTCGCGGACGACAGCGGGTTTGTAGTCCATACACTTGGGACGTTTGATGTGGTGTTCGATTTTTTCCGCTTGATCGGAAGCAGCAGATTCGACACTGGCGGAGAGTTCAGGAAGATCACCTGCCTCCTGACGCAGGAGTGGCAAAACCGAGGTATCACTGGAAGTTTCCGGTTCCACACAGAACGTCTCACGTGTCCAGAGACGCCAACTCAGATTTTCGAGTCGACGACCTTCCTCCATGTAGTCGGCACATTTGGAAAATACTATTTTGGCAGGGTGGTCAATTTCACACTTCCTCAACAGCCGCATCACGGAGCTATAACTCACCCATCCACATTCCATGGAGACTCTGCGTGTTGGCCGTGTCCACCTTGTGAATCTTCGCCGTGTCCACGGTGAGAACCGGGGTTGATAACCGGGAAGGCATTCTGGTCAGTGTATGATCACAATGCCCAAATTATACCAATTTGACACCTCCGTGAGTTTCGTTGCGGGTTTCGGGGTCGCCGTCTCCCCCGAGCGTGGTCGTACGGCGCGAAAGTGACGATATAGAAGATACTCTATAAATTCCGCGGAAAAAGAATCCCCTCGACGAACCGTGTTTGTCGTAGTCCGTGTGCGGTCGATTGCGCAGGACGTGGCACCCCAGCTGCCGTTTAGTGCAGCCAGATAAGAACGTCGATGTGTCGAATTTCAAAGATGTCTTCGTGAGAAGAGGTGAACGAGTATAGCGGTGGTGGTGATGGTTGGTCGTGGGTAAGTAGTCTTCCCTCAGCAATTTGCCCGGTTGAAAGAGTAAGAATGAAACGGAGTGGATCGCAGAGTTCGACCGGAAGCGAAGTCGGTCGGAACGCGAGAAAACCTGGTGGTGGACGGCAGATATAGTAGAGATTGCCGGATGCGGGAATGGCGTGAAGATCGATACGGCAGACTTGGTGTAGAGGTATAGGAAGACCGGGGGGAGAATTGGGGGATGGGAGAGGAGGAGGTGGAAGGAGGTTGAAGAGTGAAAATTGCAAAGGTCGAGAAAGGAAGAATATGGGGGAGGAAGTCGGTGGAGCAGGCGAGAAAAGAGAGCGAGAGGAAAGAGGGCCGATTAGAGGGATACTGGTGGTAGTTTATGACGGGTCGGTGGAGATGGGGGGGAAAAGGAAAAGGAAGGGCGTAAGGAACCTAGGTGGTAACGGTACCAGGGGAGAAGAATATCATTTATCCCACGATCAAATATTATCAAATATTTTTTTTTATTATCTGAATTTATTTTATTTTTATTACTATTGTTTTCCCCCCAAAAAAACCAAAAAAACCAAATCGAGGGTGGCCACCCCAGAGGAAAGCCCGACGACGACGACGACGAGGGTACGTACCGAGGAACAGGTTGGCCTGATGGCGGTAAGGAAGACGACGGTGGAAGGATTCTAACCGCGCCTCTGCTTTCTCTCCCCCCATGGTCCGGACCTGGAGTAATTTTTATTATTTAAAAAAGGAAAAAATAAAAGGAAAAAAAGAAAATTATGGTTTTAGTGTGACTTCCGGAGTACCCCCGTGGGTCTTGGTGTATTTCATACGTGGTCATGACCATCGGTAAGTTTACCGGTCTGTTTCCGGAGTCCCACCCCAAAGAAAAAAGTACGGAATCTTTGACCGGTGAATAATCAGAAGTATATCCAGTTGGATGGAGGTAGTAAACATCTATAAAGGAACTGGAGGAATGAGAATAACGGTCTGGAATGAAGGGCTGTAGCTCTCTAGAGAATGCCGATAGTGGATCAGGAGAGAGTCGTAATAATGTCCAGGCAATTCACGTAGATATTACTAGGTACCTAGGTACCTACAGTACGTACTCCATATAGATAAAGTCCCTAAGGTCAGTGTGGATAGTTGACATCCAGCTCTTTCTCTATCATCTCTCATGTATCATCTTCGGATGATACACATGCGCAGCAGCAAATAATCAGCAGAACGAGCTAAAAATAATCGAAAGAAGGAAGAAGCAAGTTGGGTTCTAGACAAACATCAGACAAAAAGATCGGCTGGTCCTGTGACCATCAAGTGGCTGACTAAGGACATGCCGCTTTCTCCAGCCGTCCGAAGAGAGAAGCGGATAGCGAATAAACTATGCCTGATGCAGTTCACCACTCGATCGGTCCGGGTCATTTGACTGCTCAATTTTGGGACAATCATACCTGAATCAGGTACTTCTAGGAGTAGGTAACTAGGAGGTACCTATCTAGGTACCGGCACTATGTCTTCAGGCGAAGGAGCGGATTGATGTCACAAATACCAGGCGGATTCATCAGTCTGTTCATCATACAAACATATGGATGTCTACCTCTCTTGCTTTATGGCCAAAGTCGGTGATAACCGTTACCCGGCCTAATGTGGCCTAGCTCCTTCCTTACGCCATGTGCCTCATTTCATTCAGTCCTGCTGACTGTCAAATCTTTCTCTTAGACTGCTTTTGCCACGGACGATGGAGGAGTCAGTCTCATACCCCGTACTCAAGTGATGTCCACCGTGGATGTTCTGGATGGTCTCTATCGCCTCCCTTTCGCCTCCTTCTATCAACACAGCTAGGACATATTGCCATTTATTGGACCCCTAGCCCCGATCGTGATAGCCAACCAGATTGGTGGAATTGAATACGTCTGTTTAGCCGTCACTCTCACCTCACCCAGCACATCCATCCTTGTGCTTTCTCCCGTCTGACACGTCGACGTGCGTACCTGTAGTCTCGCCCATCCCGGCTGAAATCCCCTACCACGCTCTCCTCCCTGCTATTAACCGGCGGCGGTATGTACTCCTACGGAGAACGGAGTACTCCATCCCCAGTTGCCCCAGGCGGAGGTTCCACATACCGGGGAACCGCCCTGCAGCTTCCGATCTGGCCGATCGTCTCAAGCTATGGATGTACATATCTCTATCGGTTCTTGATTGTCTGCGTCGTCCGTCCCCTTCCTCCGGTACGGAGTAGATACTACCTTAGTCCCAAGGAGCTTATTGAATCGACCGGTCTCCACACGTCCACATCCCTGGAGAGAGACGGGAGAGACGGCGTGTCACAGTCTCTCCTGTCTCGCCCTCGACTGCTCATAGCTCCAAGTCACAAGATGTCCCGTCTGCCAGCTGTCACCAGTGAGCCGGCCCCGATGCGCGCCTGTCGACCGCGCCTTTTGGCCACCCGTAGCATGATGATACCGAGCGGATGACAGGGGGAAGAACAGCCCGCCTGATAATTGGATATTCTCCATATCTGCCGACATCCCTAAACCTTAGATAGACACGCTCTCGGTACGTAACTATCCCCCGCTGGAGCGCCCGGTCGGTCGTGTTTTAGCCGCCCCGGTTCGCTGCCCCCTTGTCACAGGGGGAAGCAGTCGCCGTCGCATTATGGCTAAAACATGATGGACGCGTACTCCGTATGTAGATGGACGCCACAATCGATGCTCTTGGCGCCCCGTGCCCCAGATCACTGGTCCGGGGAACGGGCTAGCCCCCGATCCACTGGTCGCTCTAGAGCTGTTTGTCGTATCGTTGATGGATTCATTCTCGGCCCCCGAGTTGCAGTTGTACAGGAGCACGTTGCGGCAATCATGTGATGTTCCACGTCAGGGTCAGGGCCTGGGGCGATGAGTTGTTGGATCGGGTTCCGGTTTGGCGATGCGGAGTCGTTTTGCGCATGATTTTGTCCGCTGGCTGGGTTTGTTCCCGGAGTACCGGGGGGTATTGGTCGGGTCTCGGCTCAGCTGGTCGCGAGAGTGAGAATGACAATAGGCGAGGACTCGAATCGAATATCTGCCGGCTTATTGCTAAGCCTTGCTACATCTTAGCCAACGATAGGGCCTAGGACAACTGTATAGTCAGTTGATGGTCGATCATGGCAGGACCCGGGATGTCGGTCTAGATATGGCACGGGTATTATCTATACGACGGTCTATATATATACGCGATGTACGAGGTCGACTGTACCTATGCACAGGTGCAATCAACCAATTCTATCCCAAACCACGCATTTGCATGCACAGTGAACAGCGTCTCGATGTAAAAGGCACCGACAAGAAGCCATGAAACAAGAAGAATTAGCCGCCAACAGTTGAGCTTATTCCCGGCCAGTTTACACGCAGCAGTCAGCCTCGAAGCCTAAACCAGCCTCCGGCTCAGCTGCCCATCATCCATGCATACAATTGTTCCACAGGGACGGGCGGAGAGAGAGCCACGTAGCTGCCCTATGTCGGATGAACAAGGTAACGGCGTATCAGGCGCGCTGCAGGGACTTCCAGGAAGACAGACTGCCGCGCAGAATACCCGATGATCCTGTGGCTTTGCGAGCGAGTGCGGGGGAAGGACCCATCTTACGGAGTACGTCTTCGGTCACTTAAGGTCAAACAATTAGCACTTCGCTGCGCCCCGGTTTAAGATTTGTCTTTGGCTTTTGCCCAAGAATGACGATATAGGCGTTGATGTGGATCCGGCCCGGTGCGTCCCATGATGTGATGATTCTGCCCAGCATACCCGCCAGTCGCCCGCTTCGAGACGACAGAATGATATACTTTGTACTATTGACTCGCTAGCCAACCGTTATGCAAATCACCGCGGTGGCGGCGTACCGCCTAACATGGAACCGCGGAGAGAGCTGGCCCTGCAAACGGCATCCGAGGTTTGTTGATGGTACACGGGGCGGTATGACTGGACCCGCCGCCAACGTCGATACCGTCGATACAGACGACAGGGCGTCGTGATGCGAGTGCAAAAGTTGCCGAGGGACCAACGGCAATCCAGTATTTGCTGTTCTGGTCGATCCGGGGATCAATTCGATGTGTGGCGCGAGTCTACTCCGCAGCTACGCGCCAACGGTGTCGACGCCTTCAGAATGCTGCCTGTACCGTACGACGACCACGATGCTACCTCGCGTAAGCGACAAACGTGAGGCAAGCCATTAGGCTGGAGACCGTCATGTTTTGCCTCTGTTCCGACTGTTGCTTTGGAAGAGGAAACAAAACTAACTAGTGGCAAAAATCACAAGTCACAAGAACAGACGGTGTCACATGATGTGGGGTCCGGCAGTTTCTCGGAATGGTTGCCTAGTTGGTTCCGCCTGGCGATGTTGATTCCATGGCTGAATAGTTACAGCTTGGTCGAATCAGCCAGTGGATTCCGAGTGACCTCCCGCAATGCCGGTAGTCACGGGTCTGCTGTTTGCTGGAATTGTACGACCGGCACCATCTCCGGCCATCCATAGTGCGAACAACAAAACAATGAGTCGCAGGATAGGTATGTCTAGATTATTTCCCCGCAATACTGGGCAGTCAATTACCATTACTACAGACACCCTTGACAGGCAATTGACCGCATGCACAGTACCGAGTAGTAGTATCTTTATTCGGCCTGCATGTAGGAGATCCCAGCTGGAGCTCTGCTCTAGGGCAG